ACCGTCACTTAACCAAGATTTCAATAACGGCCTGAAATCTGTACTTACTTTCATTGCAGTCAATTCCCTGGTACCCAGCAGCACACGAGCAACCATAAGGATCTGGTAAACAGAACAGCGTCCCTGCACACGTAGGACCGCCTCCCAGTTCAGGAGAGTCACAGCGGAAACTTCCTGTTTGTCCAAAACGATTTGGACCTTCCGCTGAGAACAGAATCAGAGAAATTGTTTATTGGTAAAAAACTCAAAATCGTGAAACCAGCCAATCTGCAAACTACTCCGAGGAAACAAATTCTGAAACTCGGCGCGCGCGTGTTGTAGCAAATCACAGCACTCCCGAAGAGGCATATGGCGTGTAAAACCGTGTCCATAAACGTCGTGCCACCATACTGCAGTTTCTGATCTCAGTTGCTGAATTGACCTTATTCACAATTCGCCTCTGTTTAGTTAATTGAAAGTGAGGTTGTGGTTTTTAGTTTTGAGAACACAAGAATAAAAATGAAACCAATGACACAAAAGTTCATCAAATATGAAATTCATTTACGATGATGAAAAATTTAGAATTTGTGACGAGTTAAGTTTTACGCAACATTTAAACAGACTGTAGTGAGGAATGGAAGACAAAGTAGTCAGGCTCCGCCCCATTCGACAGATTACATTAAATAAGATTCAGGGAACATGATAAAAAAAAACTCTATAAACACTTTAGACCTTTCCAAAGAGACTCAAGCCATACCGGCACTGCGGTACCATCGTCCGTAAACGTGCCTTGTTGATATGGATGTCCGTGCTTTTGTGCCTGTCACAATACCCTTTCACGTGACCATTTTGTTAAAGAATACTCACGTACTTCCTTCAACTGATTCTGATTTCAAGTTTCTGCATTAATTCCATCATCCCAAAGTCTGACTAAAACATCAGTTCGATTATGCAAACTCGCAAAGTGTAAGCTACCCGACCTCTGTACTGTTGGAACCAACAGTGGGTCTGGGAACCAGCCAAATGTCACTGCTTGAGTTTTGACGGGTCCATAACATACTTCAGAGGCAATTGGCTCAGAGGGTAACATGATTTTTCAACAACAAATCAGGCCTTTCGTGCAGGGTTATCAATCCAAAAGTTAAACTTAAAACTATTTAAGGACATCTGTCTTTGTCAAAGAACGAGAATATATCTGCATTGTTTAGGGGATCATAATCAGCGTTTCAAAAATGTGTATTCACTGGACAGCATTTTCATTAAAAAAAATGACACTATAAAAAATTGAAAAGATTCCTGTTTGTCCTCTGAAGGGATTTTAACTCAGTTTATGGTAGTTACGTGTAGTAAGCTCAAACAGACATTCTGTAATACCAAAACTCATTTTTTTTATGACGTAATGCCTTCCTTGTTTAATTCAAGGGTCACTTTTACGGTTTTAATTACGAATAATGTGAATGAAGGTTTCATTCAGTTCATTAATTACTAGTCTTTTTTTCAAAAGCGCAGCTCGCCTGGCGATAACCTCTGGATGGACAAATTAAAAACAAGAGAATATTTATTAGCTTTATTCAGTCACTCTGCCAAACGTAAGGCGACTATTAAAGTTTTTATAACTTACGTATCTTGCACAAATCTCCACTAAAGCCTGGAGGACAAATGCAGTCTCCATTCGTGTCGTCACAAACACCGCCATTCAAACACGTTGGGCAGTCCATGTTACATGAAGGCGGATTCCATTTACTCTGTTTGCAGTCTAAGAAGCGGATCCAAAGAGAATAAGAGATTCTGTTCTCAATACATTTTAATTTCAACAAAACTCTCTTTGAAAGGATTTTAAAAGTTAGAAGTCGTCAATTCACGATTTCGTAAGCTCGTACCTTTCCACTAGTGTGTTAGTTCTTTTGTAAAAGACATTGTTAAAAAAGAAAATTAATTTCAGAGACATGGTCACACTATTTTTTGGAACAATAAAACGAACGCATATCGCATACCTCTGACTATCAACTGCATAAGTGCTTGGCTTCCATCTCTACGTTTACCGTTGAGATGGACCTCATAGATCCCACTGCTTGAGTTAGTCACATTATAAAGATCATAACTGAGCTGGTTTTTTTGGCTCCTAATGGATTCACTGCCGTCCTTTCTCCATCGGTATTTTTGACTATTTAAGTCAGCTGCAGTAACTTTGAGATTGACCGCATCACCCAGGTTGGCCGTCAGACTCGCACGCCTCGGAACGAAGTCGGCTGTTGACAAATAATATTAATGTTTTCTGCATAAGGAAATGGACACGTACTGAAAGTCAAACCACTTACGTCAGCGTTCTTTCTACAAAACTGTCACTGCAGGAAATGTCCCTATTAATAGCTGTGAGTATGCCCAGAATTAGTACTTGTTAGGATATACCTTGAGATAGTTTGGGCTCAACATTTCAACCGAAAATTGTCCCCAACGTATCTGGCATTGTGTACTTATTTAAATCTTTTTAAAGTATTTATAAGCACCTAAGGTGAAGGTCCCAATCAATAAAGAGAGGACGATAAAAGTAGTTATAGTAAGAGAAAAACCCTCGGAGTCACAATGGACGGTAAACCAAGTCCACAAGTGATCCAGACTCAGGAATTGAGCCCAGGCCACAAAGGTGAAAAGTGAAGAAGGAACCACTTCGCCAACTCAACTTGATCTCAGGATGTGTTATGACACTCGTTTCATTTTCCTGAAGGGTGTTTCAAGGGGTTCTTAAATCCTTTTAGCAAATGGAAAGTGCAAGAAGAAAATTTAAATAGTGCTTCGTTGAAGACTTGATTTACTTCCAAAAGTATAACAGAAAAAATGCGGATTATAAAGAAAAGTTTATTGTTATCACTGACTTTGAAAATGTTTAAAAAAAAATGCTTTGGGAAACTTTTTCCGGACTCGATTGACAAAATCAGGAAAGATCAAAGACAAAGATTGAGCTTGGTACCTTTTCATTAACAATCGTTCACACAAATCACTGTCTGTCGCGTGCAACGTTTGAAAAGTTGGACTGGGTGTCCCACAAAAACACAGATTCTAGTGAAAATTGGCGGTACGTTTCCTGTAACGAAGTAAACCCTAGGCCTAGCTAGACCTGACACGACCTCACAAAATTTTATGCAATGCTCACTTCTAAGACGCCCAGGCTGAACAAAAAGAGGGCGCAATTCAAACACAGAGGCTGCATCAGTGGGAAGTGCACTTCGCTGGTTCACAAATGACTATATGAAATTCACGCGTTTAGTACGGGTGGCGTCGTTACCACAAAATGAACACTTCCCACTAAAATGGCTTTTTTCCACCAATGGGGGAGTGCTTCATACTCAAGGTGGATATCGCCAAAGTTCAGACTTTGGAACCCAAATGGCTATTATCATGTGTGCAGTAGAGCAGGCAGCTATTGTGTGCTAATTATCCATGTGTAAAGGTGCATAATCAACCATTTTGGTTCCAACAATTCAAACATTGCAGTAAGCTAATGGGTCCCTGTGGTGGAAAGTCACCACGAAATCGTTTGGGTTTAACGCCGGCCCAACCGACCGCCCTACCAATGATAACTGGAAGGTAGTTTTATTTTTGTTTGTTGGGTTGTTGGGGGTGTTTGTTGGGTTGTTTGTTGCTGGTTTGTTAGTTTGTTTGTTTGTTGTGGGTTTTTTTTTTAACCTGTTACACCTGAAAGTTAAACTGTTTCTAAAATGCTGGCACGTCCATTCCCTAAAATTTGATAAAACTAATGATAACATTAATAGCCAACACGTTGGGAGGGTTTACCTTCTACTTTTCACTTGACAAGCCAGTGAACAGCAACGCCTGTGTTTGTGAAGGATTGTTCATCGCCAAGGTATCTAATATTTAGAAGACTTGATAGTCACAAAACCTACCCTGAAAGCTCATTCCAAGAGGCTATCGGGAAGAAAACATCAAAATATAGGCCTAGCGCCGGCTGATTGCAGGATCGAAAGGTCAGTTCGTCTAGCCACAGGCCTACTTCAGAGAAGAGTATAATTGGCGAAGTTCTATCACTGTTGCTTTATCATTTGTTTTTTTCGTCCTTTAAATTTGTAGCAAAATTCATCTCAGTCGCCTACCTTTGCTGCTCATAATGATGGTTGTTATGCTGCTGCTGCCTCCTCCCGCCATTGTTACGTCACAGTCAAAGGCTCCGATTCTAGTCTTCCCTCCAGTCACCGGTAATTCAAGTTTATTAAAGACGGCACTCTCTTGTAATGACTGGGCCGTTGCTAATAAACTGCTGTTCGGAGGTAACGTCTCTGTGTTGTGGTCAGTACCGGCCGGCGCCAATGTTTGCCGGAAAGACAGCGACCCATTACTACCATGCAGATAAGCAGCAATGTAGGTGTCTTCGTCGTCGATATTAATGCGGGGCTTGGTGATGCAAGTAAAATCAAGGGTGGCTGAAGCAACTGTAATTTCTAAATTTGTCAAAAAAAATGCTCATTTTACAATCGGCAACGAACGGTACGTTTAGGCCAGTTGTTAATGAAAAACATTTTGACAGCTGAGTCCCGTCACTTCCAAGTTATAACTTTCGAAATAACAAAAAATAAAAGCTGAAATGGTGACGGCAAAATTTGAGCTCGCAAAAACTGAAAGGTCTCCGACGTATAGCTTTACATTCTTCTTAAAAAACCGTCACATGCACACGGCTTTCATTACAAGCTATTTGGTTCTAGAGTTACAATCACCGCTTGATCTACCAAAATTTGAGTACAGACCAATTTCGAGCGAAACTTGAGAATTTGACAGCCTGAAATTTGACTCCCAAGAAAATGCCTACCTGTAAGCAATCCCAACAGGAGAAAGACTACAATCACACGGTCTGCCATGACTGTTCAATTTAACTCATTACAGTCAACATGATCCTCATATCAACTGACTGGCAGTCTACTGTGAGATCTAATGCAATGGTGCCTGTGACTCTGAATGAGGAACTAAAATGAAAAAAATCAAAGCGGTTGTGTCTGTCTTTTTGTGTCCGGGACAATGTTGCCCGTTAATCTGCAGATACTCAAAGCATTTGCATGTGAAAAATCCTGCTTGATCCATGATTATCTTTGGAAATCTAATGAAATAATTTGTTTTTCTTATAACAAATTACGATAACTTTCACTATCACTTTTGTGTTTCCTCGATTTATACTGGCCTTATAATACAAACATCTTCATCATCAACCTCAAGCCATTGATTAGCTCATAAATGCAGACTTTTATATAATCATTGCATAAAGAAGAGTCTAAATGTTTTAATGAAGAAGGTTTAGATATGTACACTGTACACGATTTCCCCAGCATTCGGTTTAAAACTATCACTCAGTGGATTTTGTATATTACAAGTGGTTCATTGGATACAGATTTTAAAATAAATGCGAAAGCGCATTTCTTTAATGAAGAATTCAATTAAATTCAATGAATGGGGAAATCTAAATTAAACACTGGTCACACCGATATAAACTGACTGAAAAAAACAGGTACTCTAGTCTAAGCTATATTAACAGACAGGAAACCTATGTCCCTATTCGGTTCCTATAGAAAGTGTTACCGGTACCACCAGCCATAAGTGAAAGCGAGGTTAGGCCTAACTTTTTTTCAGCACCCAGAATGAAAATGCACTGAAAAAACTTCACTTCATCGTAAATTAATGTCACTGATATATGCTGATGAAGAAATTAAAGTTTGTGACTTATTATATCTAAATATGCCACAATTTGAAAAAAAAAGGTGACGCATGGAGCCCCAAATAGTTCGAAACCACCATATCCCGCAGATTACATTGAATTCTGAGAACGCAATAGAAATAGCTTCCTTCTTCAATGAGAATAAGATTTATTACTCAGTACTCGGTCCATCTAAGAAATTTAAATGCAGCAGTATTTTGTACTATTCTCAGAATTTTATCTTGGTTTGAGACGACTATGCTTCGAATTGACTGACCTTTGAGCGTTCAGTCAACTTGCAGTCGGGCCTGGACACAAAATTTCGTTCACTTTAATAAGTTCAAGTTTAGTATCAGCTCCTTCCGGCCAATACCTTTTCCTGCTATTTCACCTAAAAAAATAAAGAAATGAAAAACAAATACTAAAGGTTGTATCAAGTACAGGTTTGCTTTGCGGTGCTTCGATCCTTGTTCTAATTAGATCCCTATGCACCTTGCTGAACAAAATCAGACCGGATCGATGGCGAATTCACCTTTAAAGCGTTATATGCTGAATGATTGGTACAGTACGTCCGTGTAATCCCATCAGAAATAAAAAGCGCTGTAGGCCTAATTAATTGTTGTGATGTGCATTACCTCCACATGCAGGGTATTATACGAGGGAAGGTTTTACTTTTTAAAGTAGCGTTTTTCCCAATAAGATTTTTACATCTATTCATAACGATTGCAAAGTCAATTTTCCACTTTATGTAATATAAATTCTGAAACAGGAAATGCAAAACTCCGCATAGTTAGCCGACAGAAAATCACCAATACATGCATACAGATATAAAATCCCAGTTGTCTTATTTCCAGACTACATAGCATGCTATTGAGTGTACAGTACGGCTCGGAGCCCGACTGCGGCATCTGCAGAGTATATCCTAGTATGTACATACTGTACATGTTCGCTGTGCTTGCGACATCACTAAACAAACAGGTTGGTCGGCGTAACGGTAGCAGATGTCTCTCCTTTTCCTGCCTCTGTTTCCATAAAAACAGGAAATTTGGCCGATAATATTGAAATTCTTGATCCTGAATTGAGTGTGACCATTGTTGTCTGTAAATTCCCTCGATTATCAGAATACTGCCGTTGTTACGTCATGTTGTAGGTCGGAATCTATGCTTAACATTCCAGGCCTCGGTTCAAACCATGGTTCAAACCATGGAGGAAGGAATCCTCCATATTCAAACAGTGACAAAAAATTTAGCTCGACTGGTCTTCTTACGTAACGAGAGCTCCTCGCTCTGCTTAGGCGTGTAGCCAGCCCCGTGGCCATCAGAGGGAATCTGGTCTAATTCTGCCTAGCCTTAATCATGGGGCTAGTGTAGGCGGAACTGTATTTATAGGGGGAGTCTCAAGTTGTATACTCTTGGAAGGGATTCTGATTATGTTGATATCTGGGATTAACTAAGATGTTTTTCTTAAATTGTGCTTATTCTCTGTGTTAACCCTATCCTAGGGATATCCTACATACATTTTGTGGAGGAAAACAGCAAGCTTGTTGCTCACAACAAACATTTAAAGATGGGTTCCATGATGGCAAAAGCAATGGATGAAAACTTCCAAAAGAACAAGGAATTTATGCAAGGGATACAGGAAACGATGGTACGTACAGACAGAATAGTCATTTCCCTGTTGAGTAATTACCAGCTTCAAATAGTCCTGATTTGAGGTGGTAAACCAGCATTGAAAAAGCCTATGTGCACTTAATATCCGTGCAACATCTAAGTTGTAAGTTGTAATGCCACTGAAGCTTCATTGTATGGATGTATGCCAACACAAAGGTGGGCTGTCATAGGTAACTGAGGCAAATTAAAGAACAAAAGAATTCTGTGTCAGATAATCACAATTCCGCTAGGTACATGTATTTAATCCCCAATTCCTTCAAAAATTCTTCCCCAAAAGGAATACCTGTTGTACCATACTTTTTTAGACAACACTTCTTATTATTCTGTTTATAACTAGAAAACTTCAAATGCACACACTGTCCAAGACTTTAGTGTTATATTGTTACGTTCTAACTTTGGCGTCAGTACCAATGTAGTTTGGAAGGTCCCAATTGTCTAAGACCTGAGTTGGGCTGGCCCAACTATGGTCGGCAAATTTGTGCAGAAAAGAACTCGACCCTCGCCAAGTTTTGGCAGTTCACACCCAACAAAGTTCATCCAAATCATGCCAATGCAGCACATCCATTCCACAAATAAGGTACAGTTGGAGATTCTGCTGTCATGAATTACTAAGATGAACAAAATAATGTTGGCACATTATGCATGGAGGAATTCTCCATGCATTATGCCACCCAGTGGCAGTCTGCCACTCTGTGCTACAGTTGGGCAAACCCAACTGTAGCACAAAGTGGCATAGCTGGGACGCAAGACCATCAGTCAGTTGGGAAAATCCACCAATTCTACCAACTACCGACCCTCATTATGTATTCACAAATCTGTCTGCAGCTGGAACGCCAGATTCAAATGCAGAACCAGATGAGAGAGAAGTCGGTAGCAATGCAGCTCTCAGGATCTCGAGAGATGTTCAACTGGATTGCTTCATTCTATGGTGTGGTTACAGTCACATGTTTAGCAGGGTAAATCTAGCCTATTTCTTTTGCCAGTTTTTCCTGAGATCCTGCGGGATTTTAGTCTGGATTTGGAATCAGAGTCAAAGTACACTTGATTTTTGGAAAGGTTGTACTTGAGAAAGCAAACAGCAAGTCTGGCTTGTATAATTAACTGTTATCCAGAAGTGCCATGGATGTGAAAACAGGTGTCAAAATTAACAACAGAGCCAAATCTTAAAGCTGCTGCTTAAGTATAGGGTAACTAGTTGAGGCTGTGCTAGCAGCATATTTGAGGAATTAGGCAGAAATTTAAGGTGATGCACACGTACTTGCCTTTGTCCTAACTGTTAGTAATGACTTCCTGCTTACACAAATTAACACAAAGTGTGCGTAGGTGCAAAATTCTCCAGTACTGCTGTGCATGAAATAGGGCCATGGTCATTTAATGCCAATCTAATCAAACCATCTTGTTCTAGTCTCCATCTATTTCCCCCTTCTAAAGTTTCATTTTGTCATCAAGTATTTACTCTTTCCATTTATCTGCAGGTTTATGAAAAGGAAGAACCCAGCTGTTTTGATTCCCCTACTGCCGTTGACGTTCATTGTTGCATACCAATATGATTACACCTACGGAACGAAAGTCCTTAGAATACGAGGCAAGTAAAATCAGGGTAGACTTGGTCTAGAAAACCTGACCTTTTTGATCACATCAAGCTCATTGCTGTGATTCCTTATTTCCTGGTGATGAAAGAAAGGATTCCTCAGGAATTCTTAGTCTCAGACAACGTCCAAGCATTAGAGGTGAAAGCAAAGCCCTAGGAATGTATTTGATAAAAATCCAAATTAAGAACTTGAACACTGAAAATTTTGCTCAACAAATTTGGGCCTACTTTACACAATTAATTGTATCAAATTCTCCAAAACAACAAGGTTCTTTGTACGTGCATTGCATCAGCCTAGTTTGAGGTCTTGAACGAGTTGCCTTAATCTTTTATGCCAGAGAGAGAAGCCAAAATGGGTACTGTTTCCAAGTGGCTGTGGCTTACAAGTATGTCATGCACAAATGACATATAATCAAAGCCTAATCTTAGCCACAAAATATGTTATTCAGATGTGGCTCCACTTCCCTTAGTGCAACATCTAATCCAGCATCATCGTTAATGTACACCATTCCCCAAGTGTGACTCATTTCAAACTGAAAGTTTGAACAGCTTTATTTTGACTTCCTGGGCACTGTGTCAATGTTTGATGAAGAGAAAAACACTGTAGTAAAAGGGCTGGAGGAAATCAATTTGAAATGATTGTCACAGTTGACCACAAGTGGATCATAAGTGCACAAAGATTAAGGGTTGTCTACCTTGATCAAATAAACAATTGAGCAAAAGACATGAACAGAAAAGTGGAAGTGACCGTTCACAGCATCTTCTTTTGTTCTTTTCCCTGTTGTCGAAAGCTGCCTTGTGAGATGCAGTTACATTTATCGCATTGGTGGTTTTTGTTTGGTTCTGAGCAGAGGGTGCGGAGGCCATTTTGAAGGAGGAACGACAGCTGCTGCCTGTACCTCTAGGCCTGCCGAACTTAGCCAGCATCGATGCGGCAAGGGATGCTACCAAGTCATCATAGACACCTTGGACAGAGATGACTTAGGCATCACAATGGCAAACTTTCAGTTCGTCACTGTAAGATAATGTCAAAACCATTCCTTGAGTGGACGCTGAATAAGGAAACAGACTAGTGTGTCTTCACAAGGAAATGTCCCACGAAGTGCCCTTTAACAAAATATTTTAATAAAGAAACACTGGTGGAAGATAGAGTTGTACATCTGTAGAGTGGGTGTTGTCAGAGGACTCAAAACAGTCAGGAAAATTGCAGATGATTACTTCTAACAGTCTTGTCTATTCCAGTGTGTGAGCCACACAGATATACTAAAGATAACATGAGCACCGTTAAAGAAATAAAAATATGTAGTTCACGTGAAGTATTTTGAAATAACAATAAATACGTAACCATTTCAAGGACATCATAAACTTAATGTTTACCCATTAATTGTGACCGCAAAATGAATAAAAAGATCCTGCGTTTCCCCGCCCACAAAAAATCCCCTTTTGGCCGTTTGCTTTCCCAGGCTGATTGGATGACGTCATCGCCTGAATGCTAACATGTACAGTGTACATGTACAGAGCGCACAGTACTTGCAGTATCGCACGCTTCAATAGACCACGTTGCGTTGGATGTAGCTTGGCCCACAGGCAAACACTGTCTCAGTTCAACATGTTCAAGGTAGAAATTAAAAGACACAGTACTACCATGTGTATGTACACTTTGCATGTCAGCGTTCTGCTGGTGACATCATCAAATTAGCCTGGGAGTGTGAACGGCCAAAAAGGATTTTTTGTGTGGGGAAACGCAGGATCTTTTTATTCATTTTGGGGTAACAGTTACTGGGGTAAACATTAAATTTACGATGTTTTTGAAATGGTTACATATTTACTGTTATTTTAAAATACCTCACATGAACTAAATGTTTTCTATTTTTGTAACCCTTTAATATCTCAATTGATCATGGAGGCTCATTTAAAGTTTGCCATTTCCATCAACCCGGGGTCCTGAAAAGGAAAGAAAAATAAAAAAATCAGCGCACCTCCCAAACAAAATAAAATCTCTTACGTCAGCCATTTAAACCAGACCAGCTTGTACCAGTCCGGATTTGCAGTTAGCTCAATGCACTGCATTTCCTTCTGCGCTTTCCGGTTCCAGGAAAATATGCAAACATTACAAAAATAACCTGTCATGTTGTCAGTATTCATTGGAAAGCATTATCAAATGGATAAGGGTTCCATGTATGGATATCAGTTCTTTTCCCATCAGAAAGTGATGACATGTTCCATAAAGTCAAATTTTGCAGTGAAATGTTGAAGTAATTACAAATAAAACACTTCGAATTTTTCTGACCAGTCACATGGGGTATGTACACAGCTTGTCAAGTGATGTCCGTGTACGGAACTCCTTCAGGAAATACTACACTGCCATATCGCATATGAGGATTGTACATAAATGCCAAGTGGTCGAATTCAGGTTTGAAAGACAACAAAATCCAAAAATTATAGTTTCAGTAATCTGAAAATAAGTCTGGCTAATGTAGATTTTCCCATTCTTGGGAATGTATAAAATTCCTTTCTATCGGGGAGAGTAAGTCAACAGCTAGATTTTATTTTTCGATTTTATATAGTACAATTGTTACTAGAATAGATGATGTCAAATGTGGAACATGTAAATCAGTTAAGAGCATTACAATATTTGGGCAGGCCATCACATCACACACATATCTCATTCTGACCAATCATGAAGTCTCTTCGAGCAGCCTGAAAAGAATTGTGTTTCCACAGCATGGTGCGCTTTTCTTATGGGGTGGAGTACATGGTACAAAAGAACACTGACAATTTCCATGGCAACCATTTCATTGGTTGAGCAAGAAACTAGTAATACAGGCATCATTTCCATGTTCTAATCTGCAGTTCCACTCGTCTTGGCCCAAGACGTCAGTGATCGATAGTTGTATGATTTCTCTTGAAGAACGCCCTTGCACAACTAGTTTTTGCTTACTCTCACAGTCTAATTATGAGTCGTTGGGGGCGTACTATGCACGGTGTCTGCTATCAAGCACTAACGTCTTGAAACCAAGACTACACTTCTACCAGTGCACCAAGAAATTCGTTGCCAACTCAAGATACATGTGCATGGGTCATTCCATGAGGTTGGGGCACAATTTGTGACGGTGTCCTTGTTACATGGGTAACTCTTTCCACCTGTCATGACCTGTAGAGTATGTAATTTGCTCTGTAAAAATAACACACACCTCTGTATTCAGCCTTGCAAGATGTAAAACAATGTCAATTTGGAATCCACCTGCAGGGAGATAGCTGTTCATTTTTAGGGAACCCATGTAACAATGGACACTGTCACAAATTGTGCCCCAGCCTCATGGAATGACCCATATGCATGTATGTATTCCCTTAAAGTTGACGAAAGGTTGTGGCATTTTTTGCCAAGCTAACAAAATGCCTGACTGACCTTGCCCATTTCAAGGTTTGTGAAGATGAAATAATCCAGCACAGGTATGGAGTTCTGAAAAAAGATGAAGCTCAATGTGGAGTGATGCACTTGGAGTGGTGCAGTGGCCCATCCAAATATGGTAATACATGTATCCCAGACTGTATATTAAGCGTGACAGTTAGTAAGGTTACTGTTCAGCGTGGAGTTACTGCTTGTCGAATCCATACTCAAGGTTCCATTGACATCAGGATTGAGAAATGACTTTGAGAAAGTATTTTTAGGCGTAACTTGTATTCTTGAGTTTTTATTCTGGGACAGGTTCGTTGAACGGACCATGTCAACAGTCATCAATGCATAAATGGCAATCTCAAAGACAGCTGGTTTCATTTTGTATCAATCTTAAATGGGGAAAAGCTTATTATGATCTAAATCATTTTTAGACTGCATTTCTAAGGAGACTGTCATTAAAATTTTTAAAACTGAAGAAGTCATAATGCAGTAGTATTGTAAACTGATTTCCTTGTAGATCTGTAGTTTTAAAGCAACCTTTCCCCTGAATCATAGGCGTTGTTTACCATCAAGACGTAAATATTCATAAAATGTTGACATAAATGCGTGTAATACTCGTTTGAGAAATAAATGCATTTCTATATTTTATGCTTTCAATAACCTTGGCAGTCTTTATTTCACATTCATTTCATGATTTGACATTCAAAGGTCATATAAAATATCACAAATGGATACGAGAAAAACCAGCTTAAAGAAGACAGGTGTTAGTTCATACACTTTCCAACCCTTTTTTAATGATGTTACAGTGCTATCCACTGCCCTGACTGCAGCTTACTCAACCGTTGGCATTTTTGCAGGGAACCTTCCTAAAAATCCTTTAGTTTGCTAGCACATGCTATTTTTATATAAAGAGTTTTAAATAATCTGAGTAATTTTCAAATTTACATTTTTTTTGCCATTTTTAGAGTTTATTATCGGTATTCAATGCCAACTGACACCTTAAATGCCTCACAATTTCAGTCACTTTTAAAGTACATTAGGTCAGGCTTTGATGGTTCATCATTCAATAATGTTCAGTGGTCTTGGACTTGTTGAAAACCAACCCCTTCCGTTAATGGACGATGGTGAAATAGGAAGAAAACAGCTCCTCTCCACAGTGAATATCTCTCAGAGACACCAGCACGACTGTACGCATCAGTCTGTAGGTATAAGAGAACTCGTCAATCATCTTAATCCAACTGCTCAAATTAACATTATCACTGATACGAGAGGAAAGATTATTGTGTAGCAACATGATCAAAGTTACTTCCCGCCTACCTGGGTCCTGATGAAACATCCTGTTGGTAGGTAGAGCTGTAGAACACATTCGGGATAAACCGTAGAAGTTGAAATGGAAATGACTCGGGCACGTCAAATTCTTGGTAGGCTACATTGGCCTCATTATCTAGGAAAAGCCAAGAACATTTACTGGATAATACCTGGATGTCTGTCATACAAGGATAAAGTTGCATATGCTCTGGATTTGAAATGTCATCAATATCTTTTTTCAACCTTTTTTCAACCACTGCCATCGGATTACTTGGTGTCTCAGTCAACCAACTGAGGTCAGAGGTCAAATATGGTCCCATCCTATCTCTCTGACTGCAGGACCTTCAATGGAATTTTATAAAAATATGTCATTACATTGTCCTTTATCATTCTTATCTGAATATCCAGATATCCGTTTGATTCCACCAAATATGGCCTCATCTGAAGCTGTGAATGGAGCTCTGGTTTGATCAATCACATGTCAATTCATAAGTCAGATTAAAAGTACAGTTCTAATGTAATTGGGATGGCCAATAATAAAGGAATGCCTTTGAGAAAGAATTCATACAGGGACTGCCAGATTTGAGACTGAACAGCTTGTGAGATTTGCGATGGACTTGTGATGATTTGATGAAAAGGTTTCCTCCGACTAAGAACTCTTAGAATGGTGTACAGGTAATTACCTGTACACCATTCTTGAGATACCCTTGTCATTGCCGTCAATTAATGTGCCATCAAGACATCGAAATATGAAGGGGTTGGTGATGGACTGAAGAAGAATTGGCTCCCATGACTTGTAGACTGTGCCTACAAAACCAAAGAAATTAAACATGGATCAATTTCTGCACAGGAAGAGATTGATCATGAGTGGGTATAGAATGCTTTGGGGAGGAGCATATCTCCTTGGACGGTGACTTGCCTGGATACATCGCAACCACAGTCTCAGCTGGGATTGTTCCACGAGTCACAAACACGCCAGTCCCGCCCCCTGGTATGCTACTTGGCTGTCGCTCAATGGTGAATCCCAGCATTCTCTGCATGACGTCCAACCCTGCATTGTATCCCACTCTGCGACCCTGAACACTCGGGACTTGGTAAATATGATTCTGTGATGTCCCGTTAGTCATGTTAGTGAAACTTCTTGAAGGAGTAGCTTCACGTGGTATCCAAAGCCTCTTTGTGTCTGTTGTGGTGGTCTGCTGGTAAATGATGCCATCAACAAAATCCTCGCCAAACTGGTCTCTTGGGATCAGAGTCTGACCAAACCCAAAACATCCATACTGGCACCCCAGGATAACTCTTAAATGTATGCACTTCAAAAAGCAGTCCAAATTTAATACTAAAGCAGGTGTTCTTTGGTTGAGAAGTTGCAACATGTTGAAGCTGCAGTTTATTACCAAATCTGTCTGTCTGACATGTTTGGGTCTCCGTTGCCTCATGTGACCCCCCGTTTGGAACCCGTAGTGGCATGCTGCACACTGCTCGTGAAATTCTGCTGAATGAGAGCCCTTGTCACGTTCAACCTTGTTCGTCTGTCTTGACCTTTGAACTTTGTCGATATAATCCCGATTGCTAGAGTCATTGTTCTGTTTGGATAGGCCTGTGAAGAACTGGACAAGGGAGAGTTCCACTTTGCTGTCAGGGAGAATCTTGTCATTCTTGCCGCTGTCTACCACTCGAACCTTTCTGACCGCCAAAATACACAAAAATAGCGGTTAAAAACTTGTAACAGAAATGTCATACAGATGATTAACTGATTCATATGACATAAACCACTCCGTTTTAGTTTAAACATGTTCAAGTTCAAATACTGAAGCAGGTAAACACCAGGCATGCCAGGCCCGCTGGGCCTGGGCTGCTCCTCTGTCTTCACCTACGTCTGCCATGTCTACATTCACCGGCTTGAAGGTCCATTACATGGCTATGGCCTAGGTCTACAGTGTAATTCTGAATTTAAATGTAGCATACACACTACTCTGACATGACTGTCCATGATGACTGTCCTGACGGTGATGCCAATGATGGACACGATGGAGGTAGGAAAATTCGAAAAGCACTGCAACACGTGAAAACTTGGCGTACCTTTTTCTAAAATTCAAGGCAATCCATGGAACGAATCTATACTTGTACTGCTTCCACCTTTTTGCAAAACTCTCGACTATCTTAACCATCGTTATTCCACTTGGGCCTCTTATGTCAACACTGTGATTCTCAAAGTAAAAGATCTCGATTGCTTATCGCGTTTCTCTTGGGGGCTGCCATTGCCAATAAAATCGGTCGCCACAGGAGGGCGCTATAACTTTGGATTAAGAAATAAAGTTTAACTGAACAAACACAACTGCATGAAAGATGTTGAATGGTTTTATTAAAAATTATCATCCAGAAAATTCAAAGTCTGAAGACACAATGCAAATGTCAGGTTTGAAGGATTATTTCTGACTGTTCACAAGAAACAACCAACACTGTGATTACGATACAGTGTAATATATGGAGAAGGTTTTGTACATTGTGACAATTAAATACCAAGCCGGGGACCCTCAAAACAGGATGCATATTGTGTAGACTTCTCCAGAAAAGTTTTTATGACGAAATTACTTTCAATTAATTGCTGTGACCGTCTAGTCCTGTTGACTGAGCAAAACTGAGAAATGTTACATCTAAAAAGATCCCACAAATAACATTTAATCTCATGAAATCATCCCAAGGATTTGAAAATAAAGTTATCATTAAATCTATCCCTGCTATATGATGAGAATAACAAATCCTTCACACTTTGGGCACTCTTCTCCGAGATATTTCTGATTTGTCCTGGACAATTTGATGGTAGCTAACAGAACTGGCTAAAAGATATTGCTTATGATGTTCACTTCATGGCCAGACGGTTCATTTCTCCTGCTGCAGTTTTTCCATGAGGACCTCCATTCCTTTGGTGTTGATCTTCACAAGATGGCTCATGATAGGTTTCAGGGCACTGATGACACGCTGCCGTGATTTGGTTTGGCCACAATCCAGAAGGCTACAAGGACAAAAAAAAAAAAAACACTGACAAAGTTGACTTTCGTTTTCAAAGTCTTATCCAAAGAATACCAAAGAAACAAATTTACTTCAACTTCCTTGAAGCAGAAAGGGAAGTTTCTCTATCTGAACTACATGGGCGACAGTACTTCTATATTAAACATTGTCAAACATCTTTTATCTGGCCTATTAAACATCCGTTATTATTCGAAATACAACCATTAAAAAGAATGTTATAACGGTCTGATAAAGATAAATTGTGCTTTGAATTCAAAGTCCACCGCATGCACTAATCTATAGGCTGCATTATACTTAGTATCAATGCACAGAGATGGAGAATTATGACGACAATTTACACCCTCTATAATGAAGTTAAGATCTAAGAAGCATTTCACCAAGAGTTTCAGGCAACAAAACACCAACAGTGAAGTTCTGACTGCTTGAATTAGCCCTGTAAAGTATGACTTTTTTTTAAATACGAGAAAAGGGGGCTTCTGTGGGAAGGGACTTGCATCCGAGTACACACTAACCTGGCCAAGACCAAAGCTCCTCTGTTGGCTCTGGTCCAAGCCTGGAGACTATTCTGGTCGACAGCATCAAGAAAAACATCCGAGAACAGCCGCTCAATCTCGCCACCTGTTCATTGAAAATAGATACATTGCTATCTTTCCTCTAGTATAAATAAAATGAAGGTTGTTCATAATTCACTTTTGGTAGTTTTCCCACAAAATTCCACACATATCCATTCCAAACCTCAGCCCTAGGAACAGTAGCGAAGCTAGGGCTTAATTTCTGGGAGCGAGGATGTGAGTGGCCACTTAAAATCAAAGCCAAAAAAAGCTACCACAAAGCTGAAATGTAAAAGATTCCTATACTTTTGTACAAACCAGGTGTAAAGAAAAGCTAAAATTCAGGGTCAACATCTTAACAAAAAAAGCTGCCATCAGCTAAAAAGCTAACATTCATGTAGGAGGGGGCCACCCGGAGTTGCCTACAATTCTTTCAAGGGGGCACCACAAGAAAATAAACTACACTAAGCATCCACTGGGGGTACATGTCCCCACCCCCCCCCCCCGCGTAGTTAAGCCACTGTCCAGGAACATCAACTCAAACTAGGGTAGCCCTCTTTCACTGGTAGCTTCCTTACTGCCATTTCTTAAGTCAGATATAAAGTTCAATATTCAAGTAAAAATCGGAAGAACAAGTTACCTCCTGCGGCATTTTCAAGTGTTGTTTTCTGATGCTGAAGTAGCTTTCTGATAACTAGATGACCCGCTGGATGTTCAATGATGTGAACCTGTCCAGGATTTCAGATGGAGGGGATAATTCAGTTAGTTGGCAGTTGCTGAGTTGAAGTTGTTAGCAGGTGCAATAACCAAGCCTAGAAATTACTACATATTAATCTCGTACTATCAATTTCTGCAGTCCAAGCACAAGATAAAGTCTAAGACAAGTCAAGAGGCTCGGGTCACTTGTAATGGTCTGAGTTCTGAGTTACTCAATCGTAATCCGAGTCATCAACAGTCAACAATTGATTTAAGAATGAGTACAAATCATAATTTGAGTTGGAGGCCTGAGTGACACCATACAAATAACTCGAATATGAGATCTGATCCGGTCTAGTGTTACAGCTACGCATCTGCTTTGGACATCTGAGATTGAAATCGAATACAGATGGTGACCTGAGTTTCTGCAGATGCAGTTTTGTCTAAAGCTTAAGTCACTGAATTCGAGTTCTACAATCAACAAGTAACTTTCTTTGACTAAATCTTTTTAATAACAGTTATTTTTATTATTAAATCTTGTGAGTCATTGAGTACTTGATATACCACATCACAAAAAATTACAAGATCAAACTCCATCTAAGCGTGTCTGTACCTCATTTAGCTGGCTCTCTTCATCACTTGCCAAGGCTGGTATAAACTCCTCAGCAGCTAAGGATGCAATTGCCTGGTACCCTCCAACCTTATCACCTGTGGACAAAAGAAATTATGGATACTGATTGATGCACTCAAGGAAAACCCTACAAGAAGGGCATTCACTTAATAGACACGATCCCAACTGTATCAACCAAACACAGCACGGTTCACAGCATTGGCATTACGCAACAACAAGTGGTGATTGCTGCATTAATTTATGGTTACATTATCAAATTGATACTAAGAAAGCTCTAGTTAGACGCAGAATGAAAACTTGGTTGTGAGAAATGTTTACCTTTGGCGTGGGTAAGTACAGCTAGCAGGAGGAGGCAGCTTGATTTACTACAAGTTAGTTCCTTGGCGTTCTCGCTTACAAAGCTAAGCAAATGATCCGAGGCTGCCGCTAACAACTCCTTTCTTCTCAGCTCTGTTTCCTTTTTGCTGGAACAAAGAAAAGCAATTTTGTTACTAAGAAGTCCTGGCATCCAACATAACCCACTCATACTGGCACTATGGCTGAAGTTCTTATGCAACACTTTTCCCCAGGTATTCCAGTTATAACCGTTGCCTTAATTGCAGCTTCACGTTAGCCATTAACGCACAAACTCTAAATTAGGCCTAATCCTTTCAGCTTTCTAGCACGGAGCTAATGAGATAATAGTTTCATTGAGCAGGTCCTAAAGTCTTTGCCTCCATTGATGATACCTGGCTGGATTGCCATCTCCTTTCCTTAGTATCTCCACTATCTGGGGATGAAAATGAGTGGAGTTCCTCGGAGAGAGGAGATAAAGTAGCACTTTACGTCCGTACTGGTCCTCTGCAACCTCTGAGATAGATTTCATCATTTCCTGTTAATTAAGGAAAACATCAAATAACCTCTTTCACAAGTTATAGTTGTGCATCCTCCAAGTGTTGGAATATTCATGACTGTGTGGGTTAAAGGTCTAATTATTGATTTTTGACTTGAATGAATGAATTTGACGTTAAAATCCATCAACATGAAGATCATGCATAGTGTGAGTGAAGGGTGGTATCCTTCCTGACTTGAACACTCTCTCATCAATACGGGGGTGATGGCCTAATCAATACTGGGGAGATGGCCTAATCAATACAGGGGACATGGCCCAATCAATACTGGGGAGATGGCCTAATCAATACAGGGGAGATGGCCTAATCAATACGGGGGAGATGGCCCAATCAATACGGGGGAGATGGCCCGATCAATACAGGGGAGATGGCCTGATCAATAGAGGGGAGATGGCCTAATCAATACAGGGGAGATGGCCCAGTTCAATGAAGACCGTTCAAACAAACATTGGTCATATGCACCAAATACCCGAGACCCTAGGCATGCACGCATAGCGAGTTCCCTCCAAAGGAAATTCAAACTGAAACACTTTCAACATTACACGGTATAAAATGCCTCCATAAGTCCCTCTTGCATGGGAGCAAAATTCACAAGAGGTTCTAAGCACAGAAATGTACCAAGTAACAAAAAACCTGCTTAGCAGATGTGGGTTACCACCCAATATGAGAGGCACTGTGTATAATGTGGGACTGGTTCCCTTCCAATCTTGCTTAAAGCAGTAGTTTCTGCTAATTGGGCTTGTGAAATTTGATCCAGATTGGTCAATCTTTGACCCGGTGTGTTATGAATCTATAAACTGAAGATCCTTCCTTTCATTTGTGTGCTTACACTTTTCGTAATGCTGTAATGTCACTCGTCACACAGATGATCCAGGAAATTGCTCAGTAGGGATATAGTCAATGATAGAAACAAACCCAACATCAAGGTCTCATCTAATGGACGAATGTCTCGAATTTAAGGGTTATATCTGAGTGCAAGCATGCTTACATCGATGATGACTTTTCGAACCAGTAATGTGTCATCTACGCAGTCAAACAATGCCAGGAGCACCAGGTGACCAAACTCTTCCTTACATATCTTGACGACAAACGTCTTGAAGGATTTGATGATGGCCTTACGATCCTGAGACACGACAAGAAGAAGAAAAACAGCCTCATTTTTCCAGGTTAGCGCAAGACATACAGTGACCCAGGTTCCACGTCGACACATCATCAGAATCAATCTGGGCTTTTTGATTCATAATGAAGTTACCTTAGCTGTGCCAAACCACAAGCAATGCATGGCCGCCCTCGCTCCATCATGAGTGTGAAGTATATGAACAACCACGTCCCGCATTCCTTCTATCAATTCCTGAAGAAAAAAATTCATCAAAACATGAATATATGAAATCCTAACACTGGATGACTGAACATTCATTAAAATGAAAACAACTGTTGCGATTTCCTGAAATTCAGTTGCAATTATAATACTGTACCACATATTCTTACCGATTCAATTTCAAAACAATTGCAAAGTGCAGGCTACCAAATTAATTACATGTATTTCTCATTACATGTACATTTGTGATTGCGCGTGCTCCTTTTCCTAATTAAACTCTGTGAAACTACTAATTGGCAAACTCCTTACCGTCTTCATCTTGGCTGGTGCATGAACCAAGAAGTCCAACAGAGCTTTGTGGACAATGGAATGTTTCACCACTGACCTACAGACAAAAATTAAGAGAGAGGCAGAAAGAGACGCAAGCTCCCTTCTTGAATCATTCCTTGGATGCAGAAGTTCATTTTTTTTTTTGGAGAGGGCAATCTGTGATTTTTCAAACTAAGAACATGGTCTCAAAAGAGAAGCAGACAGCCTCCTATCAGGGTGCTGCATAGAGGGCGCTATTCCAAACCAACATGAAAGCAGAGTAAAAATAATGGGCAACTCTAAATGAGCCAACTTCACAACTCACTCTTAATATCTTAAAATTGTTGCAAAGGTAAAGTGCTTCCACGGTACACGGTACAAACTGGGAGAGCACCGATTGTCAAATCTGTGGAGGGGTATTTGATTCTGTAGTTGATCTTCAACTGTTAAAGTGACCCTACTTTTCGATGACTTGGCTGAGCATCTTCAGCATGTGTTCCATGATGCCCTGCTTCTTATCTGGCTCTTTTTCCAAGATGTCCTCAAGTGTGTGGGTGCCTTCCTCCTGCAAAACCAAAACAATAACTACAACTGTAATGCATTCTCGCACATTTTCAGATGGTTTTGACCCAAAAACAAACTACAAAGCCAAGATTTCTTCAATGTATTGTTATACAACAGCTTCAACTTCTGACCAGTAGAGAACAGTCGGGCCAAACAATTAAAATGTTTTACGGCTGGGTAGCCCTGGCAACAGGTGATCGTATCACAAAGAGCTGGCTCATACCTTGAAGATGGCAAAGCGAGGGCTGTAAAACTCCTCCAGCAAGGCCGAACGCTGCTTGGCATTGGCATGATAGTTGTATGCCAACTCCAAGACCTCTGCTGCTTCCCGATGGCGGACCAACTTGCTGACTTGACCGTGGAAGCATGTCATGATGTAGGACCGGTGCTCCTTCTTGCCGTAACGAAGCATCTTCATCACAAAGTGCTTGGAGTACTTTCCTTTTGCCAACAGCAAGATTTTTTCAGCATCTGTTTTTGTTCAAAATGCATAGATGACAAAGTAGACGTGTACGTTTTGTACATGAACAAGAAAATAAGTGTCAAATGGATGTGAAAGAAAAAAACCGATATGACCACAAAAGGAAGTGATCATTCTTCATTGCAGTTACAGCTCACATTCCATTCTTGAATCATCCTGCATCATTGTAAAAAACTAGGAATCTACGAATTACGAGAAGGAAAGATAAATCAAAACAAAAATGTATTGCAATCAAATCAAGACTAGACTAAAGTTAATTATCTGTTATGCATGAAAATTGCTTTTTGAAGTTTGTAAGATAATCTTCCTTGCTAGATACAGGAAGATATTTGAGTGGATGCAAACATTCCTGGTGAGTGGCTCAATGTTTCTCATTTCCAATGAGGAAACCAATCCGCCTATCAATCAGCCGATAAATCCTAATTTTTTGTGCATAAACAAATGCAACTGACCTTTGACCTCATCAAAGATCTCCTGTCTCTGTTTGTCGCTTCCAAACTGCAGACAGCACTGGATGACTCTGACAGTATCATGTGCTGACAAAAGCTGAGTCAATTTACAAAAAAATGGAAGAAACTACACTGTGATTTTCAGAGGTTTAAAGGGCAACTTTGTACAGCTTCAAACTGACAACTAAATATTAGAACAAAACTTCAACCTTTCTTGATTTTACTATATTTTCCAAAACGTTGATATAGACCTGTTGGGGTTGATGGACGAGGGTGGAACGTTTTCGGGATTACATGTAAACATTCAAACGAAAAAAGTTCCAAATCCGTTTACAGATTTCCCCAAGAGTTTAACGTCCCTTTTTCAGGTTTGACATTTTGATTGCCTTAATCTGGCGTACGGTTATTAATGTAAACAATGCCTTTAAAATGTAATCTGAATTTCAGAACACTTTACTGCTTGGTCATATCAAAGGAATACCTTGAATTCATCACCGGAACTTTGATTCAACTTTTTATATTGTATACAATTTGTTGTGTTTAAAGTTTTTAATAACACCGTGGTAAGGGTGGGACGTTTACACTTTGAAAGATTTAAATGGTATGGGAAAGTTTTCTAAACATTTTTAGAATGAAACATAATTTCCTACCCATAATGGACAACACTTGAGACTTTGAATTTACCTCAAATACTTTGCCTTGGATTAGACCACACAGCTCTGTCAGCAGCTTGGATCTTTTCTCTTTGCTGCAGTTTTTCCTGTAAAATTGCCACAGTATATCAAGATGACAGGTGTTTTGTAACTTGACCTCAGCCGTGTACATTGTGTTTATTTCAGAAATGGAATTACAAAGACTTCTAGCAACATCCAAGCTTTGGAAAAAAATCAAACTTAAAAATTATTTCAAATGAATGTAGACGGAATTCCTGGCATAATTTCTCTCCAATCCACAATTTGAACGAGACTTTTTTTTGCCCTTTTTTTCTCCTAAAGAGTAATGGAAAATTTGGAGAACACCACTTTGCCAAGGCAAGTCACACATGAACTAAATGTACATGTTCTAACCCCATGCTACAGTCACTCAAATATGTCCAAGCCCAGAGGCTGGTTGTCCAACCTCTCTACTTACTCTCTGACAGTATTCCAGATTGTTTTGGCTCGCTGCGTCAGTTCATAATTACTCTTGAGCTTACGTCGTTCCAGCTTCCTATCCTTGAAGCTCAATTCTTCAAGTTTGGGCCGTTTGGTATCTCCTTCCTCATCTGCGGCAAACGGGAAAAAGATCAAGTCAGACCAACAGGCAACAGAACTCCAAAACCAGAATGGGGCATGTCTGCACTCAGAGCAACACAAATATTATTAAATGATTACAGAACTTTATTGGCTTGAAGGAAGGAATGGGAGGAAACTAACTTTAGTCCTGTCTGTGGAATTCATTAAAATCCTGCAACTTGCATGTAATTTAGGGATCTGTCGACAATCCCACCAGTGAGCAATGGTGTTCCAATGAAAACATGTAGCCTTTGTTGAAGCACAAAAGTATTAGGAGTTTGCCTTAATGTTAGTCTTGGTTATGGCTACCTTTCTCATCACTGGGGCTTTTTCTCTTGACGCCTTGCTTCTTTGCTGCAGCTTTACTTCCACTGCTGGAGAATTTGAATGCCTTCTTCCTGCGGAATCTCTCTGAGGGATTCTCTTTGTCACTGGGTGCTTTCTCTGTCTGAAGCTTCTTAGCTTTCTTCAAACCTCCACTTTGCTTTGGCAGCTTGCCACCTTGTTTACCACCAGGTCTTGATTGTTTACCAACTTTTTTTGAGACTGTTGTTTTAGATGGGTATGAAGCAACTTTTGGTGAGGACACCGACTTCATCTTTGGCTTAGCCATGACTGTGAAAATATCTGTGGACACACAAAAAATAGCACACATATGATTGGAACTGGTGAAAAAACGAAAGTAATAAAACAGGGAGGTTTCTGCACTGGTTGATTTCACAGCAGTTGTTACAAGTGGTCTTTCTTAAGATGGAATTCAAAATTTCTGCAGTAAAGGCAGACATCAATGTATGATTTAGTTGGTCATTTTGCTAATTTACATGTTCATACAAAAGGCTCTAGGGTCTACTATCACCAGATCAGGTTATGACCAAACAAGAAATATGGCTGCAGACATTATGTCCTACTCTAGGGACACGATGAAATGTGTGAAGGCGCTGTTCATTTCATACATGTAGCATGAAGGCCTATATCGCTTGGTATGGATTAATATTCGTGTTTTCCACATGCTGTACATTATGACTAGCATTGAATTCCAATTTCATTTTTTTTTCTCGAAATCTCAATATGCCTTATTGCCATGGTTGCTAATGCCGCAGGAGTGATTTTGCACAGTGGCAGAAAGGTACTGTGGGAAGGAAAAAAGGAGTAAACATTGCCCCCTTTTCCTTCCCACAATGCCTTCTACCATCATGACCATCTGTACCAAATCACCCATGCTGTATTGTGGCAATAAGGCTTATTGCCAGGAGTTTGTTTGCTTGTTTTTTGACAATATCTAGGCATGTGACATTTTTTTTAAAGTGAGTCTGATTTAAATGTAACATATGCCAAAGGATAAGTTTTAAAATAAGGTTTTTAATGATAGCAAAAGCAATGTTATGCCATATTGGGTTGGGGAGTTGTTTAATTTTTTTTAAGATTTTAAACGAGCGTATTTTGTGCCTCCATATTTGTATTGAATAACACAGGAAAGTTCTGAAAAAAATGTGACCTGCAATCCTTGCTTTGCGTTAAGCTTCACTTTCTTTGAACATACACCATTCTATATACCGTTAGAAAGCAAATTTCAAATCCTGTGAAATCAAATACAAATGGACTGAGCTCAGTTCACGTACAAAATTCTTGTGATCAGTTGTTCATTTTTTCAATTCTTGTAGGCAACAACATCATGAGCATTACACAAACATTGTAAGCCCGTGACGGGCAAGCAGGTTTCAAAATGCAGCTGCGCCGTCATGAATCATGGCAAGATGGCGTGCACAGCGTGCATGCACGACATGGGACTGAACACCTTGTAGTCCGATAAAAAAAATACCCCTTCGAAGCTTCAGAATTTGCTCAAATTACACCCACTTACAGCTTAAGAGTTATGTTTCACAACAATTTACCTTAAAATGACAATGCTCTGTTACAAATCAGGATTAGTTGGGTGGAATTTTGAGCTCGAACTTTAGCGGCACTTCCTGGAGGTCGATCGGAAAATTTCGAAAATGAACGTGAACTTTGTGTTTTTCGCATTAGGCCTACATATTCATTAATTTGTCAGTCGGACTCCTTACAGCGGGGCGAAATCAGGACACACCTTCTGCAGGCAGAAAATCGGGCTAACAGTTGTGTGGGCACCTTTCGGAGGTCGCGCGTACGCGTAGAGTGTGTTTGGACATACACATGACATTGACATACCTACAATATCCACGGATTACAGACATGACAGACAAGCAAAAAAACAAACATTGAATGTGCTTAGCTAGGGTTATAAAGACAAAAAGACCCTAATACTATAGCCTATAGCAATTTAGGATTGAGAGTAGGCCCTACCAGCCTATGCCATGGCATGCACGGATCAATAAAGGACATGATGGAATGGAGTTAAGACACATTGACAGTAAAATGTTAATCTGAGGCATTGCAGAGATTTTTGTCTTATTTAATAGGAACACTTGATCAGATTACGAAACATTCGTCACTTACCTCCGCTGTTTTAATGTGGCGCTCTCTTTTCCATTCTTACCCGTGTTTTTGTTAGAAATAACCGAACTCGAAGTGTCGCACAACGCATGGAGAAGCAGGGGACACTGCAGCGCAAGCACGTGGATCTCTCTATAGTGTACCTGGGTATTTTCGTGCTCATTGATTGCAAGTGGAAAGGCACAGGGTACAAGACCTAGGGTTATTTGCGGATACAGCGCCACCAATAGTCATATTCTGTCAGTGTGACATGTGACGCGTCGTATTACTGTGCATAATCAGGTCATGCACAGGGCCATATTTTTGTGGGAAGAATCAGATCGGCATGTGTTCACCTTTTTATCATTTCCCTGTGCGTTAATCAGGCCCCGTAATTTCTGACTAGTTTAAGTTCATTAAATGGAGTCTGTACATGGTAGTATTTCTTTTTTTTGTGTGGACACACGTCGTACGCTGTTCATGCACATGTGCATATCGTTAGGATCGAATCAAGGACATTGCACCTGTGAGTGTGACCTTAGCCGGTCGAAACGCTTACAAGTACACGTGCATGTACTGTCCACGTACCGTGCTTATTACGCTGGATCGGGCTTTGCTAGGTCTGGGAATTGCGAATTTCTCTCCACCCTTACGTCGGTCCATTTTCGGCAGATCAAATGCCAACTGGCCTACATGTAGCTATCCTCAGGCATTGTGGTGACTAGGGCCCATGCAGCTTTCACCGTTGCCTGGATGTGGGTTGTAAACTAGTATGGGCCTCATCGCGTAGCATCGTGTAACTCTGAAAGAAACTTCGTACGTATACATGTACATNGACTCGAAACCGGCCCTACCAGCCTATGCCATGGCATGCACGGATCAATAAAGGACATGATGGAATGGGGTTGAGACACATTGACAGTAAAATGTTAATCTGAGGCATTGCCGAGATTTTTGTCTTATTTAATAGGAACACTTGATCAGATTACGAAACATTCGTCACTTACCTCCGCTGTTTTAATGTGGCGCTCTCTTTTCCATTCTTACCCGTGTTTTTGTTAGAAATAACCGAACTCGAAGTGTCGCACAACGCATGGAGAAGCAGGGGACACTGCAGCGCAAGCACGTGGATCTCTCTCTAGTGTACCTGGGTATTTTCATGCTCATTGACTGCAAGCTGAAAGGCACAGGGTACAAGACCTAGGGTTATTTGCGGATACAGCGCCACCAATAGTCATATTCTGTCAGTGTGACATGTGACGCGTCGTATCACTGTGCATAATCAGGTTACGCACAGGGCCATATTTTTGTGGAAGAATCATTTTATTTCTCCATGGAAGAATCAATCAGCATGTGTTTATCTTTTTACCATTTCCCGCGCGTTAATCAGCCCCGTAATTTCTGACTAGTTGAAGTAACTGTTCTTTTTATTAAATGGCGTCTGTACATGGTAGTATTTCTTTTTTGTGTGGACACACGTCGTACGCTGTTCATGCACATGTGCATATCGTTAGGATCGAATCAAGGACATTGCACCTGTGAGTGTGACCTTAGCCGGTCGAAACGCTTACAAGTACACGTACATGTACTGTCCATGTACCGTGCTTATTACGCTGGATCGGGCTTCGCTGGGTCAGGGAATTGCGAGTTTTTCTCCTCCCTTACGTCGGTCCATTTTCGGCATATCAAATGCCAACTGGCCTACATGTAGCTATCCTCAGGCATTGTGGTGACTAGGGCCCATGCAGCTTTCACCGTTGCCTGGATGTGGGTTGTAAACTAGTATGGGCATCATCGCGTAGCATCGTGTAACTCTGAAAGAAACTTCGTACGTGTACACTAGACGGTCGGTTGGTTACACTGCTTAGCTTTCTTACACTCAAGCTATGCCCATCATTGTATTGTGACAACCGAGTACAGGGGCATATATCTTCAATTGGCAAGCAATCTGAACCTACAGCCGAGACGGGGAACGTCTCTCAAGCGATCGACGGCGCTGGCGGCGAAGGCCAGGCTAGGCAACTTGAACCGATAGTAATTTGTCCTCATCATCTGTACTTCGCAGTGTTAGGTTTTCGAGGAAAAGGCTGTGGAGTCAGACCGAGGAAAACTTATGGCAACGATTCGACAATTTAGCAATATTTGTAGCCGGATGATGAGACGAACGTTTCTGATAGTTGTCATTGTCATGGCATTGTTGTTGATGTTGCTCAAAAGGCAAGTCTCTCTACCTTCAGTAAGCGCATCTCTTTCGCTGACTCAGAGAAAACCGAACATTGTGTTTCTTCTAGTTGATGATTTAGGTTATAACGACGTAGGTTATCACGCTAAGAATGGCAAGTCAGCTATCAGAACTCCGAACATTGACGAACTCGCCGAGCAAGGCGTCAAGTTGGAGAATTACTATGTACAACCTCTGTGTTCTCCAACCAGGAGCCAGCTCATGACGGGCAGGTATCAGGTAAAACTGTCGTCAACGAAAAAGTTTAATTTGGCTTTCGTAATTTGGCCCTCGTGTCACAGTGGGTGATAGGTTAATGTAAGTCCGTATAAAAGTCTTTGAGGATGGGGAAAGGTGGGGGATGACTTACCAGACCATAGAAATTTGAAAAGCTGCAGGGGCAGGAGGCCATAACAGGGGCGATGTTCGTTATAAAGATAAGCGTACATCTGTAATCTGAATCCAATTCACGCAGAGTCTTACATCGGAATGGCATATATTTATGGCTTTATAAAATAGTTGTCCCTTTTTAGTGATATTGCAAGCATTTTAGTCGTTGGGAAATCCTTGAAATTCTTCACAATCTGCTCAATGATTTTGCTCATCACAAAGAGGTGGGCGGATGATTCAATATAGTGCACACAACCCCCCTCAAAAAGTGGGGGATATACCCTCCCCCCATTTACGCCCGTGCTTTGAGATGACGGTTGCATGTACAAAGAATGGACTTTCTGAACTTGGGTGCCCTGGCCTGCAAATCAAAGATTGGGCACGTATTGATGCGTAGAGTTTATGATGAAAGAATAACTTCGAGGAAATCAACTTGAATAACGGTTTCATCGTGTTGTGTTGGATCTCTGAGTGGATAAACCGGTCTCTGCACATCATCCGTGGGATTTTTCTTTTCCTTCTGAGGTTTCATCTAAGAACAAGGTTTACACACCACCGCAAGGCATTGAAGACCGTGATGCTACTACATGTATTTAGGACATCTTTCATGAAGTTCCGAGTGTGTCGATATTTGTATAAGACAAATCTCACGTAGGCTTACAAAACTTGTGTGTTTAAAAAGAACTATACTCGGACAGATCCATTCTAAGATGAGCAACAGTCCCAAAAGTATTTTGGGCTCTTCAGTTTATTAGATATTGACCATCACACAAGATTGGAAAAAGGCCTGAGTGATTGCCTCGCCAATTATTTTGGGGAAAACGCCGGAAGAGGAGCTTAGAGTAAATGCAACGCCCCCACTTAACAAATTTACTAGACCAGTGTAATCAATTCATTTTGCATACTGAAAACTAAATCTGTTTCATTCATTGTCAGATTCATATGGGGAATCAACACTATTTATTTGAACATACCAGACCGCAATGCTTACCCCTGGACGAGATAATGCTCCCTCAGATGTTGAAGGAGGCCGGTTACTCGACACACGCAATCGGCAAATGGCATCTAGGTTTCTGCCGCAAAGCCTGCCTTCCGACCAGTAGGGGCTTCGACACCTTTTTTGGTAAAAAAGAAGTGAACTGTACTTTATTTGATTACAGATTTTAAAATATCCATGGCAGACTAATTCATGGTGATGCCTCCTAAATTTTGGCATTTTTGTTTCATGCGCAAAAAAAGAACTTTGTCAGCTTATCAATGCTTGTTTAATGCCTTTTCAGGTCCGAATGAAGTCTGGCATTTTGTTCTTTTTAAAGAGTTACGTTTTTATTGGAATTATTCACATGCATAGTTCCTGAGTCCAAGACCTGCATTTTGAACCCTATCTTGGCTGGTGTGAATTGGGACCACGTAAATCTAACTTGATTTCACGAGATATTTAGAGAATATTACATCAGTGTATGGTGTGTCATCATCTGTTCTCCCGCAAATCTCCTCGTGTTTAATAAAAGCTCCAAATCTTTCAGATTCAACAGAAATATTTAATGCGGCTTATTTGCCGAAACAGAAAACAGTTAGAGGCTTTGGTCTGCCTTTGCTGTAGGACTTTATACAGGTGGTGGGGATCACTGGTACTATAATCGGACTATCGAAGGTGAGGATACCGGTGGTGGACACGATTTACACCAGGACACCGTACATCATCGCAGGAATGCGGTCGAGTTCGACGGGATCTATAGCGCGGAGCTCTTCACTGCAGAAGCTGAGATAGTCATAAGTCAGCGACAGCCAGATAAGGTGAGATCCAGGTTTGAAAACTTGCGTAAATGGAAATCCATTGAGCACCACTTGGAGAGAAAAAGCATGCATATTAAATAGCGTGGGTTTGGGTTTGAAACTTCATTCACTGGGCAGCAACTTATTCCACGTGCCGAGACGTGCCGTGGACGTCGGTATACTTGTAGATCTTACATGCGAGGTGGGACGATACACCTCTCATGTGACATGATATGATACCAGACGCAGTGTATCATCTCTGATGGTCACACGTTCATTAAATGAACAAAATGTCAAAACTTTACAAGAAAAATGGCATGCTTGTAACGTGCGTTTTGATGTGCTCTCTAATCAGCCTTTCTTCCTGTACTTGGCCTACAAGAACGTCCACTCACCAATTCAAGCCCCAGGCCGCTTCTCGGATTCGTACCAAGATTCTATCCAAATCCAGCCTAGGCGGACCTACGCGGGAATGGTCAGCGCCGTGGACGAAAGTGTAAGGAACTTGACCAGAACTCTCAAGGAAGAAGGCGTATGGGATAACACCATTATCATCTTCTCGTCGGGTGAGTAGGCCTCAGAAACACCGAACGATATTGGACAAATGATCGAAAAATGCGCAAGATTTGTGTTCTTTTTTGGTTGTATTTTTTCTCAGACAATGGTGGTTCTTTATACCATGCTGGCAATAACTGGCCGCTTCGTGGCGGGAAGAGTTACTTGAATGAAGGCGGAGTGCGCGCTGTTGGTTTCGTTAGCAGTCCGCTTCTACCTAAAGCCGTGCAGGGTACCATCAATACGCAGCTCATCCATGTCAGCGATTGGTTACCAACCTTGGTAAGGAGCGTTGCTGGAGGCCATACCAACAACATTAAACCTTTAGACGGATATGATGTCTGGAAAACAATCAGGCAAGTGGCTGAGCTTTTTCTGTTCCCATTCTTCGAGGGGGTACACGCATAATGGTCTCGTAAATGTTGCATTTGGTTCCTTGGGACACGTCACATCTTCGAATATAGTTTGTTATCATGAACATTCCTTGGCACCAAAGATCGAACAATCAACAGACATGCTTGTTATGTCTATTCTCTCTAATTTGTAGTTAGGCCTACACAGAGATTAACGACAGGTTTAGGTCAAATATTTTGGTCACACTAACGAAGAAAATCGGAATGCTTAAGTACGAATTTATTTGAGTTCACATCTAACCACTTCAGAAAACAATCTCCTCCCTTTCAAACAACCAGAATCCCAGCATGCTGATGAATGTCTCACCAAAAATCCACAAAAGCCCTGTTTGCAGTTAGTTTCGTTGTATTGAATAAATCTTATTTCGGCATGATCAGTGTCACCGAACGCTTCTGTTTCGGTAATATTGTCCTTCTTTTGCAGCAAAGGAGATGTATCACCTCGGAAAGAAATCCTTCACAACATCGATCCCATGTTCAACCTAACCGTATTAACGGACGAGGACAACGCATTCCTAGCCTCTCTTCCTGGGGAAGTTAAATTTGATCCAAGAGTCCGAGCCGCGATAAGAGTCGGTGATTGGAAATTACTGACAGGAACCTCAGGTGAGGTTTTTAAACTTAAGTGAACCTTTTTTTTTTGCAAAGTTTCTGATTAAAGAGTAAATGAGGGAACGAGGGCTTAATTCAGGCACTAGACATACCGATAGTTGATATTGATGGCTTGGTTTTTACCCTTTAAAGGCCTGTTCTTACTTAGCGCAAAAGCAAAATAAAAATTCTAGCGTCAGGTCAATTTGGCCTGTGATTTTGCCAATCTCTAGCGAATCTCGCAACAATTTTTTTCGTGATGTCAAGTCGCTTTGCTGTGCTAACTGCCTGAAGTATAAACCAGCCTTAAAGTGTAGCTGCAATGAATTTTTCATGACACAAGTTTTATGCAGCTTTATACTTTTCTTCATTGTACAAGAACTGTTTGAAACCCCTTTTAAAGTAAATGTTTTCAAAATTTTAATCTTTTAAACATTTATAAAAAAGCATTGTCTTGCTTTCCTGGGCAACTGAGGGTGCTGCTGCCGTGATGTCATCAAGGGAAGATTAATGGTTGGGTACATTGGTTTTCCTGTATAAATTGTAAACCCAGAAGTTGCTCACTGCAGCAACTCCAGCATGCAAAGGCCCCACATTCTTTTTAAAAACGGTTCAATAAAGACAATCTGGTAATAAAGTGCTGTATCGTGAATTTTATGTCTTCTTCACAATCCAGGAACTGATTATTGGGTGCAGCCTCCTGAGTACGCACACGCTATACTGATCCAAGCTTGCGCAGGATATGCAGATACGATCCAACTGTACAACATTAGGTACGACCCGAACGAATCGTGCAATCTTGCAAGGCACAAGAAGGACATTGTCCTGAGACTTCTCCGGCGACTGTACGCCTACCAGTCCGGTGCGGAGCCGGTAGATTTCCCGGAGAGAGACGTCCGAGCAGACCCTCAGTTGCACGGCGGCTTCTGGGAACCGTACCTGGATTGATTGGACACCAGCTTTTTTTGTGTTCAGGTTCACCCTCGGTGCATAATGAGACACAGCTTGTGCTAATGACAAAATTAGGTCTATAATGTTGAATTCGGTGATAAAGTAATCCGCAGGAGGGCATGTGTTGGTGAAATACTGTGATTTTTCTTCTGGTGAATTCTTAATAGATGGTGCTGACTGAAATGTATATTTTGAAACCTTTAAAAGAATTTTACTGCATCTTAGTATATACACCACCGTCTACTTCGCCATTCACAGAAAATTTAATATTTCAAACAAAACTTTTTTTGTTTGAAATTTACTGCATGCACAAAATTCTCTGTTATTGGGAGATCATGCATGGTTTAACGGAGTTTTGACCAGTCACCTTATCAACGCAACCCCTGACCTGTAGAGACTTGCCTCTTCGTCAGTACATGTGCAATCCCCACAAAGCCAAAATTTCCTTCCTTTTGCGTGACCTCCATTTATAAGAATAACAAATTTTAGTAATTTCAAGGAGAGAGAAAATACAGGACAAACAAAAGGGCCTTTGACTTGGAAATATTAAAATAATGTTGACATATTGTTTTCAGTGTATGTGTCTTAGAAAAGGTGATTGGTGCCCCAAAAAGGTTCCATGTTATAAGTAAAGCCAGTATTATTTTTGAAGTAACCAAGTGTAAATGTCTATACATGTATTATTTACATGGCATAATGCGCATGCTTGACGTTCAGCTATAGTAGGTTATGTCCATGATTTTTTATGGAATAAAGCTGTCTTCAAAGATCTTTCAAAGCATGTTAACTTTGGCTTTGTAGCGTGTTTACTTTGGAGATACAGTCGATCACATATAAGGAAAGCACTGATAATACGAAGTTTTGTTTATAGCAATGACTGTTTTAGGTGTCAGTCTTTGTTTTTCTTTATTGATGAAAGTGATGATACAAAGTGACTATTACTATTACAACACGGTAAATTGAAAAGTCCCAAAGACATTTTAAAATAGTGTTCTCATTAAACAAGGGCAGATCCAGGGCAGCCAAAAGGGGCTGTGCCTGTGCCCCATCCAAAAAAGGAGTCCCCTTTTTGGGGGAGGGGGGTAATGAAAGGTGATGGGGGTCTGCTTTATTTCCCTTCTTTCCAAAAGCGCGTAAACGGCCCTCAATAAAAGCTCACATAAAAACTTCAACATTTTTCGACCCACGAAACACTTTTGCTCGTCCCTTCCCTGAAAATTGGTTTTGGATGCGCCCTTGGACTTACAAAAATATTTAATGTTCAGAGATGATGACAATCAGTGAAAAGTTCGTTGACCCAAAATCTAATCAAAATAAAAAGGAAAAGTAAACCTTTTGGGGGTTCTCTTCCTCCAACCATAACCTCCATTTATGTGTTATCTCCTATCTTTGCCCTTCACACCATCTGTCCTGGGATCCATGCACATCTAGCAGAAATAAGGTTTTCAATACTTCCATTCAAATGTGAAATGTCAATTTAGAATCTCATGAATTTTCATGAATTGTAAAAGGTCTGCCAGACCTGACCAACAATACTCCATTGAGTGGTTATTAGAATAGGCGATGTACCCTGATTCATTTATCAGCTATGAGAATCTTTGTTTGAACAATGAGGGAATATCCAAAGAGGTTTTGTGAAAGAGCCGTGGTCGGTGATGATGTTTGCTCCGTTTGCATAAGTACACACGAGGCGCACAGACAGTACGCTCCTTTGTTACGTGAGGATGAACTCGTGTGCTGCGAACACACACACACATATGCTGACATCAAGACTCATTTGTCAACGGAGCTGAGAGGAAAAAAGAACCGCCAAGGGTGCACGAGGAAGAGATAAAGTGTTTTCTACTAGATGTCTTTTTCTCCAGTCACTTGTAGTCTTTTTAAAGTTACGTATAATACTACTGCCTCTGCCAGAGTTCGCGCCAAAGTGAGGCCCTCAAATACTCGTCGCTTCAGCATACAAACTTCATCGACCAACTAAAAGGTTTGTCCAGAGTTAATTTATATGGTTTGTTGTTCAAGGTCTAGTCGCTCAGATAGCTGCCGAAACTGCTAGTTAGAAGTTGTTGACAACCGAATATGTCTCAGCATTTAGGCAAGCCGAAAGTTTTTGCACATGGGTGATCAAAGCAGGCCGCTTTGTAATGAGAAGGCAAAGGAGAACAAGCTCAAATCGAGATTGACTTGAAATTAAACCATGAAGGAGATGATGCATGTGCATTGTATAATTTATACATGTACTGAGTGTCATGACCGCAATTCTGCAATTTCTAATAATCGGTAGGCCTATAATTGATTGGTAGCATTCATTATTGGGTCTGATACAATGTGCTTACCGTGTGAATCAGTTCACATGTCCGTATAATGTTCACTGATATTCTCTGACATATTTAGTACACGTGGTTCATTTTGAATTATACGACAAGGCAGGCATGATATCGCCGAGGTTGAAGCACGGCGAGATACGTTGGACAAAAAGGACAGATGAATCGAGCATTTGTTGTCTATGATAAAGTGCAAACATCCTCAGTATGCTTTATGGCTCACTCTTCAAACAGATGACGAAGGTCCACATTCCATATGCGTTACTGTATATCCTACACGTGCTATTAGCGTTGAAGTTGACGATGATACGACTGGGGGCGTCCCACATTGCCATCGACGAGTGCGGTGTATTCAAAGGCTGTTTCAGAAGCCCCGTGGATTGCCAGAGTGTGACATCGTGTGACGCCGTCGTGACGTGGCAGGAGACGCCAGACGGAGGATCCTTAATTATTGAATTGGCGGGAATATCACCTGGCTACGTAGCTGTTGGATTTTCTGGTAATCAGCGGATGGTAAGACATTAATATCAATTGATCACTGAGATAAAAAAACAAGTGCCATATGCATTTCATGTGCTTGTTTTCTATGGGCCAGCGTTTAATGCTTTATGGCAATGATGAATTATGAATCTCTTTATTTGGTGTGAATTAAACCTTGAAAAAGTATTTTTACATTTATGAAAACAAAAGTTGGAGAGTTGGGCCTTCACAAACTCACCCTAAATTAAATGGCGTGGAAACCCTGGGGGTGGGTACCGTTCCATACTCTTACCACTTTTAGCTGAAGCATTGAGCTCCCTATTGAGACTTTCCTCCAAACCATAAAATTCGTATCAGGGGCAGATGCAGCTGTCATAGAAAATTATGGCTTCCATTAAAGAAACTGTGCCTACCATTCATCATTGCATTAAAGTTCTAACAATAATAATAACACACATTTTGAAAAAAGTCAAATCTGAAGCTTTTTGGAAAGTTTCCCGCCTTTAAGAGGCGTGGCTGTCATTTTAAAGAAGTGGGGTGGGATTTTTAGTTACCGTAAAATATTTGAATTTTTTTTCAAAATTGCACAAATACTTCCGTTGACATGAAACGTTCAGCGTTTACCTTTTTGAATCCTTCTGGCCTTCAGACACGCACACAGGGCAATTCCCGGCAAAATTAAAATATTTCACTATAGAACCAAGCTAGCTTACTAGAACTTTAATTCATAAACGAAAAAAATTTTTTTTTAAATTACAGAAGTTAGAGAGAGTGCCATTACCTGTTACTCTCAATTACATGTTTTTAAAAAAGTCCTTTCGTTTACGCATTTTTAGCAATAAGGAGCTCGTTATTAGAATGATACATTTCATTGCTGCGAGAAACGGTCCATTTTGTTCACATTATAAATAATCTACATTTTAGCGTGACACCCTGCTGCGCCACATCTTTCAACCTGATTAAACCCAGTAAGCACTGCATATAACCAAGATCACAGAGCCGTCCTGGGGCGTCATTAACCGATATGGTTATACCGGCTGTATCAGCTGCAGTGGATACAGAAATGTTTCATGCGGCAATGCCGTATCTGTCTTTGAGTCTGTTCAGAGGAGGTGAGGGACACATGGCATATGTTCCTGACTGCAGTTATTTGAGTAGATGTTTTACCTGTACAACATTGGGCTTGGCCGAGGGTCAAAGCCTTGGTATATCGTCCTGCTACAATACCCTCTCTGTGCCCCTCCCAAGAAGTTTTAAATGGGGGATATGCATACTCTTGTAATGAGTGCCCTATTTGTAGAAATGGCAGCCACAGCAATAAAAATTCGAATCCGTGTTGGCTTCATAAATGCTTGAGAAATTCTAGTCTGTTGTTTAAAGATGGCCATATTTTTTAAAGTTGGGGTAACGAGTGACCCTAATTTTTCCGATGGCTGCCACGCCCCTAATGGTCCAATTTGCACCCGGCCCCAGAATGAATGTAAAATTGAGCGTCAGTGCTAAGAAAGCCTCTTTACAGCCACTATACAACTAACAAAGTGTGGAGATCACAATTGAAGATAGTTGTCATATAATGGAAAAACTTGCCATTCAACTGTTACAGCAACAATATTTTCTCTAAATTTCTTTTGGTGTTGTTTATTTGACTGTATTTAGTCGAACACAGACGTCTTAGCTTGTGTTGATAACAATGGAGCAACACTGAAACATTTCTACAATCCAGTTCGCCATGTGAATGAACCTCGGACGCAGGTGTGTATTATGAAAGGATAACGAAATGTTTCAAACGATGGCCGTTTTGTTGAATTTGAAAAAAAGCTCAAACAGTCTCCCGAATGGTAAGAACTATTGAATCCTAAAAGTGCTGTGGACTGAAATGCAACTGTTGGTGTCAACTGATGGTCACTGCCTCTTTGTTTATAGATGTAGTCCTATATGTTTTGATACTAATCGCTTAATTGCGCATTTTTCTCTCATCATTTTAAAAATACACTCGATTTACGGACAGTGTGGACGGTACAAGGACTTTTGTAACGTGAAACCAGCTTTGGAGCAAATAAATGTGAGGGGAGTGTCGGTCGTATTTTGGACTCAATAGTCTGAGATTCCTGTTCTGCGCATGCCCTTTTAATAGCTAAATGTCTACAACTCATGGCACAGAACTAACAGTTGTTAAAGGGCAGAACAGACAATAGTTTACTGAGTTGACACATTCTGTTTTTGTTGACACTTGCCAGCTAACATCTACTATAACGAAAATTAAGAAAACCCCGTTGTGGATTTTCAATTTTCTGTTCATTTGCATGTTGCTATAGGAATAAAGTTTTAACACGACAGTGTGTCCTCAGTGGCGTTGGCGGGGGGGGGGGCAAGGTGGCCGTTGTCCTTGTCCTATTGCCAGATCTTTTCTCTTTTTAAGAACGGAAATTGCTTAGTACTATATCGCCTTATTTGCTTGTTGCGGGCGAGCATTTTTTTTGCAGAGTTTATCGAGGAAAACCTGGATAAGGAAGTTGTCGCTGTTCTCATTTCCAAGTCTAAATTTCCTATCTCCAGGTCGGAGTTGCAGACGTGACTGCTTCGTCAGCCGATGGCGTAATCCAGTGCCGATTCAAGCGTGTCAAGAGCCTCGACGGAAACCAAGAGTTTGCGGACCTGAGAGAAGATACGTATGTCCTGCTCGCCAGAGGGCTTCAAAGTGATGGTCAGTTAATTGCCATATTTAAATGTTATTTCTGAGAAAAAAAATTAGTCGTTGCACATAAATTTCAAATATTCAAAGATGTGTCTAGGCTGCAGTAAGAAGTGCTTTTAAGTCACATGAAAACTCATTTCCTCTCAATATTTACGACGTCTATTTATAGTTCTGTCAATTTCAGCCATTAGTTGTCCAAGTTCACAAGCGCCCTTCTGTTGTACAGAATTAATAACAAACTGAGAATAAATGCTTAAGAAACAAATATGTTTGACATAATTAATAAACACTCTGCAGAAATCTGATCAACAACCGTTTGGGGTCAATGTATGAATGTAAACACCTCGGTCAGATGACTCTCTGGACCCCTTTTCAGGTCGAGATGACCCAGTCCCAAGGTCAATTTATACCCAGGAGATTATAGTGCCACCCAGAAAGATCAGTATTTTTGGCCCGATTTGTTTCTGTTCTGTAGGTTTCCTGACCTACCATACGCTGGGCTATTTCATCAGCAGCACAAAACAGAATTTCTCAGTTTACCGAGCCGCCGATGACTTGACGACAGCGTTTCCACCTTATCATGACGGCAATTCAACCCAGAGAACCCTCCTGCCAACAGACTTCCTCAATACGGAGGCCTCGCCCAGGCTTACAGCACCAAGCAGTACGTGTCACATAGTTATAATCAGACCACTGTTATGGCAAGTTATCCACAGACTTCGAAGATTCAAGGTTTCCAAATAAGGCCCAAGTTTTTATCCCAATATACCGGTATAAAAGATCTCATTCTTCTGCAATCAATCTGAAAGGGACTGCTAGAAATGGAACGAGTCCAAAACTCCATATTGCATGGCGTGATTGGTCATTAATTATGTCTGGTTGCACACATTGATCGGAGGTACGTGCGCATCTCACGTCCAACTGGTGCCACACAGACGTAAAATACACATTTGACATAATTAACCTGCGAACTTCAGCACAAATCGCTCATGCCACAGACGTATTCGTTATAACAAATTTGTACGACTTCAGTCTTTTTCCTCCTTCATTGCTGTACTTACCGTGATTTCTTTTCCCCTTTCCAACTGTAGGTAACGGGGCCAGCAAGCAATACATCTCCCTCACCGCAGTTTCCTTTTTAACGGTTCCAAGTGTTTGTAACATGCTAAGAATAGTTTAACACTGTTGCCAACACTTTTGAAATCGATCTATGTAGAAATTATTTTGATTGATTTCTGGAATTGCAGAAGGGTTAAAGTAAACATCCACACAGTGGAAAATATGGTGGAAATAATGACCTACAGTAAAATTAAGAATATCATACTCACCTAAAATCTATTATTCTTGTTTCATAAAAACTTTTATATTAATATACCAATTTTCAGCAAACGCCAATTAGTTTACAATATAATCAAACAATAGTCCTTCATGTATTTGACTAAACAGTGTAATCTTCTCACAATATGATGTAAAAAATTCATGAATTATATTTTGTATACAAAATTAACATTTATAGCGTAATTAACAGCCCTACGTGTTTGCGTATTGCACCTGCCAATATATACTCTGTTTTATTGTATTAGCTGTCGTAGTAATTTTTCAAGAACAAGAAAAATCAAATTCCGCATTTTTTCGGTCAGTATCAGTTTAATTTTACACATTGTTCCTGAAATATAGGGCCCTCTTGATGTGCCTTAGTTATTGAATACGGGCGTGTTCACAATAGTGCGCCTCCAAGAGTTTGCAACGCGTTAGCCATTCACAGTACGCGAAATTTGTCGGCCCAAAGCCGTTTGGAAAGGGTCGACAAATTTCGCGCGTTGTGATTGGCCAACGCGTTGCAAACTCTTGGAGGCGCACTATTGTGAATCACCCGTACTGGCGGGAGGGCCCCGTTCATCAATCTAGATATGGCATCCAGAATCCGCCGTGGAGCTGTGGGTTAGCCCTTTCGTCGGTCGCTGGGAAGTCGACCGGGACTGAGACCGACTGATAGTACTGCAGTCGCTGAAGGAGCTTAAGAACGATCTCCTTGTTGTCGCGGGCCACGTTGCAGGTCTCACGAGGGTCGTATCTGATGTTGTACAGTTGAATGGCGTTGGAAGAACCCGGACAAGTTTTGGCAGGGATGACGTCAGGAGATTCAGGCGGTCTACGCCATTTTGAACTCCCTAGTGATGATCAAATTTTTATTTAAGAAAAAAATTGATTTAACTAAAACCACAATCCGCCTGTTGACAGGACCGCAAGTCGGCAAAAGGTGGGGAAAGGTTGTTAAAAGTAAACTGTAGAGCAGAGCAGGCATCATTCCAGTGAGAATGTGGTTTCCATTTCAGGGAAACCAAACGCTCTTCATTAGAATGAGTTGACACAGTGACACAAAACAGTCGTCAGTGTTTCTGCCCAATGAAATCGAACATTCAGCCATAAAAAGAAGCAGGAAATCCTCTTTGAACGTGCCTTTCACGCCAACCAGGAAATCACACTCAGTACATCCGTGACGGCGCCTCAGGGAGGCTGCCATTTGTAAGATCAGCCGAAAAACAGCACGTATTGAAACCTCCAACCTGTTTATGTGTATGTCCTGGCCAGTTTTCCCATGTCAGTCTGATTGGTTTGGAGGGCATCAAGTGACTTTGACAAGTATGTGTTACCTGGTTTTCGGAATGATTGTCGGAATGGAAACTTCCCACAACTTATCAGGCATCCATGCCACAGGGCACATAGAAAATGCGTCTTCAGAAAGGCATCTCAGTGTAATCACGTTGCGATTTCCCAAAGTACTGAACATGCAGTTCTTAACATGAACAACCAGGGAAATGACAGTTCAGATTAGAATATTTCTAATATTCGACAGAATTAAAAAAGACCACAGCTTCCTGGGGAATTGTAGAGTTTTGTCCTAACATTTCCTCTGTAAATTTCTTTTGTGCAGTTAATGTGTTTGTGTTAATTACCTGACGCTCCGGTTAGTAATTTCCAATCACCGACTCTGATTGCTGCGCAAATACCAGGGTCGAAGTTATGATCTCCTGCCAACGAGGTTAACAATGCTTGGTCCTCCAGGCTAAGACTTTCATAGTCCTGCATGGGATCGATGTTGTGAAGAATCTCAGTACGGGGTGATGCGGCTCTTTCGCTGCATGAAGTGAAAATAAAATGTTGTAAAAATCTGAAATGGAACTATTAAAAATCCGAAGTAGAACCTTAAAAGTAATAAAGTTCTTTCATACATCTTCTGTAGTTTAAGCCCCCAGGCCCCTCCCTTCCCCCGGGTGTGCCAAGGAGATGATGGCTATTACCCGAAGGAAGACAGTTGAAATCGTCACAATTTCACTGCAACCTCTTGGATCCCAAACGATTGAATTTTGTTCACCTCACCTGATTGTTTTCCATACATCATATCCATCTAAAGGTTTGGTGTTGTTGGTATGGCCACCAGCAACGCTCCTTACTAGGGTTGGTAACCAATCGCTGACATGGATGAGCTCCGCATTGACGGTACCCTGCACGGCTTTAGGTAGAAGCGGACCGCTAACGAAACCAACAGCCCGCACTCCGCCTTCGTTCAAGTTCTTCTTTCCGCCACGAAGGGGCCAATTGTTACCCTGACTGGTTAATGATCCACCGTTATCTATTCAAAAAGGAAAATTTCACAAGTTTCCGTGGTGTGTATACGATGATTTATTTGTAATGACATGTACACCCGAAAGCTTCACTTGTAGCGTCTTTCGCCCCTTGGAGAGTAGGGGTTACCGGAATTCAAAGACTGTATTGAAATATATACAGAAAGTGCGCTTAGTTTCGCCTGCTACATTTGTCATCATTTTAGTATTATTTTGATCTTTTGAATGGAAATGCACTTTCTCAATTTTTGGTACGTACTGACCCTTATTCACCAGTTGTAATAGTTCTCGATTATTTCAAATATTAAGAAAACTGTGCGAAAACTGTACAAAAAGACTTTAACCGTTTTGACAACCGTCAGGCTGCTCAAGTGTACTGGCTGCTTAGGCCCGATATAAATGATTGCCTTGCCCTTTCAATTGTGACCAATTAGGTAACACGATGGAGTCACCTGACGGTGAAAGAAAACGAACAGACTTGGTTTCTTCTTATTTAAACAATGACTCAGATTGGCAGGCACACAAGACTGCTTAAACTTTATGTTCACTCATTAATTAAAAAAAAAGATCCAGGAGAGCATAATTTTATTATATTAAAGAAGGGAAAATGAGACGGTACCCACCCGACGAGAAGATAACAATTGTGTTATCCCAAACGCCTTCCTCCTTGAGTGTCCTTGTCAGGTTTCTGACGCTTTCATCCACAGCGCTGACCATTCCGGCGTATGTCCGTCTGTGGTTTGCGCTAATGGAATCTTGGTATAAATTCTTGTAACGTTGAGGGGCTTGGATTGGAAAGTGGACATTCTTGTAGGCCAGATACAGGAAGAACGGCTGGTGGGTAAAAACGATTAAGCCACTCAGAGTGGATCCGGAACCAATTTTTAAGGGGGGGGGGCTCTGAGTGGCAAAAATGTGGAGGTCTCTTTAGTACATAACATTTTATGGCCTTTTGAGGATTGTTGATCAATTTTGGGGGGATGTTGACATGCTTTGGGCGACAGTGGAATGAAAACGTCCCTGAAAATTTCCTTTCTCTCATTATATTTCAAATAAAGTCCCAAGCGTTGAACCAGTATGTCGTTACCCCGAATAGCGTTATTTCGGCCAATAGCATAGCCTGTCGGTCGTTGTTACTAAGAAACAGAATCGTTGCCATTGTAAGGGAAAGACTTTGTTTGTTTGTTGTTTGTTTGTTTTCCTGTCTTGTTTTATGAGTAGAAAATTCCAAGATTTTAGAAAGAACTTCATCACTAGAACATCAATTTTAAGGTATAGAATTCAAACCAAATATCCACAAGTTTGGAGTGCGGTATCTTTTCAAGGTTGACATATATTTTGTATTAAAATTCTGTCCAAAGGCACATCAGTATAATCTCTTTTTAATACCCTGTCCCTCCGGTGTTGTTTGATAATCTTCTGGGCACGCGATGTGAAGAGTTCAGCGCTGTAGATACCGTCATACTGACGCACATTCTTCAGTTCCTCTGTGGTATCATCATGCAGGTCGTGTCCCGAGACGTGTCTGTGACTTTCCATGGAGCGATTATAGTACCAGTGATCTCCCCCACCCGTATATAAGCCTGTGATAAAAAAAACCGGACAATTATTTCGGATTAAATATTTCCTGGCTATACATTATCTTATTTGGCATATCCAACCGCGGGGGGGGGGTAAACTTCAGAACTAACAACATACAAGACGTATGTTATAATCTCCAAGCAACACTACTCCACACTTGAACATTCCAAACAGGAGCGAAAGCTTCCAAATGCTGACAAAAACGATTTCACATTGGTACATTTTCGAGACTGTTACGCGGGTTCCCAGTTCAGTCACTTGATTTAAACGAGTACCTGTCCATCATTCAGTTTTGAACAGTATGGTCATGGACCCAGACTACTTAGCCTACCAAAGAATGTGTCGAATCCCCTGCTGGTTGGTAGACAAGCTCGATGGCAGAAGCCGAGATGCCATTTGCCAATTGCGTGCGTCGAGTAGCCAACTTCCTTCAACTTGGTCGGTAGAGTGACTTCATCCAGCGGCAAACATTGTGGTCGGCTGTGCTCAAACAAGTAGTGCTGAATTCCCATACGGATCTTTGGGACGGAAGGAGTTAAGACAGTGAAGATAAACACTTCAGTTTTAAGGCTCCTGCCGAAAGAGTTCAGGCTCATGCTTTTGCTAGGTTAAAGCAGACATAGTCATCTTTTGATTGTTCGGGAGCTTTAAAAAAATGAAACAACAACGAATAATTTAAGTTCAATTTTAAGAAAATTACAATAATTTTTAATTGAGAAAAAATAATCTAAAAATGATAGTTGTGTGTATAAAACAGAAATTTTAGAATAATGTGAGGACTTGTAAGTTCAAACAAAACTTGCTTGAGAAAAACTGAAAGAAATTAATGATAAATTGATGCCGAGTTAACTGGCACCAGAGATAACACCGCATGTAAGGTTGATTGACATATGGGACATCATTTAGCATTGAGGAATAAGTCTATTCTTCCGGCCACGTAGACGCAGGTGTAGACATTGGTGGTGGAGTTGTTTTTGAGTGCATTAGGGTGTCGGATGAGCGCAAACATAAGACATTATGTAAGCTGTGCCATCGCCGCCTTGCAAGAAATAACCTCGTGAAGATGATGTAGGCTCTAGGTTTCAATTTGATTTCGTAGTCACTGCTTAGTCGCAGCCATTGTAACATTTGGAATGGGTCAGCTCCCAGGTTTCCCTTCAAGCTGGATTCTTAACAAAAGGCAGGTGTGAGAGCAATATGGTGTGATGTTTCAGGGGACTTGTTTCCCTTGACAGGATCACGAATATAAGCCCCACATGAATGTCAGAGCCTTGGAGAAGAAACCCAAGGCGAGGCACTGATTAGAGTGTGCGTGTTGATTTCTAATATACGAATTTTCCATTTGGAGACAACTTTATACGATCAAGTAAAAAGAGGCTTGCGAAGCGTCCCGATATGCAGTAAACGGTAGCTCTTGCAATAATGGTATATAAAAGAGATCGATTTTATTTGTTCATGGGACATAAGGACCACCCCCATCAACAACAGGTCCTCCAAGAACCTGAAAATTAGCATGAACAATGTATGTTCAAGGAAGTGATGTGAATGAGCAAACGTTTATGCTAACTAAGGGTTATTGTCTTTTAAAACACCGAACGAAAAACATATTCGCCCTTAAAATAATAAGCAGTAGGCAGGTCCAATTGGTTTATATTCTTAATGTCTTATAACGAAGAGCTTCCTCCATTGAAATTTCTCCCTGACTGTGTGTCAGGTGTTCTAGTTTTTCTGACGGTCCGTCTTAAAGGAACATGCTCATTAAGTGATGGAAGGACAGTGTCACTTGAATTTGTTTCATTTAGGAGTTGACACTGTTGCCTATGATCTGATGAGTATCTCCGCCATTTTGCAGCGGCCGTGTATTCTAGATAAGTTAGCAAACTTGAAACTTGAATATGTGCTTGTTATTTCCGAAGCATTACCAAATCCTTCTTCAAATTAGAGCATGTATTCCGTTTTAAGTATTCCGTTACCAGTGTGAACACAATACCGATATTCCGTCCCCTATCACAGCAGTGCGTTTGTAGAATGATGCCATGAATTAGCCACATTTGAACATCAATTTTATGTAATGTTTTTTTGGAGGAGGGGTACCAAATTCATCTTAATTGTGTTTAAACAAGTGTTTGTATTCCACCATCAAGGGTTGTCGTGGCTTAAAGGTGGCGTGTGATGGCCTACTTATGAACATGTACAAAACGTTTGTTGATGCAAACTTCACTGATTATATTTGGTCATCATTTTGTTTAAAAGCATAATTATTTACAACCTGGGGCCAATTTCACAGTGCTGCTTAAGCGAAAAACGTCTTATAATGTGTATTGTTTTGGAATGGTATTTACCTGTCTTTTGGTTAGCATGCCAATCACATAGAGTTTGAGTCGGTAACCTTTGTTTGTTAAGCAAGGTTTTTTCGTGCTTAAGCAAATTCTATGCTTAAGCAGCTCTATGAAATTGGCCCCCAGGAGTCTAGACTCAAATATATGAAAATACTGAGCAGAAAGTGAGCCTAATACTTGAGAAGAAAATTCATTCCGAAGCGAAAATCAAATATTTGTTTAGGAAATAATTAGCTCTGCTCAGGATATATCTTCTTTCGGTACAACCATGAGCCCCAAAGGGATATTGAATCTACCCTCTGCCTGTAAAAATTGTTTTAATAGGCAATTAATTATGCAAATCACTTTTTTGCATCTAAGCTTATTCTACACATGGCGTATTATCTTGTATACAAGGCAGTTTTTCTGAATTAGTCTGGGTTTTTGGAGCGCCAAACAGCTGCAAAACTGAAGCAATAGAAAGCAACCATTTCAAAAATAAACCTGAAACTTGGGGTCTATTCCATGTTTGGATGTTACCTGATACCTGCCCGTCATGAGCTGGCTCCTGGTTGGAGAACACAGAGGTTGTACATAGTAATTCTCCAACTTGACGCCTTGCTCGGCGAGTTCGTCAATGTTCGGAGTTCTGATAGCTGACTTGCCATTCTTAGCGTGATAACCTACGTCGTTATAACCTAAATCATCAACCAGAAGAAACACAATATTCGGTTTCTGTCCAGTTCCCTCTGCTGTGGGTAAAAAATGTTTTGGATCATCCCCACGGGGTTTGTAATAGAGTACGGAATCAGTTTCGATACGAAGATGACCAGGTGATATTTGAAGCACAAGCAGCAACGCTACAGCAGCAGCGATCGACGCGAGAATTAAGAATTTCGACGGCTGACAGCTGACAAGACGGACAATTGCCATGTTGACCAGTCGACATACAGATCAGCTCCCTGTCTTTGAAAATCAATCCCAAGACCGCCAGACTGTGTTGCGATGAAGAACCCGGGAGTTGAAGGCTCACTCGTCCCCCATCCAACCATTCCACATGTGTATGTGGTGCTGCAACATGTAGTAAACGGTTTCCACGCAGACCGTCAGCTTCTATGTTCACGTATTGATTATAAGGCTTGAAAAACACGCCATGATCGATGACTTTTTAACAAGTCCGACTGCGAATCTCCCGTTATTCCATTGTGAGAGACGACATTCAAGAGCTAGTGCTTTCAGAAGGCAAACACAGTAAACGTGTTGCGTTCAGGTTAACAGCTTTTGGTTTTCACAAATTCTGTTCGATTGGCTACCGTGCTGCAGTGACTCATAATAACGCGTCAACTTGGCTTTCCTGTAGAAAAAAAAACAGTGTTATTATTGGATCAAAAGCTAACAAGTACATATGCTGTGTCAAATGTTGCGTACCATTGAAAAAGGTGACGCTGTGTTGAAAAACTAACGTAGGCCTAATGCGAGATTTTAAATCATGTAGATGCCGTCTTGCCTTTTGTTTTCAGTTTCATTAAACTGACACCCCTTCAAGGTCACACTCGATGGATTTCCGCTATCTGCTAATCTCAAAGCACATGTCAGTTTCGAGGGGCGGGACGGTTTTGTTGACACTCTTGGACAAAATGTTGGGAGTGGAGTTTAGATCTTTCAGATCATTACTGGCTAGGTATTTGTAATATTGGCCACTCAATTCAGTGAGTGGGAGGTTCTCTCTAGAAATGATTGAACACTTCCGAGCTTTTTAAAGATTGGTTAGGTCTGAGTAGGGATTTTAAAGGCAAACACACAAAACAAAAGTGCAATCACCATCCGACAAGGGTCTTCAATTCCTGTATATATTGGTTTATTATGCACAGTTGTTGAAGCTGGAACGTATTCGGTAAAGATGCGGGACGGCAAATCCTCCCATTCAACCACTGGCCGGCAAAATTATCTGACCAGGAGTAAGTGACACAATACTCACAAGCCACAATCATAATCCGTATATCCTGTGCCGAGAGTCCCAATCCCGGACGTGATTCATATGACTCGGGAGGATACACCGCTGCGTCCAAAAGGGGAGTTTCAAGGGTCTGATGGGGGAGGAGGTTGAAGCCAGTCTCCCCAAACTAATTAGATCATCATCCATGCAGAAGGATCCAGGGGAAGACGTCAGGGTTTACATAGTCACTCCACAGCCGATAGAGTAACCTGATTCACCATTGGAGCACACAAACACCCTCCAAAGGTTATCGTATCCCACACTCAAAAATTGAAAAGATACAAAGAAGTTAGTCTCTTTTGATGCAGTGATCAATTGTAGTGACCCCCCCCCAGTATCAGCACCAGTTCGGGGTACCATCTCCCCTTCAAAATGAACCTGACTGACTTTGGTGCAATCTGGGTAATTTTTTATTGCAAAGCTTGCTAATAAGTACCCTACATTCTCTACGAATGGAACCACCACTACAATTTATTGGTCACAAAAGTAGTAAAGAAAGCATCGAGTTCCAACTTTCGAACTTTCCTTATTTCAAACCAAGGAACTCTTCACTTTGAAATGGTTGCTACTGTAATGGTTCATTTTTGATTTCTGAAAGAACTTTTAAATTTGTAATAGCTATTCTCTACGGTCCGATAAAAAAGACCGCTTGTAATATAGAAATGTTCTTCACGAATACTAACAAAATATTGTTTTTCACTTGACCTGTCTATCAGGTAATCACGATTGTGATCTTTGTCTGATCCTTTGTACACAATTGTAGACTGACAAAACGAACAAAAACGAATTCAGGAGTCAGGAAGGAAAATCTGACTTGACCAAGTTGCTGAAATTTCAGAAAATAATTGTGCATTCTCCGTCCCAAATGAACCAAGAATATAGCTGAATTTGAATAAACCTCCCTGTTGTAAACAATGACCACAAATAATACCAACTTTATATTTAAATAGACTTATGCCACAAATTCATATATTGATCTCTGTATATAGTCAATATCACTATCAGCTGATTACACACCATCCCGCGAGCTCTTAAAATTTGACGAGGTCAAGGTGGAGAGCAACGGCGACGCTCATCATCAGAGTCATTGCAGACATGAGGGGACCTTTAAAATAAAATAAATTAGTTCAAAAACATTTCCTCCTGAATAATTGAATCTAATAGGCCTACCACCGACAGTGATTGCTCTTACTGAATTTACTAGTATCTAAGGAATACGCCAACTTTCATATGTTGTTATGGTTTTAAGTGAAATGTAAAATCAACATAAATGCAACTCAATCATGTGTAAAAATTTCACGTGTGTTTTCACAATGATTGTTATGTTTGACCCCCACAACGGGTTCCGCTTCTGCAGTCTGCAGTACAACTACGTGCACGATCGTCAAAGTGACAACAGCGCCCTCTATACTCACCATTGGGCCCGCCACTCGAAGGGGTAGACGCAGGTTTTGCTGAAGACGAACAATAATTTACAAAGTTAGGAGGCTCATACGGGTATGGGATTATCCCTCAAAAGGTGCATGATTGTGTTTAGAAATATTGGACTGCAATGTCTCACTCTGCTGGGAGGTTTTTGCTTTTGTTCAAGTATAATTGAAACAAACTCATTCAATGGCAGTAAATTTTATTTAGTGGCACGCGTCTTTTCGATGTCAGAGACAGTTTATAAGAAATGAACGTCCTTACAAGAAAAATGCATGTGGTCATAAATTGCTACCAGGATCGCCGTTTCCCATTGTTACTGCGTCGTATATCTTACATATTTGCCCTAATTAATGCACAATAATGCCCTGTGAACTAAGGCTCGAAGAAACCAGGCAAAATGGCAAGATCTTATCCATTGTTGACATCTGACTCAAACAAAAATGGTTTTTGTGGACTGATTTTTTGATTCGCTTTTATTTTCTCCACTTGTGTATCATAAAGATGCTATCAGCTGATGATATCACTGAACAAATATACTGCCAATTTCGCACGCAGCTTAAGCCAACGTTTACTGTAATGGTTATGAGGCCTACTTTTTAAGCTTACTGGACATTGGCGAAGCTGGTGGTCTGCCGCAGTCGGTGCTGTTGGGACCAGTGAAGGTCATTTCGCTGGAAAGAACTCCTGTCCAGAATAGCTCCTTTGGACCTTTCACGATCGTCGCCCTTTGAAAGAAAAACAAATAAGTCCATGATCAATCTACAGATTCGTTCCTATTACAGCCGTCGGGCATGGCATGTGCATGTGTGCATATGGTGCTCCCAATTTGCATAGTGGAAAAACCTAGCTTCATATTAAACCAATAGATCGTCATATCAAGCTACCAATGAAGGGTGTAGTTTTCTGAAACCTTATACATGTTTAAGAATTCCTGTGGTTAGTTAGGCCTAGGTCTTACTAAACATTAGTTGAGTATAAGTGCAATCTCTTTAACAGGACTTTTATTTTTCAGAGAAGTGATCTTATATTTACATTTCTGCTTCATTGTTCAACAGAATATGTTCACCGACAAACTTGCAGGGGGATAGGCTTAGACTGCATTACAGACATGTTCTTTGTTACATCTACGAACACTTAAATTCAACTTCAGTAGATCGTTCTGCCACTGCTGTCTTACATGAAAGCTAGCGGCCCCTCATCACAAGGTGGCGCTATCCAGGTCACCGATGCGGCAGTTGCTCCTAGTTCACCCGAGTGTCCCCAAGCACTCTGTGCGAAAAAAAGCAAGTAAACTTTGATGTATTTCTCTCGTAAATGTAACTTGCGTTGTTATAAGAGACTCCACTTATCACTCAATCGATCACAACCAATTCTTATTAAAGTCACCTTATGAAGAAAGCGCACATTCTTTTCTTAGGACACGAATGGTTTCAAGGTCAGCCCCACCCGTTGAAGTGTTTATAAAGCATAATAGCAGCTATTTTTCTCCTTTTGTTTTTAAATCCAAAAGCATTTCTAAAGGCATGTGTGGCTGGAGGGGTCACTGTAGAAAAATTGTTTAAAAAGCACCTGCTCTTTAAACCAGGAGGAGACAGAGCCTGTATCAACGGGCGAGGCAGCGACCTGAATGTTAGTGTAGAACAACATCAGATGCATGTTTAGGTCATGAGCATTGCATCGAGGCTATCTCTAGTTCGCTCCACTTTCCTCAGAAAGGATTTTTCAGCACAGCGTTTTTCGGTGACAGTTCTAGGAAACGTGGTCCTCATTATTTCTAGCATTCAAACAAGTCAGTGTTGTTCTGAATCACACAAGATTATGTTATGAACGGGGGTACTGTAGTAACATTAAACATGATTTTCATTGATAATCTTACATCTGGTCTACCGCAGGTAAGCAGTTGGGTTCTAGTTGGCGCGTTCGAGAACGTGCCAATTGCCTTGGTCCCGTGTCGGTCAGCTCCTTTACGACGGGCCTGCATAAAGATACCCTCAATCTCAGACGTGCTGTCCGTTGATTCCACTGTGACTGTAACAGAGACACGTGAAAGGGTCATAGCATTTTGACTACATAGACAAGCCGTCATCGTCAGCCACAAAATAGTGTCATGCAGAGGCGAAGCTCACGCGAAGTTTGAGCTGTGCAATCCAAATAACAGGTGACTAGCACTACCTGCCGCCCACCTGTTTTTGAGGGGAGGAGTAAGAACGGTGGCTTATAGATGGGGAAACTTACCGCTTGGAAATTTTTTTATTATAAAGGAACTTAACAAACAACATCATCACGACAGGCCACTCTTATAACGAAGAAATCATGTCTTTCTCCCCCTGAATCAAGGCCAAAACCGTTCCTACTGCTGCCAAAAGGGTTTTTCCACATCTTCATGTAAGTAAAACCCTCATAGATGGGCATGACACACTATACCGTAGCACTTCTCAAGTTTTCTTACAATAAAATTGAATAGGAGTGGATGTCCCACACCCTCCCCGTGACAATCCTCAGTAACAAACACCTTCACCCAGTGGCTTACATCCCCAGACTGGAGACATGTCCTTACCCGTGATGGACTGGCCTGAGGAGTACGTAGAACTCGACGTTAGGATTCGATACGGTGCTTCGGTTGTAGCGGTACTTTCCCCGTGGCCTGACGGGATCATGTTCATACACAGATCGTACGGGTACTGGCCTACGGGCGGCCCAGCCGTGAAAGCCCATGCTCCCAAAGTGGTGGAGAGAAACAGAATCATAAGACAACGTAAGGCCATCTTTCCCTGGAATCAAAGTTTTGATATTATAATTTGGTAATATTCAGGTTTCTAAATGACCATATATAGAATAAAATTTGTAAATGAGTGAATACCAGAAACGAATGTGACGTCGACACATGGTCTGCACCTATCGTACAAGTTTCAGTTTCTGAAGTAAGAAAGAAAAATCGTCGTAAACACATCTGGAAGTCATACGTTGTCAATTTTGAAGAAAAAAATTAAACGCTGGTTTTGTCAAAGTCACATTTTGCGTAATGTCATTTTGGAAATTAAATATAGTTATTTCTAACTCACCGTTTTCAGTACAAGTAACCGATCCCTATCTTGGTCACAGATATTGTTTTCTGATTCTGGGTCTACGGGCGGTAGCTTTTTGTTCACTTTCGATCAGTCACTCAGGCCATGAATAAACTTCGTGTGGTTTATCGTCTTTCTCACCCATGATGAGCAGGTCCCCCAGCACAAAGAAAAACCTATTTATTTTTTTCTGATCGCAAATAGAGAGATATATTTTTTGTAATTTATTTCAGTTTCGAAGGGAATGCTTTTGTCTAATTTCTAATAATAAAATTGAAGGTTGACATGCAGAAAAGCTCCCCAAAGTTTCTGGAGACTTTGTTTCCTTGGCAAAGGTTACCGAGAAAGAAACTATACCTTCTATTTATATGGCCAAACTAACACACGTCACTTGGGCTAACGTTCTTGTGACCTACCCACTCATAACGAAGGTGTCAAAAAACAATAATTTCATAATACATTCACACCCTGGTCAACTTATCCAAAGAAAATCAAAACGCGCCCAATTGGCGTTTGCCCACTCAACCAAAATAGAGAGGGAACTATTTCCTCTATTGTAGGCACTGGTTAAACACTGAGGGCCTATCAGTAAAAATCACCTCTTCCACCTGACTTGGTGCCAATGAAACTCGAGGTCATCAGAAATTTCATGTTGGTGATTTAGGCATGGACATAGATAGTAAGATAGTCCCGGAATAATTTCACTGCGTCACTGTGTCAATCTTTTCAAACACTGTATGGATACCACGTTATAAGACAATGTTCACATGTGTGATATTTCTCTAAAGGCTTCAGTTTTAAGGTCACTTTTGCCTGAGTGTTCTCTTGGAATTGATATTTGTTTCATTACAGCGTGATCTGCATCCAGTCTGTACTTTGTTTGCCTCTCCAGGAACCAAATGTGCACATAATCCAACACTGCGTTACAACATTTAGTGAACAATGCATTTCTTGAATTTCCATTTGTACACTACCTCCACTGATGATAACACACTCTGGCAGCAATGGGACAAGTTGTTTTTCTTACAAGCTCCAGCAAGATTAGCGACCGACTCAGTAAAGTAGCTTAGTTTTACAACAACCTTTTATTTGCCACAATTTTCTTTGGCTTAATACAAGCACCATGAAGGTGAGTGAATGTATTGTTTTAAGGAAGATGGAGAGGTTTCAATCTAGATGAAATTCCGTGCAGAAGTTCATGATCATAAGTGAATTAGTGAACTAAGAAAAGAACGAAGAATATCATGTACGTAAATCCACATTCAGACGTCATAGCCAACGACAAAATAAACCTCGAGTGGAATTTATATCGTGAAAGTATTGTCCTTAATAATATTACAATTTGGAATCACTTCCTCTATCACTTCTTTAAATTTACAAGTAAAAGAAGATATGTTTGCATGACCTTGCAAACTTGTGAAGCGAAACTACCGTCGAACTTGCCGCAAATTTGACGAGGTCGTGTGAATTTGGGGACAAGGACAGGTTTTGATATGCCTGACAATTCAACCCTGAAAACAGTGCTCCTGCGGAGGTAGTACTTTATGGAAGTTTGTGAGTCCGTTCTGATTTTCCAAATATATATCACGCTAGAAACATGTGTTGTAATGTAACCTGCCTACATCCAGGCAATTTCTTCAAGGATTGAACTTTACACTTGAAATAACCGACAGCTACGGTAATTTTGTGTGAATCATCTATTTCATAACATAACATTGCCTATCGACCTGAGTTTCTCTCACAGTTGACAGCCACAAAACGCGGCAACAGCAAAAATGAAACCAATAACACAAAAGTCTAGGACACTTTGTAATGAAATTACAAACTTTGAGGCATCCAACTCCACTCCCGTGCCGCCTGGTGTTACAACTGTTGGATTAATTCGTCGAAAATGAAACGAACAGATTTTTAAAACAAAAAGAGAAATAAAAACAATATACCTCTTCACATAGAAATATTTCTCAATACGTATGCATACAGTATAAGGTCTATTTTCATACAGTGATAAAAACGCTATGTACATTACTCATTCTGATCAATTTTAAGTCTGACGTAATTTTACAGATTAAGAATTCAAAGAAAAGTAATAGGCAGGATTATCAATTATTTTTCTTATGTTTAAATAAGTCTGAAACGAAAGCAAAAGACAGACTTGGAATAAAGAAACATATGTAGAAGTAAATAGTACATGGTTGTTAGAATAGGATTATTAATTTTGGTGATTTAAGGTAAGACGCTCCTTCCCGACTTTACTCTATTCAGCTGTCACCGAACCTCCTCCAAACAGCGTGACACATCTGTGGAAGACCCCGATCACTTGATACACCCATTCACTTGTGCAGTACATAAGCCAGTAGGACCATCGTCGACAGTAGCAAGCCTTGGCCTTTGACGCCATTAGCTGATATCAAATTTAAAGCAAACATGAACTCAGTGATATACTGAGCGAATGCCTTGTCACTCTTGAGGAACCTCAACTTATTCTGAGCAGTGACCCCCTTCCCTAATATTTCTCTGAAATAATGTACATGTATTTAAATTGTAATCACAAGGCCACAAATAACATTGAGAACAATGGCAAAGGACTATTGCAGTTCATTTGAATAGCTCGGGACTGGAATGCATATTGTAAGTCGCAATGAGTCTCAATTACCTCACCGATTGTTATAACCCCCAGAAACCTGTTATGTTAATTGATAAAAACCACGTGAGTTTTGACTCTCAAAACAACTTCGTTACAGGTAAGAACTCACTTCTCATACAATCAATATAATAAGGACAATCTCCATCAAGTCTGACAGGATAAACAACAAAAATGTATTGTCAGTTTCTAATAAGTCACGTGATAGATTTAAATATCAAATTATGGTAGGAACTTGAACCTACCATTTCCATATAAGATTTCAGATGACATAACGCCAGTCCAGTAGTCCTCTTTTTTAAGACCGACGATCGTTGCGCTGTGAACATGAAATCGTGAAAATTAAATGACCACTGTTTCATGTTTTTTCTATGTCCCTTTGCAGTGACACTGACAGTGTGAATACTTCTGCCAAATAACTGACGTTAATAGGCAGTGAAAAGTATACGAGGCTCATTGATGAGGGCAAAATAAAAACGGAAAATTTTCTTCTCGGCAATTTTCAACCATCGAGGGCGGTAGCTGGTTTGACTGTGACAACAACAGGAACCAATCCCAGTAGCTGGAAGTTCTCATAAACGTGTGTGTTTATTAAAGTTATATCCAGGTAATTCCAATACGTTCCAAGTCACATTGCAGTTGCTAGAAGGGACAGCTTCAATTTTCGGGGTGATACGTCAACGAGACGTCAGAGTTAATGCTACTTACTTGAATACAAGAGGGCCAAAGCTGGTGCTGGGACCGATCCATCTTGCTGTAACTTTCGTCTTCTTGTTTCTGTTCGCATGTCCCCAAGCACTCTGAAATGTTATCAATAGACATATGAAAGTCACTTTTGAGTTTTATTTAATTTTTTCATTTGTAGCTTATGTTCGACAATCGTGGACACCCTTGAGTAACGATAACAAATGCAAACTTATCAGCTATAATATCCAATTTTGTACAGAATCAAATCCCGTTGAACATCACCTTTGTCTAGGATATCGAAAACAAGTTAAGCCTTGTTTCCATATGGTGGTTTGTAACACAGACGGTCCGCAAGACGTGAAGACGCAGAATCGAACGGAAGAGAAGGTGCATGACGTCATTCCCCCAAACTGAAAGAAACTGGCGTCCCAAACTCTGTTGTTTTTTCAGAGAATGCCCTTTTAGATCTACTCTACCCCTTCATGATGCCAAACCTGTACTCCAGTTTCATGCATGTCAATGATGGTCAGCTATTAAATTGATAATAAGGGTGTAATATTTGCCTTGCGCAGCGTTACGTAACATTTTTTCTGACGTCCTGAGTGGCCTCTACCGTATAGTCGCTTTCGTTCGCAGTCTGGTTTGCGTTTGTCTGCGCTGTCGGCAACAACTCAGTTTGACACGTTTCCATGTGTCTGAGTTGCAGTTTGCATCTTGATTACGTTACGTCGACATGGAAACCAGGCTTTATTACCCAGGGACACAGACACCAAAAGTATCGAGCTAGATGATTCCGACTGACTTACATTTTGTGTTCCGCATTTAATAAATTGTGACTCCTCTGTCGGTTCGGAGATGAAGCTTCCGACTGCGTCCAAACTCGGCAAACCAACACGTCGGGCTTGTATGAAGAATCCACGGAAATAATTGTCCGGTTCCGTAGCGTAGATGCTCACTGTTGGTTGAAAGATTGTATTACAAATCCTGGCAAGTCAATCACAAATCTCAAATCAAATCTGAAGCTATGCCTTTTCATCCCGTTTCTGGTGACCAGGCCTATGATTTGAATATTGTATCTGACTTGTGGTGGATATCTGGCAGAATCAAATTCAACACTCGTTAGCTCGTGCATGCAATTAACAAATACCAAGTGTTGGCTGCTCTCTGCAAAGTCCGTGTTCTTGGTATCATTCTTTTACTTCTTACTTTCGCGAAGTTATCATTTCACTACCGGTACGTTTGGTAACACAAATCTCGAGTTACCCAAAATACGTCCAACGTTTCGTTCTTTGTTTCGGTTTTAAGCTGAATTTAGCCTATAGAGAAGATCTTTGCTTTTCAAACATGATTGAACACTCCCAGCAATGCGACACATCTTTTCAAGCACCGTATAACCTGAAATTGCCCAACTTGAAGTCAACAGCTCACAGCTAACTGCGTGTACAGCTAGCATAAAGGATGCCAAACAAGCTTGCAGGTTAAAAAAGAGGGGGGGAAAGCCGATAAAATTTAAAGAATAAAACGAAATGGTCCAGTTATCCTTGTCATACTTTGGGTTTTTATCATAAGGAATGATACATCCTCTCGAACTTCCTGCTGACTCTTCCCCATGTATCCAGCGAGGGGGACGCCCCCCGGAGACACATTACATATTTTTTAGGAATTGCAAGCGCCATCAGCTTAGAAAGGTCCACCTTTACCACCTTTTTTTTACCATGCACCTTTCTTTAGGGCTAAATGGGATTCTTTTACCAAGGTAAAAATTGGGAAAGTCGTTTAGATCAATTCCCTTCCCCGACCTAAGCCACTAACATTTGTATCCCCACCCCCAAAAGGCACTATTTTGATTTTGACAACCCAGTATAACTAGCAGTTGGAAAGTTTAAGGTTCACAAAATTTAACACGAATTCTAAAAAATAAATAAAGGTAATGATGGCTGAATAAGGCCCTGAACCGCCTCTGGTCAAAGTATACGTCAAAATGATAAGCAGCCATGCTAATATAATGCATGAGCCAAAGTCCGACGGCGCACAACTCCTGTTGTCTTTTTATATCCGTATAATGTTGACTGAATGATAGTTAGATAATTACCCTTTGTGCAAAAAAAGATCTCGTTTGTGGTTTTATACCTACATCCAGCGAATAAAGAAGTGAACTCATCTGTAATATTTTCCAAAAAAAACCATTAAAAAACGACAAACACAAACTCAAAATACCATGGAAAATCGGTCCATTATCACGTCAAAGGGTAAATAAATGATACGCAATGGGTTGGAAACTCCTACGGTTCAGAGATAGATATTAATAAGTAAAAAAAAGAAAACAATCAAACTTCCTCTGACGAAAACAATATGCCAAAATCAAACGAACGAAATATAAGATTACATATGTGCTGCCAAATCGGGTCGGTTCAAGATGGCGGATGAAACTGTTGATGAAGAACGCTGCAGTTTTTTTTTAAATTATGTCAAAGATCGCAGATGTCACACAGACGACGACAAAATGACAATCAAAGGTGACGACGACATAAGCGTGATGAAGATTACGATTACCATCACTAACCTTCTATTGAGTTACCCTTGGTATACGTATCAGAATCTAAACTGATAGCATAAGGTGCTTTTCCTGAAGCAGGCGAGGAGCCATGGCCGGGTTCCATTGTTATGCATATTGTTGGATATTCCGACGTTGGGGGTCCGGAGCCTCGAGCCAATGCTGCTGGTAGGATCGCCAGTAACAACCACACTGTCCGATACATGTTGAACTTCTAAGAGTGGGAGTTTCCGTAACGAGAAAGTCGTTAAATTGGGCCGGGTTACCAAGAAGTTGAACTGTGAATCTGATTATTTAGTTTCATTAAATTCTGACAAATACAGATGCCAAATATATTCTTAACTACGGTAAAATACACACACACACACAAAATGGGTGAATTTACGTCAATTTAGTAATGTGAGAGTTTACTGAAAGACACAAAGTGACATCAATTCTATGTATGCATACTGTGTCTAAATTCCAAGCGTTTACGCTTGCAAGTACGAAATAATTCCAGATGATTTTTATAAGACGATTCACTGAAGTACCTACCTGTGATGTTTTCTGTTTTATCACCAGCAGTGCAATGTTGAATATGTGGTAACTGCGTTACAAGTGGGCGAAGTGGTCTACACACTGATAGCGTGCAAAGTCCACAGTCCGTTTGGCTTTGTATACGCCGATGCAAACACATCAGTTAGAGATTAGATAGCTATCCTGTATATAAACGCAGCAGTGGAAAAGTACTGCGATATTGTCTTTACTTTGGGCGTGGCCAGGATTTATCAGGGAGGGGAAGGGGCAAGGAGAATAGAGCCCTGAACTCGTAGGTTGTGGGGTTTTTTATTTTAATGCTGTTTACGTCGTGCCTTCTCATGCAATGAATGGGGGAACGTTGCTGATCTTCGCTAGTAAATTCAGGCACACGTTGGCCTATTTTCAAGCAGGCCACGTGAACACCTTTTCGTCAGCGAAACTATATGCTCAAAACTATAATTATCCTCTTTTCGAGCTTAACGGAAAAATGTGCATTTTTCCAGCAACAGTGGAAACTTTAGCCAACTTGTTAGAGCATGTTAGCCGCCCGAGGGCGCGCTACACGATTATCATAAAAACCTTATGTTATTCGATGGCCTGTATTCAATGCTATAGGACATGTTTACGCAACTGCCACCAGAAACGTGTTTCTTCTTAGTCATTGGTTGTGTAATTTTCGCGACTTCGGTTATGCTTGTGTGGCACAATTTTTCCGACCAAACGAGAATGAATTTGGAGTTGGTTAATCTCCGGTTCAAAATGGCGGAGGTGAAAACAATTTTCTCCTCCAAACGAAGTGTATTCTTCGAGTTATTTTTGGATGCAGCAAACTAAAACAGATATCTTCTTCCGAAAGTGAAGAGATAGAACAGTATTATCATTAAGAAACTTGTCGAATATTGAGTGAAAATGACGTTTGTCAGCAATGCCGCCCGCTATACCTTTTACTTTATTTCTCTGGGATGACGTAACCGGTTCTGGATCGTTTTGCGGGTCACTTTAAAACGTGCAAGTTCTTTCTTACAGCTTTTAACGTCCCAAACATGTTTCTGGTTCATGGCCATGAAAACACAACCCCGGGAATATGAAGCGGTATACAGGCCTGCCAGCTTTCAAAAGGCTGCCACGTCACATATAGATGTGGCTCTATTTTCTTTTCCAAATCGTTTTTTTCTTATCTCCCCACAACTGACAGACATCAGGTTGGTCTCCTTTCACACAAACCTTAAAAATATCCAAAGAAGACGACCTAAAACATAGGATCTGAGCCGATTCCAGGGCGATGTTTCCCCTTACATTGTCCACGCAACCGCCCCCTCTGGGGAAGAAAAAACCACTTGTAGGCCTACGGGCAGGTTTAGAAACGTTTGGCGCTGGGCCGCAATGAACATGCGTAACCGATGTGTGTCGCAATGGTGTGAAATACAGTCTTTGTCGTTCCTGGACAAGGGGCGTCCGGGATCTTAGATAAAAATCTTTCCAATCTTCCTCCTTGCTTCTGTGCCGGTGAGGGGGAGTTTCTTGTAGGATTGTTGAGGCTTCGCTGACTTACATGATTATTATAAAGACTTTTTCAAAACGTCGCTCTGGTAGCTCGCCGTTTCTTTTTTTAGATTGATAACAAATGCAGGTACCGTGGAAAGTAACACAATTAAAATAATGCTGGGTTTTAAATGCCCGAAGATGAAAGGAGGTGGTAGCAATTATATGAAAACATAATGATGGATATACAACCTGCCGAAGCATGTTTATTGTCAACTTGCAAAGGACAAAACAGAGACATTCCGTTTGTGCGAACAAATCGAAAGGCTACTGAAGAGGTTTCTCTTTCGCTAGAAAGCACTCCCTGTTATGCTAAGCACAATTTCCCTCTTGTGCTGCTTAAAGCAAGCGTATGACTGCGCCAGGACAACAAGAATAAAACCAGTTCCTCTGAATCGTGGATTTTTTTTGTGTGTGTTATTGTTCTGGGGTTTTTCCTGTCACTTTTGCGCCAATACAAGGAAATAAGCATACAACCTGTGATTGAAACGAAAGGGTCAGTACTGGTGAGGTTGGTGCGAGATTTACTGCTATATGCGAGGCTGCAAAAACGTACGTCGCCTCGCACTCGGCTTGGGGTATTATGTCTATGAACGTGACGTCACAGCAGACAACATAATAAAAGGGATGGGGTGTGTGTACATGCCTACATGTATTAACATACATGTACTTGACCCTCATCACAGCGTGCACATAATGGATGGACTCTTTTACAGACACGAGGTCTGTGGTGCACGCATCGATACTCCTAGGTCAGTCAGATGTTGGTGTCTTATTTGCTAGTGCACATAAGAGACTTCTCGATGAGTACTACCGCAACAGATGCCTATTTTCTCGTGAGCTGTTCATGCTGTGACCTGTTAGAGTACTTCTGGTGAAAACATGGCTGTCGTCTCCGGTGCCTTTGTTCTTGGAATAATGCTGCTACAAGTGACCTCTCCTGGGTACGCCCAAGACGCAGGTAAAGAATATACAGTAAACATATAATGTTCAACTGATGCAGACGCTGGGACGTGAGGGACGTATCCGCCCCACTCCCTGGCTCACACTCGATCGAGCTTTCAAGAGGGCTGATTACATGAGCTTTTTGGTGACAGCTGGGAAGTGTGTCAAAACAGATGCTTTTTTCCTGATGCTTGGAAAACCGTACGGGTCGAGTTCATTGCTGCTAATTTACAGAAATATTCATTGAAGATGGCGTCTGCATTTTAAATCTGCAAGTGGCTTAAAATGAAAATACGTTTATCCGAAATCATTTTTTTCCCGGATATTACAATATGCACTGTGTTTGTTCCAATTTTTGAGAAGTGTAAAAAATATGAAGTATGGGTATACCGTCATTGACAACAGTTTAGGATTACCCATACAGAGTGCATTAACCTGAAGGAAAACCAAACTTAATCCAATTATGGTGACTTATGTTTATTTTCAATGTGTAACGTAAGTGTCCTGGGTAAACAGCAAACTACATTTCCATGATTTGAAATGTAACGGTAACAGTCTAATATTTAGTCTGCCCTCCTTTATTTCTGATTACTTAGACTGGCTTTTTACCCCATGCTGCCTTACAGACAAAATGCCATGCAAGACTTGTCTTTGTCAAACATTTCATTCGAATGGGCACACATGTCTAACACTCTACTGATATTATGCACCACTGTAAAAACATTAAGTAATCAGTCAGTGAGACGATGTAAAGTGCAGGCCCAGTGACAAAAATACCAACAAAATTTCAGGTGGTCTTAAACTTTTGCAAATGACTGCAGATTGTCAATGAAGCTGCATGTTGATTACAAATATCCGGATAAATAAAAGCACCTGGCAAACCATTTTTTTTACCGAGTTCAAGGCCTGTTATGAATCCTATACCGTGAGAATAGTACTCCGTCGATGGGGATATATTTGCTTTGCTAGTCTAGAGCCATCGCTCCGAGCATCAGGCCTGAATGAAAGCTGTGAAATTCTCCCTCTTCCGAGCTGTTTAGGGCTTGGCCTAACCTACGAACAGCTTAAACAATTGTACCTGCACCTTTACCTGCCCCTGGCAAACTTTTTATTCTTCCAGAGAACAATGGTGAAAATAATGGCAGGTTCAAGTTTGGGATGTGAAATGCCTCAGGAGGTGTCATGGGGGATAGGTCAAAGGTCAAATTCAAGTTTACTAAAGCACTGTCCTTGAACTTGCTATAGAGCCAGCTGTGACGAACCAAACACTTTTCTGTAATACACGGGTGCATAATTTTTGTTTTACATATGGATTATTTCCTATTCTGTTGTGATTAATGATGCGGAAGGCCAGGGCCGATACTACAAGTCTGGCACGCAAAGCCGATGAAAAGCGTACCACAACCTCCTAAGTGTCCCGGGGTTGTGAAAAATTCAAGGTACGCTTAGCTTAACAGCCCGCAAAGTAGCTCACACAAACAAGAACTTGTCAAATTTTCACTCAACCGTGTAGTCGTGATTGTATACCCTGGTGTCTCCAACTTATACACTGAAATGGGGTCCGCATATGTTGCTTTTGAAGTGACTTTCTACAACCTACCATAACATTAGCGCATGAGGTCCATGTTGTTCCGAATTTTAATCGAGTGTATTCGCGCAAAAACAAAGTAAGCAAATAAAAGAAAGACAGAAAGACATAATTTTGTTAGGACTCCAGAGTATCTGTGTTCTAGAGGAGCTTGCTGTGATGGTGAAATCCTCTCATTTTATGGGAACACTGTTCTGCAAAGAGTCTAAGTTGCGACATTTTCAAGCCAGAAAATAGCTTTCCTCAAAAGGATGTATGCTTGAGGATGATAACATAGTCAATTTGAAGCATTGTACTGTGATAATATGACAAAATAAACACTAACGTATCACAACATTAAAACCTAAAACCTCCATTAATGAAGCATCGAATGACGCTTCTGCATCCGAGGGGTTACGACGGTATAGAAACACATGTATCTTGTGCAAGTCTGCGCTGCCCGCTGGTGGACGCAGAACAAATTTTCCAGTGAGCCATTTTTTAAGCGATGAAGCAAGTTACCCTGGGGTGATGGTCTCATGGGTCTGCCAGTGGAATTGTCTCACATTGTATGAAGAAAATGTAAAGTGATACGATGTAATGTAATATCCATTTTACAGTCAATATTTAGACAGTCTGATGAAATTCAAGCAACAGTGTTATGTTAATTGGCTACTGGGCCATCTGTTCGCTCCAGAATTTGTCATGCCATTTCCAAGTTCAATTCTCGGTCAATTACGAACGTTACAGGTCTTTTACATCGATATGCGACATCTCGAACAATGGATTAATGCAAAAATATTCCAAGTGTCAGACACTCCCTGAAAGTTCATGTTGTTTTCTGATTGCCAGCAGACAGTATTCCAACCGATGGTACATCAGACGTTTCTTCACCTCATTCCAACTCTTTACTACCCGGTGAGTAGAACTGTCACAGATATCAGACTTAAGAAAACAGCTTTTATTTAAATGCAATTTAAAGAATGTTCCAGGTTTGGGCTGAAGCAGGGCCTACAAAAGACAAAAGGGAAAGGAAATATTACACGAAATGCAAAGCAGTAAAGTGCAAATAGATTTTTCTTGGGGGGCTGTTTCTCTAATTTTTAGGTCAAGAATATGAATCTGAATTCTTAGACAAAAGATCGTTTTAATTGTGTCGCCCTCAGTCAGTTTCATTTGACTAAAAGTTTGTCATGGTTAAGTCCGCGTAATTATCTGGGTTTTTGGTAAACTCTGAGGCAAACATAAACGAAGAACAAGTCCCGGTCACACTCCCGTCGAGTATCCACTCCTGGCCGTCAGGAAAATTTCAAACTTGCTAAAGGAATATTGAGGTTTTAAACTTGTAATTGGTTCACAGATGGCAGTGTGCGTTTAAAGGGTGGGTTCCAACCTTACCAGGGTCGTGTAGAGATCTACTACGGAGGCTCTTGGGGGACCATCTGCGCAGAAACGTGGAGCCAGAATGCTGCCATCGTCGTGTGCCGACAGCTGGGCTACAGTGGCGTGCGGTCGGCGCGCGAAACCTTCGGAGAGGGCACAGGTCCGATCCTGCTGGACGGTCTCAACTGTGGCGGGTACGAAGATGGTTTGGGAAAATGTCCCAAGACCAGCTGGGAGGGGCCTACCTTCTGCAACCACACACAAGACATTGGGGTGTTGTGCAGCATTGGAGAAGACCAAGCAACACCTGCTCCTTCGGAAATTAAAGGTGACTTGCACTATGTCTGAGGAGCTTGGTTTGAAAAAGGAAAACAGCGATTTGTTTCCGAAGGAATGAACGAAATCATCTATCAACTGAAGTAATTACACCCAAAATAAAACAATATACGTCTAGAAGTAAAATTCAGACGATCAGTCCCCATTATTATTTATGATGAATGAAGCATTTCTTCTTTTTGGAAATTGCAAACTCGTGACGGTTGCGTTTACAAGAATATCTTTACCAGTGGTCTAGTGGTGAATTTTTTAATATCTTTTTCTAATCAAAAATCAAAATTTCTTCAGATGGTTCAATACGTCTTGCCGGTGGTACCCTGTCCCACAATGGCCGCGTGGAGATTTATTACCAAGGAGAATGGGGAACCATCTGCCGTGACCAGAACGACACCAAGGTACCCGACGTAGTCTGCAGGCAGCTGGGTTACGAGAGGGCTGACCCACCCAATGCTGTACCTACTGGGGGATTCGGGCCAGGATCAGGAGTCATTCAGCTGGGTCACGTGATGTGCGAGGGGATTGAGTCAAAATTGGCGTTCTGCGCCCACGACACTTGGGGAGAAAATGACTGCACGCACGCTGATGACTTCATGGTCAGCTGCAAGACATACACACCACCAGAAGGTAAAATAACTTAGATAACCAACAATTTTACAGGGTCTTTTGAGTTCAAAAGAAATCAAATATGTTAACATAATTCTGGCTCATAATCCATTGACATCCACTCTCACAGAATGTGTTTTCTGTGTCCCTACAAAAAGTTAGAAATCCAACTCCCAAAATCATCCAAGAAATCACTTCGTCCTTCCCACATGGATATTTAAATACTACCATGGGAAGACAGTGGAGTTGTAGCTGAAGGAGTCCAACCGATGATTGTGCTCCTTTCACTTTGACACTGTTCTTGTAACCCACGATGCTCTAATCAAGCTGAGCGCTCATCTTAGAAGAAAAGTTGACGAAAAAGAGCTAGCCTGTTTTTCTCCTCAAAATTTGCTGCAAATTTAAGACTGCACTCGGGATATCTACTCTTGTCTCTATATAGATGGTGCACTTCGCCTGGTGGCCGGGACCAACGCTGCCAGCGGGCAAGTCGAAGTCTCCTACCAGGGCGTCTGGGGCACGGTGTGTGACAAGGACTGGACCATCGAAGACGCCACCGTCGTCTGTCGACAGCTTGGCTTTAGACCGGCTCGAGCCTCTCTATCTTACTCCTACTTCCTGGACGAGGACTCCATCAATCCCATCTTCTTTGACAACGTGGAGTGCGAAGGCTCGGAGAACAGACTGGAGGACTGTGTTCATTCCTGGCGGGGTGGCGCCTGCAAACACATCGAGGACGTCGGCGTCATTTGTGGCGCACCCCTGGTTCATAAACCAGTCACTACAGAAGGTTCGAAAAACTGACAACTTCTCCATATTCATTCAATTGCTGTTGCTTTTAAATTTGTGGTACACTCATATCCAGCCCATTCCAATAACAAATTTGAAGATACTCAATAAATAATAAATTTTTGCGAATTTCTTATATCATTTCGGAAAGAAGTTGGGTATGTTCCTGATATTCTTTCACGGATTACGAAACGTGCAAGAGCTGCAGAACGGACAGGGTATTAGTCACTCATTTCTGCCTAGCGTATCATTTTCTACAACAAATGGAAATGAAATATCAGACTTTTTCTTTTAAGACTTTGAGTAATAACTCGTCCAAACACGCTGCGGGAGCTAACTTTCTAAGTTAATGATGCACTGAAGACAACATTCCAATGTCCGCATGTTTAAATCTATTCTGGGTGTTCAATGGTGTCAGCAACGAGTGTTCACCAACAAATTTCAAGCAAACTGTGCAAATAACTTACGGTTCTTTTTACAGATGGTAGAGTGCGTTTAAGAGACGGACGCTATCCCCATCGTGGGCGTGTCGAAATCAAGTACCAGGGAGAATGGGGAACCGTGTGCGACCGAGACTGGAACTTGGAGGCAGCCTCGGTGGTGTGTCGTCAGCTGGGCTACCCTTCAGCAGAGAGCGCCCTCCCGGGGGCTTTCTACCGTGAGGGGACGGGGGTAATCCATCTGGATCAGGTCACGTGCGAGGGACGAGAGTCTGAACTGGCATTCTGCAATCACGCTAGATGGGGGGTTAACGAGTGTCAGCATTCTCAAGATGCGAGTGCAGTTTGTACCGCACCCAAACCGGCTCGAGAAATGCAAGGTGAACAGGCAAATAACGTAGTTGTTTGTTTGTCCGTCTCTTTATCTGTGTCGGACTGTTCCATTCCATGACAGGGAGAATTCTCAATGCGTCCTTCCCCTATATCTCCCTCAACCTTGGCTTCAAATCTTACCAGACTGAGTCTGTCTGTCGGTCGTATTATCCGTCTGTGTAGCCTGTCTCTCTCAATGACGGAAGGCTTCTTGCTCCGCCGTCTCCTTTCTGCTCTATGCTCCAACAAAACTCCTACAAAGTTTATTTCTTCCCTTCATTCTGTCTCTCATATCCTTGTGTATTGGAGTCGAACTATGCATTTTTAGTTTCTTCAAAGACACATTATTCGAATATGTATCATGGCTAAAATGGGAAGAAATACTCAAGCAAATGACGGTGAATACGACGACAATACGTGTATTTGAATACGTTAATGGTGAACAGTGGCAACCCACCAGACAAACGATACAATAACAAACTGTCTACAAACACAGCGTCCCTTAGCGACGACGACGCTGACAATGATGAAACTAAAGACAGTGCTTCAGATGACGAACACATTGATATGAAGCAAAATGTAGCAATTCCTTTAATGAAATAGCTTTGTAATAAGTCTCTGATGATGCCCATTCGCAGATGGGGCCGTTCGATTTTCCGATAGTGAAGATCCTCTCCGAGGTCGACTACAGGTGCACTACCAGGGTGTCTGGGGTGTAGTCTGTGGGGACAACTGGGATACGATTAACAGTGACGTCGCCTGTCGGCAACTGGGCTACTGGGCTGCCGATCCTTCAGTCGCCCTTACCTTGGATCCCGCTGGTGGTTTCCGGCCCATTATGTTGGATGACGTCGTGTGCTCTGGGAAAGAAGACCGATTAGTAGACTGTTCCCACAACGGCTGGGCCATCGCTGACTGCGAATCGGGAGTAGTCCGTTTAGTTTGCCTTAGTACCAAGCCCACAACCCCGACCCCAGAAACTACGACTCCACCCAGTACCACTACAGTAAGGCTTCTTACTACGGACTCCACCAATCCGATCACCGTCGAGTCAACAACGGTTACTTCGGTCCCTGAACCGCCAACCCCGGGTAAGTATATTGACAGCGTGCTCGTCATCTTACCGTTAATAGTCGCAGTTACCTGGCACTATGGACAAGGCATGGCAATATGTTTACAGTAAAAGAATGGCAACGTAATTCCACCTATTTATGGTATGACTAGGCCTAAAATTCCAATTCAGGAGGGAACACGAGGCGCACACATGATTTTTTTTTCAAGATGACAACACAAGAAAATGAACTGCAGCGGCATATCTTTATATAAACCCAACAGAGGGGGGTTAGGCCTATTCACACATTTCAAAGGGGGACCGAGGGGGCCCACAGGCATCTGCGAGGGGGGCACGCCCCCCCCCGTAGTTACGCCACGGATTTTACCTTAATAAGATGGCATAACTGATTTTTCCAAGTATCCGTAATGGACATAATGCGATTCAAACCTAAGTAAACTTTCTGCCTGTTTCTTGTCCATCCAGAATTTCTAAACCTACACTACATTTTAATCCTCTGAATGTAGTTGGAAACGCCTCTGATGTCATGAGAGGCGATAACGATGGGGCTGCTGGCCAAATCGGAGAAAGTTCTGCAACCCTAGGGCCAGATGGAAAACATGTTGGATCTAAAGGTGATTATCATTAACTGTTGGTCACTGAAAGTGAAATCACTCAAATTACTCAGAAAAGGACGAACTGTGACAAATCTTTATGACGTTGTTAGTTTGCATAATATTACAAATCAATTTATATGTTGATATATTGCATATTGAATATTAGTCTCGGTCCAAGACGTCGTTGTTACATCATTTGATATACACGAACGTCCAACTGGAACTCATCGGCAGCAGGAGGGCGTTATCAGCAATACTCTTGTAATCGTTCCCCCTCCTTAATTAGTCTCTGTCTTTTTCCATTTTACAATAATGCAGCCGTGTTTCCCGCAGTCTGGGTGATTGTCGTCCTCGTTCTCATGGTTCCTGCCATCGTCATTATTTTTGTCATTGGGCTCTACATCAAGCACAGACACGGCACGACATCGTACAAGCCTGTCCACCAGGGTGCAATACCTATGCAGGCGCACGTTTAGTTAGTACGAGGTTTTTTTTTCTAATTTTGTTAATTTAGTGTATAGTAATTATAGCTTAAAGCGAGCTAAAATTTGTTCCATCTCCACCTGTGCTGTTCTCTGTTCAAGAGTAGAGTACATGACAGTGCTAGTCGTGTCAGTCGGTTTTCACGCAATACAAGTCATTAAATGAAATAATTATCATTAATCTTTTCTGGCTAATTCCCAATTAACGTTTGCTTGTATTTTAGAACAAACTGTCACTGAACAAAATGCAGTGTTGGTGAAGTTTCAGTTTTATTTGAAAATGAAAATAGCTTAATTAATGAGGGTCGATATGCCGTCAGAGGGAGCTTTATCGTATTAAAAATGTGATCGGTGACAAAGTGTATAAGTTTTCGAGAATCCGCGGATAGAAAAGAAGGGGTTGTCGCAGAAATTTCAGAGACAATGAATACTCTCGATGATTCAACTCGCATTCCCTTAAATTCCTAACACAGAGCTCAATTTGAAGAACAATCAACCCTGTGTGATGGCTTTCGCCTCAATCGCTTGTGTAAATCCCCTTGTGAGTTTTCTCCAGTAGCTGGGTGAACTATGCCAAACAACTTTGTTACGCATTAATCTTTGACCTAGTATGAATTGATATGGGAAATCATTTGTCAAAATACCGCATCAAATATACTTATATTTACTTGTTTTCCCTACTATAAACCAAGACAAAAAATTAAAACAGAACAGCAGAAAACTGGAAAAACTTAACAGTTTGCGAATGATCGTCCAAAGACAAAGAGTCTGTCAAGGGGTTTTCCTAATTGAAAATTGAAAACAGTATCAAATATAAGTCGTTTGGAACTTTGAAATCTCGGTCTTTTTCTCATGGTGGTAATCAGAAACGTTCTTATTAAAAACAGTTACAAAATATTAGCATCTTGCAAGTTCAAAATGGTACCACACAATGCATGGTTTATTGCAGGTTTTTTAAGCGAATAAATTTACTGTAGATTTATACAGCTTACATTTTGTTCACCTTTGCATCTGTATGCGCTATCGTTAACATTTTGTCATAATCAAAGTTGTATATTGACATATCAGTAACTTACAGGAACTTCCGTAAAGGTGTTTAAGGCATGTTTTTATCCCTGTGGAAGTAACTGTTATTTTTTTCCCGCGGTCTTTAAGAGAGCTTTAACAGCTTTAAACGTCGTTATATTAAAATGGATTACTCTCAATGATCACCACTTGCAAAGCGATAATCTCAACTCCCCAAAAGGTTTGGACATTTGTTTTGGAGTAATTCTTTAGTTTGTAGGTTCATCGTTGTAAATATTCTTTGTGTTTAGATTAGATTGTAGATTTTTAAGGAAACCTAGGTAGCCTAAGTATGTACAAAGCTAATTGTTTTCTACATCATGCATGTTTCTGCGATTATAAGCTTGATTATATGCAAACTTTGATTGTCAGTACATGAAAGCGCTAATTCTTGGTTCGTGATACAGTTTTTAAAGTGTTACGTCATATTGTCATTAGCTACGTGAGCCCGGTAAGTACATACAAAATGATTAAAACGATTATAAGAAGCAAATAAAAATTACTTGGCCACTCTTTTTTCTTTGTGTTTATTGGCAAAACTGCAAAGTTTATAATCTTATCATTAAAATGCAGCTATTATATAAGGTCATACAGCAGGACCTTTGAAAAGCGGAACCAGTGCAGTTTAGATCAGTTTAATGCAAATGCAAACCTTTCTGTATCAACTTGAGACTTGGAGGAGCATAACTGAGCAAGCTTCTGACGTATAACACCCATGCGAAGAAAATTTACGATTCATCACTGCTTTACAAATTCTAACGCCCTCTCCGAAACAGACCTCTAGAGCTACGGCTACGTCTATCGTCAGAATGTGCCCGCATACGTGCAGCTGGAGAAGACATACTTCGGACGAAGCGTTGCGCACAATCATGCATGTGACAAGTCTCAGAGAATGTCACGAGAGGGCGCGTTTACTCGGTTACGGTAGCCCCACCATCAAGGCCAACAACATAGCGAAAGTCAAAAAGAAGACACTACTGGAAGCTGCAAGCAAAGGTAAAAAAAACAAACTCACTCTGGGCATGTATCATTATCGAAACATATTTAGTTTAAAAACTATTACCAGACTAAGTTATTGTATGAAAACTATAAATACATACACGGCCAAGTTTGAGGACCCCTGCCTTTTCGAATGTAATCAGTCAAGCAGCAGATCAATTTCATGTTTTTGTTTGTTTTTATTTTTATTTTTTGCCTACTTACCCGGACCAGGAGCAGCACTCGGTGTGACAGGCTGAGATTTGACACCTTCCCAGTAAACATTTTCTGGACCACGTATAATCGTTGCCCTGAAGTCAATGAGAATAAACGTTAACGTTATTCCGATTTCGTGAAGTAATCTGACGGAGCTGTATAGACCTCTATCATGGGGCAGCAATGTTGTTTTTCTACCATAATGGTGATTCAAAATAATGTAGCCAAGGGTTTGAGTGAAAATGGTCTGTTACTTTTATTAGTCAATAATTATTTGAAGTTGTATTACTACTGCAAATACGTCTACAGTCAGGAAACAAGACAAACATCGGCAGAAGCCCTCTTTGCACAAGTACACTCTGCACTCCATCCTAACAGTCCATTGCGAAGGACTATTCGTTTCCACAAGCTTATGTGAAGGAAGCGCCAAATCGCAAGGAATTGTGGGTATCGTACTCCTTCAAGTATTTTTTTCATGTATATTCTCAGCCTTGCATGCGTCATCTCATGCACACTCAAAGAGTAATAACCCACGTTGGTGTTGATGGACTATTTTCCCCCAACCCCAACAACAGTCCTCTCGACTCTATTCAGATTGTGTGACTCCATACAACTCTGTTTACAACGTCTTAAAATCTTCATCATTCCCATCAATAGTCCCTGTTTTTTCTCTCGTGCCACTTTTGTTAACCTCAGAAACAAAACAGAAACAAACCAATTAACACTGAAACAAGAGAAGTGTTGACAAACAAAGTTGCACGCCACGTGTGACTACACACATCACGGACGGATAAAGACACCTTTCCATATGTACGTTTTTGGGGTGCGCTGCGTACAAGATGCGTTCATGGGTTTCACTTTCACGAACACAAAAATCTACTCCATGGAACGAGTGCGTTGCGTTTAATGGATACGCACCGCTCGGGGCAAGTATTGACACTCATATGGAAAGGCGCCATAAGACGGGAACAGAAAGACGTACACCCCTTCGACAGAGGAACCTCTTTGAAAGAAACCTTGTGAAAAGTGATCGTCTTTGGTTTATTGGCTTCCTTTTTATAGTGCGGCTCTTACTGGAAAGCGATAGTGCCTTGGCTTTCTGATGGTGGCATCCATGTTGCTGTCACCTCAGTCCTGTTCTTGTCGTTGCTGTGCGACCAGGCTCCCTGTGAGATTGGTCACACAACAAAATAGTCAACTTCCACTTGGCATCTTGCTATAAGGTCACACTGCGTATTGCAAACAATGAGGGGGTGCTTCTGCTCAGGGCGGATTGACCGACCACATAAGTACACAAAATGAACGTCAGGTTCTTAATACCCAAACCTACTCATTGATTATAAACAGAGCCATAAATCCCTGGGGATTGGGAAAATATATCCCCACACACGTTTTGACCAGAGAGATGAATTACTGTTCAAGAATCCTCCAACACACACACACTTTTTCGTGGTGATCGAGAGGTATTTTTCGAACCAAAGTAGTCAATAAGAGAGAACAAGTACTAAAAGCTTAAAATACACCGTTTAGATGTAAGATTAAGGACGAAATTCCATATACGATGTACGTCTGTGTCATGGACAGTGATTCCTATGTAGTGTCACGTGGTGCCCAACTCCCCCCCCCCCTTCCCCACTATATGACCAGAGCCTTCGAGAAGACTTTAAGGATTTGTGCGTGTTTGGAGAGTTGGAAAGGTGGGTTTGCTGTCGTTAGTTGTTTCTTCTTGTTTAAATTTTTTTCTTCCAAATTCAGTTTCGTCTTTATCTCAAGTCTTACCTGAGTTTGAACCCCCTAACTTTGAAATATCCCAATAATGGCCATCAAGCCTGTAGGCCTGTGGACCAAGACGAAGAGAAAACCCCGAATAACATTTGACTTGAAACCGTTTGCCTCACTCGTTCACCGTCACGGACTGGAATCAAAAAACAAAACAAAGTGGACTAACCAGCAAACAGACCGCCTTATCACATACTAACTAGCAGGAATCAGACCAACCACATAACCAGTGACAAACCAACGGTCCAAACCAACCTCAAACGAAAAAGGATTCGAACTAATGAAACACGTTTATTTTACACCTATCCGGTTTGTAAGTGACTTCGTCACAAAGGCGGACGCGCCAAGTTTTACAAGCTCCCATTGGACGGTCGCCGATCGAGTTGTGTGTTAACTTCCGGTTTCATGGTTCCATGTATAAACGGCATTCAATGCATGTAACTCCTATGTGCAGTGCATGTGCAGTGGGCGTGGTTTTAACTGAAGTGACGTCACACTTACGAACCGGATATCTTTGGGGTTGGAGTTCATCATAAAGTGAACAACTCAAAACATCTGTAATCAAACAAAACAATGGGAGACTTTGAGATGCTGGCGGCAGCAGAGGTACCGGTAGAACTATGCGCGCACAGGTTAATAGATCGACGACCGCATGCTCAAAATTGGTTTTAAAAAGGGGGCCGGTATGTTTGTCGCCACCAAGCGTCTCAAAGTCTCCGACGTACCGCTGTGGATGTGCAGTTAAGAAGTTTTGTGTCTTGTGGAACGTCCCCGAATGTCCCGAGCGCGCTTGTCAGAGATGTGTCAGCCTGGCTTCTCGCCTGTATGAAGAAACCGGAAAAAGTGACTCCCTGGTTGGCACGGATGGTTACTGCGATAGGAAGAACCAGAAAATAAGTCCTCGTTAGTCAGCTCCTACAGATTGGACAGGCCAGGATGCTCAGGCTTAGCCTAGGTTTGGGTGGTTTTTATCAGGTTATGCTGGGCTTGCTTAGGTGTACATGGGTGGTTTTTATCAGGTTATGCTGGGCTTGCTTCGGTGTACATGGGCTACACTGTGGAATGTGCTGTTGGCTTGCCTGGACATGGCTGGGAATGGCTGTGCCAGGCTTTGAGCCCCGAGCTGAACCAAGAGAGGGCACAGTTTTCGTAGCACCGCAGGACCCTTTGATAGGAACTGAATACACGCGGTACGGTTGCATCGCTACCAACAACATGAACATTCCCGACCAACGTTGCCTCTTTTCAACAGATAAAGGGGTGCCTCTGAAGCGGATTGGCTGGGTTGATAAGCTGGGTCGCCATACGGGTACGGAATACATGTAGTAAATAAGCAGTGATAAATATTCCCACTTTAAAAAAATCAGGAAAAACTTTCAAGTTTCACAAGTGTTAAAGACGCATATCAAATCAAAGCTCACCTCTTATTTCATTTTCCTTTAGTTTTCAGAGGCTTAACAGGTGACTTTTGAAGATATTACTCTCCAGAGAAAATCACCCCTCAAAATAGTCTTAAGGCACATCGCCATTTTGAAAATTGATGCCTATACACTCCATTGCAAAATGGAGCGATTTGGAGGGCCCCGTTTGGTCTGATATTGTCAGAAATACAAACTGGAAGTGCTGCTCCTAGATTCCAGCCTCCTCCTTAGCAAATCACCCTGGTCGCAAGCCACGAAATGCTCTAATAGCAGAGAGTTTGACAGCCTCCAACTCGTGATATAGTCCGCACAGACAATTTTGGATCCATTTACTGGCCTGCAACCTTATCAGGCCAGTTGAGTTCATGGAACAGATTAGCACGAGGTTGCGCAGCATCGACCAAGGGGCCTTAAACACGTTTAAAGAGGGTCATTAAGAAGGCTCCGACTCATTCATTTGATTGTTGGTTTTAACATTTTGCCGACCAAATAACTTACCCTGGAAGGATTTTCCCATCTCACTGACTGTGATGGTGTAGGGGGCCGATCCAGAAGCTGTGTTATTGCCGTGGTGACGCCCCGGTGACATGCTGATGCATACCTCTGGGTACCGGATCACGGGTGCCCCTGACGGGTAAGCCAAGGCGCAGTACGGCATCAATGCTAGCAGGAAAAATAAGAAGACTTCCATTGTGCAATCTGAAAATAAACGAACCAAAGGACAGGCATTTAAAAGTACACAGGAGGCCAATACTGGTCCACAAAATAGTACTCTTTCCTATTGCCATCCATGAAAAGATTAAAATATGTAAAAGGGGACCGAGAACAAGGGACCAAAAATTTCGGGGCTGATGATGACAAACTTTTTTCGAGGGACAACATTTTTCTTTTATGTCACCTGTCGTCGTTTTTCTTTGATTGAGGACATATTGGGAAATTTTTTAAATCTTGTGTTCTGGCACGGAGTCCACGAATATCCTGTCGAAATCTTGTCGATATGAACAAGCGGAACTTCTTGTACTCTACTGACAAGAACAGTTCGTGTCATTGTAACCAGAACCCACACATCGATAGCTACTCCTTTGCTCTCTTACATGCACCAAGTCCAAATAAGGCGGTGATCATTGCTAACCATTTCCTTCTGGCCAAGGAAATGGAAAGCACTGTGCATGTCTAACCGCCATAAGCCTTGCATTTACAGACTTATGCATCATGCAGTCACACGAAAGCCCATTAGAGACATGCAGTCAACATTTCACAGAATGGAGTTTATTTTTGAAAATACGAGATGCATTTTTCCAAAGTTCGTTGTTTTTTTAAAAATTGTGGTTTCTCAATTTTGTTTTTGCTAGTTACACATAAAAAAGAAAAGTACATCCCCAGACGTACTAATTGTGTTAGGGAAATGGAAGGCGCCGGTTTTCTATGAGTGTCTTGGCAGCAATTCATGACGGAAACGAAATGGCGCGATCTAAAAACAGATCAAATAAAACGAACTCAATGAAGTGTACCTCGTAAAATTTCTCTCGCAAAGAACTTTAAAATGTAACTTTTGAAAACAAACGTTTCCAAAAATAGATCTTGTCAAACCGAACTTTAATATAATTATGTCGTAACTGACTTATGAACTTGGAAAAATACATTTCACTCTTTTTAAAAAAGTAGGATCCAGTAGGCTACTTCGTTGCACTCTCATACAATCTCGCAGAATGTCCACGTATTAACCTGTTAACTAAATCGCAATATTCAATAAGTGGAATCCGAAGAATAGCCACTTAAACTCTTGGACAGTTGTAATGAACAGTTTACTTAAGCCTATACCGCTCTCAGTGTAACCGTCTTGGCAAATCAGTTAAGGGACCCAGTTTGGCGTTCATGGTGAGACACACTATAGACGTTACTTGTGCAATGATGATTGCTTGGAGCTGCTTGGCTTATCAACAACTTGATGATTGCGCTGCAAACTTATGACCCTCCTTTAGAGCTTAAAACAACAGCAATAATGTAATGTCCCAAACTTTAATGACAAAATTTACCTCGATAGCAACTTGTGGCGAGGAATAAGCTGCAAGGGTTGGAACCGCCGAAGAAGACGAAAGCCGTTGACTCGACGCCACGACGCAATGTCTCTTGGGGTGTGTACACACAAGTGAGTCACTACTTTTTTCAGTTTTGTACATCCTGACTTTGGTCCCGCGTTTAAAGATATCTTCACGGATGCATTTAACTTCCTTTGCCAGGTTGTTGGCCATTCTCCTCTGAAACCCTCGAAGACGTCTGTGTACCGAAGAAAGTGGAACACAGCTTGACTAGTATTAATGACAAAAATAATCCAAGCAAAATAGAAATAAATTACTCTGCTCGTTTGGTCTTTATAATGGATCAGCATCATCCCAAAATGAAACAAACTTAAATACTTACATGTTCCAAAAAGATGGAAAAGGAAGGCATGAAGTAAAAACAAATATACTGTCAAAGGCATCGGGCTTAATTCTAAATCTTTCCACACGGAAGTTAAAAAGCGCTATTTACTTGCTGCAAAGTAGACATCTTTAAACGCAGTTCTTTGACCTAACCTCCGTGCCATCTTGCACTTGAAAGTTTACCCAGCACCGTTATACCAGGAAGTTCAAGGAGATTAGAATTCCAGCCGTCGAACTTGCAGCTGTGAGATACGTATACATGACGAAATTAAATTACCTCCTTTGAGACCTCATACTATGATGGGTATGTTATGTGCATGGGCGGAGATTTCTTGTCACATGGGGGGGATTTCTGAAAGCTCAACACGGCCTCCATCCCAGGTGAGATTGCATTGTGATGCCGGGAAGTGCAGAGTATGGTGGAACAGGCTAAGGGTGCGTATAGTCAGTGACTTGAAAAGTCGGGGGGGGGGCTTGATTACATTGAAAGTTCCCCCCCCCGTCAAAAATGGGGGGGTATCCCCCGTCCCCGGGATATCCGGGCATGATTATGTGTAATGTATTATGCTACCCAATAGTTGTGTGTGTTTCTATACTCATCATGTTTTTGTTCCATTGAAATGGGCAAGAAAAAAATATTGATTTATGACTGAATAAAATTACCGTCATGGCATGACGAAAAACTATAAACACAGTTGTTATCAACAATGTCTACGAACACCTATTCCAAAAGCAAGTACAAAGGTCATAAAAACTGTAAACCACGTAGCCGGCGAAGTCATAAACATGAACCATTCTAGTATGCAAGGTCATGACATGTTTATGCGATGTGAGGAATAACGTTGTTCGTGCGGGCCAAAAGGGGGAATTCCCCGTCGCTCCACTGTTCGGCGATTAACCCACCATACTTTGCGCTAAAGCTGCCTTCGCCATGCATGTTCTGACTGACTCGGAGCTGAATGTCTCACTAAAAGTTCACGTTAGATCTTCATGTCAAGACGTGCTCACGCGGACCAGTCAAGTTCGTACCATGCTCGTACAAAAGCAGTGACCATGTATAGGAAACGTGGAGCCGAGTAAAGACGATATAAATCAAAAAACCCTCTCCCCTAAAAAAATGATAGAGCAAAACAACAAATTATCAGCTAGTGACAAACCTTTATAGTAGCAGTTAAAACAAAAACAAACGACTGAATATGGGGAGGTCTTAACATGCAGGAATAAAATGTAGGACTCATAAGGCCTACAAACAATTTTACTCAGTACAAAACGGCCTATGCTAGTGATATACATTTAATATACAGAACAGAAATAATTTTGTAATAATTATGAAGTAAATCTGGCAATACTGATTTTAACAATGACAGCCAGGTTTTAAGTCGCCGGCAGCTATCAACATCTTTTTTTTTGAGGGAAAACATGTCCCTTATTCCTCTCCCAGCGGGACACACTTCTTGAGCTTGGAAACAAAGCCTCTTTTGGGTTAAGGAAAATGAGAACAACTTTCTTCTACAGAACAGTTAAATTTGAAGAACTGATGAGGGTCGTCGTAGAAGGCGCTATACATGTGCTACATGTACATCGAACCCTCGAGAGTGGCGGGTAGGATTGATGTTTCGTCGCTTCGTGGTTGCTGTGAAAAAAGAAACAACCAAACAAACAAATCGACAAATCAACACATTCCAGCTCCAGTATTTTTCAGCTTAAATCTATTTAGATCCGACTCTCTGGTCATCAAGTCGTAGGGACTGTTGACTTCTGTACAAAAACATTAGGATGGTACAACACAGCAAGCATGTTAATTTCACGGACGGAACCTCCATTTTACGCAACACTATAGCATAGCATTAAGGTTAGCACAATTTTTCTGTTATCGTATTATGTCAGACAGCTTTTCTTAACCGTAGAGCACCGTACAATTAGCTCTCGAGTGTTTGAAAATAAAACTTCGAAACTTGGGAATGGTGCTGGTTTTCATCAAGGCAATTCGAAGGATGGGACATGTTCAAATGGGCCACGAGGCTCGTCAGTTCTTGGATGGTAAAAGGCGCACCCCAGGGAGCAGATGTGGTCTGTACTTCTACATTCTCTCTCCAACGAGACGAAAAGAACATGGCTGGGGATTCCAAATTGGTCCAGAACTCACTGGCTGGTCCCTTGACTATCGTCGCCCTGAAATTTAGCCAGAAATTGAGGAATTTGTAATGTCTGAAAGAGTCTGGGCAAGAATAAATGATGGAAGAAATAGGCTACAAATAGTTTATTAGCTGTGGATATTAGAGGAACGACGAGAACATAAGCGCAAAGACTGAAATATTTAAAGACTGATATTCGAATGAAATGATCCTAGAACATGAGCACCACTGATTGGAATGCTGAAATGCCACATTCATTTTCTAAATTTGAATTCGATTATGTGCTTTGAAGAAACCAAGGTAGCTGCCACAAACAGGACCGGGTGATTGTTATACGCACAAACAACTTATTCCAAGCTGGTTGGTCACAGATCTGAGTAGGCGGATATCTTCTGAGCCTTGATCAAACCTGTCCTGTGCTTGTTTGGTAACTAGTGGTAACTAGGATCGTTCGTTGTGGGCGGAACTAACGTGAAAATATGAATGGGCTATAATGTAACTGAATATGATTGGTCCCTGGTCCGTTGAGGGCGGTGTCCACGTAGCTGTCACTGAAGTCACAAACATGTAAAATGAAGCTCAATTGTTGCAATTACCGTTAAAACCCCAAGCGTAAATGTGAGAAATAATACCCAAGTCCATCAAAATTGACACCTTTTAGTACTACGGCTTTGTTGGGATAGGCAACCTTGCAACAAGCTGTCTATTGACTTTTGAAGTTACCCACCGAAGGGTTGACGCACGTTACAAACTTGGCACCGCTGGAGATGGACTTAAACTCTCCTAGGGCCTCGGTGGTGTCTCTTCCCGTTGCCTGGCGACGAGCCTGGAGGAAGAATCCCTGAAACGAGGCTCCTACGTCGGCCCTCACTGTCACTGTTGATTCGGCCGAGAGGTAAAGAGAAAAACACGAACAGGAAGCTCTAAAAACAAGGACTGTTAGATCAATTGGCCCGAAATGCTGCTTATCATGAAAGTGAGAGGGTTGAGGTTTTGAACGTCTCGATTAGATGACATTGTAGAGTTATAGCATATGTTAACGAGGACGGGGAAACAAGTGCCGATAATGGGTAACATTTCTTTTAAATTTTTGTCTCTCTTTTTTTTTTCAACGCTACTGGAAACTTGTTGGAGTTCAAAATTGAATATCCTTCATTGTAATATACCCAAGACACTGATGATTTCAGACTTCAGAGATTGAAATTGATCGAAAAGTATCTCATGAAGTTAGTGCACTTTTATGCACAATTTACATCAGCAAGAGCTCTTACACTGACTGAATGACAACACCGACAAGTAAAATAACTTAAGAACCTTCCATTTTACGTGAATGATTGCGCAAGCGCCAAGCATTTACTGGCAAAAACAGGTGTCCCTGAGCAAGGTACTTTGCACTGGAAGTAGTTGCAACCGTTGCAATTACCAATGCTCGTTGTGATAAAACTCACCGTGGACTGGCTGTTTTGACCGTATCTACACTGGCTAATCTGGATGGTGTAAGGCGCCGGTCCACTAGCGGTACGCGGCCGGTGACCCACGGGGTCTATGTCACGGCAGACACGCTGAATAGCAACCGGTGGATCTGACGAATATGAGAAGGCAAACTTTGGTAGGAGGAATAACATCGCTATCAACTAAGCCGCGTTCTCCATTATTTACTTCCTGGTAGACACAGAGTGAGAACGATGTTGGCCTGGGCGCAGGTCAAGAAATGTGACTTGAAATCTGACGGAAGATGTTCTTTATTGAAGAAACTCAAAACGACCACACTTCAACTCCTTCCTGTGATGCAACTCCCGACTTGCTTCATTGCAAAGGCTCCAAACCAATTCCTACATTGTCAATACTTGAACAACTGCCTGTGTTTGTGGCCGTCTTTTTTAAATCCCAAAGTGAAGTTGGAAATATCTGAAGTTCGCACCACCATTCCATAGCATACTAACAAATGGCACGACAAGGTCAGGAGATGTCAGTTTCAATCAACAGCACTTTTGCCTCAAGTACTTGTGGGTTTCGTTTATTACCAATTGGTCGAAATATGACGTTCTCCCGTGGCACTCTCACCTGCAGACAGCAACGGATTTCTTTTCTCTCTTTTTCCAAAGCGGTCGTCAAAGTTTCTCGTCCGCATTTGGGGAAGGTGACTTTTGTTAATGATTGCTGCCAGAAGCAGATATCAAAATGGATATCCAAATCTCAAAAGGGAAACAACGGATGGTACTGCCCATTTACCACTGATTGATTTTAATGCATAATGCAAAAAAGGATCAAAGTTCTGTATACTGATGGCATGGCGGTTCAGAAAATGCAACGCCCTGTTACATAATTCATAAGACGGTCCCTTTATGAAATGTAGATTGTGACGCAAACACGCACAGCATTGTATCGGAAAGTGACAATAATGTTATAATAGATAATTTCATTGGCTGTAAGGCCCAAGTTGCGTTTTTTGGCACAATCTATCTATTTTTAATCGTATAATATTTCAGGGCTCCCTTTAGTGGAGTTACAATTCACTTTGACAAGTACCGAGGGCAAGACGATAGCAACCTTCGGAACCAACTGTGACCGCATCGTCCACCTTCAAAGGGACGCCCGGTTGACTGAGTGAAAGCGTCCTGAAGGAAGACACCTAAGACGGCTTGTTCGAGGCACAAACAGTAGCAGTGGAGATAACATTTGTAATGTAGAAATTACTATCCTTCGTGTTGGCCACGTATTGATAAAAAAAGTCGGAACTGTAAGTCTTAGTCTCATTTACCACTTTGAAGTTAAAAGCATCGGAATACAGTGTGGACGTTGTGTACAGACTGTTTGAAAATAAATGTTTTCTTGGAAAATTGGAATCTATTCAAAGGTTTTATCTTTGACGTGTCCCAGAAACTCAAAACCTAAATCATTTAGAACAATGACAGTAGGGACAATGCTTCAGATGACGAACATATTGATATGAAACCAGATGTGACAAAGCATTTGATGGGTCCGCTCGATTAGCTGATGGCGCAGATCCTCTCCAAGGTCGATTGCATTCCCAAGTCCAATACTATGCTCCATCTGTTTTCATATGTTCCAAGAGCTTATGGAATTCCATGTCTGTCAATTACTCTGCGCATGTGAGGAATTCTTCCTTCTTCTATCCTGTAGGCCTAGCCACCTCTGCCGTCATACTGCGCATTGTCACGTGGTGCCGTCGCACAGTCGCGTTGTGACGTCGCACAGTCGCATCGTCGCATTTTCAGAAAATCATGTAAACGTGGGGTGTTTTACAATACCCAAAAGAACTTAAGGTTGGAATTCAATGGCCCTTCCATTAACAGGCGTTTAGATAAAGTACTGCCAAATATCATGGAAAGCAGTACTGCCAAATATCATGGAAACTCGAACATCAAACTTTGAGATGTGCATTTAGTCAATAACTATAATGTTACATAAAGCATGTCACTTTTAGCAAGTACGAGAGTTCGATCCCAAATGAAGCAAAGACACTGTTCTTTAATCATCTTATTTTGTCACTGAAATTTGCCTGAACAGTTTATTCATACGAAGAGTTTGTGGGCATTTCAGCTAATTTCATGTTGATTAGAAGTAAGCAGTTCAACAAAGGATAAACTTAATACCACCCCAGAAGTCAGAAGTAGTTCCTTCAGTCATCACAGTGTTATTTCGGGTTTTGCCCTTACCCAACGTATAATCAATATCTCGCCAACGCAAAGTACATCTGGACCAGCCGGCCGTCCCAGGCAGGCTCGTTGGTCAGGTGGTTAAGACTTCTGCACTAGTAATCAGGTTGTCGTAGGTTCGAGTCCCACGAGAGTGAGCTTGTGATATTTTTTTGAAAGCTGTTGGACAGTGTTTATAAATGTATACGTTGGGCTAGGGCAAAACCCGTAATATAAGAAGTAAAGGGAAAAATCACTTGGTAACTCCTTTTTCTTTGGATGTTTATGCACTTGACAGCAAAGTGTCAATCTTATCTTTAACTTTCAAATTGTAGCGATTCGGCATTTTGCTGTAAATACGGCAAAGATGCCTTTTGAAAAGTGGAACCAGCGCATTTTAGTCCAGTTTTATGCAAATACAATTAAGCTTCAGGCTTAATTGGAGTAGCATGATTGAGCACGCCGTATGGCACTCATACGAAGATAATGTACCATTTATCAACGCTTTACAGATACTAACGCTACGGCTATGGCTAGGTCTGTCGTCAGCATGTGCCCGCAAACATGCAGCTGGAGAAGACATAGACCTAACTTTATGTTTTGCAAAATCATGAACGTGACAAGTCTCAGAGAATGTCACGAGAGGGCGTTTACGTGGTTACGGTAGCCCCACCATCAAAGCCAGCAAATTGGCGAAAGTCAACGGGAAGACACCACTGAAAACTGCAAGCAAAGGAAAAAAAAAACAAACTCACTGTATCGTTATCAAAACAGATTACACTATTACCATACTGTTGAAGTTATAGTATGAAAACTATTCTGATATGAACGGCCAATGTTTGAACACCCCTTTCTTTCGAATGTTATCAGTCAAACATCAGACCAATCAGTGGTTCTTTTTTGTTTCGACTTACCCGGACCAGGAGCAGCACTCGGCATGTAGCACAAGGGCAGAGATTTGACTCCTTCCCAGTAAACGCTTTTTGGGCCACGTACAATGGTTGCCCTGCCAGCCAACGAGAATAAAGGTTGTTTTTTCATGAAGTATAATCTGACGGAGCGGTACAGGCCTCTACCAGGGAGCAGCCATTTTGTTTTCTATCATTCAAAGCAATGTAAGCAAAGTGAGGCTGGAATGAAAGAATGGTTTGTTCCCTTTAGTAAAATGTGAAGTTGTATTACTGCTGCAAATTCGTCGTCAAGGAACAAGACAAACATGGCAGCAGCCTTCTTGCACAAGTATGTTTCATTTTGCTTGTACACCTATTGCGAAGGACTATTCGTTTCCGCAAACGTATGTGAGGGAAGCGCCAGATCATAAGGAATTGTGGGTATCATACTCACTCGACCACTGCGTGTATATTCTGAGCCCAACTTAGCGACTTCTCATTCGCACGTGAACGTGATGACCCATGTTAGATTTTAGATTCTACCAAATATTGTCTAATTTCCCCGACCGTAAAACAGCTAGTCCTCTCGGCTTTTCAGATATTCAACCAGGGTTGAAATGGCTTGGATCAGTGAGTCGACTCGACGCTGACTTGATTCACCATTTTTGTTGTTGTTTTTTTCGACTCGACTCGAGTCCCTTCAAGTAAATGACTAAACTCAAGTCATCAAATAAAACTGACTCGGCTCGAGTCACAAAATTACACGGACGGATAAGAAGGGAAGGGTTAGGCCTATGCTGCCTCGACAAATTAACTTCTTTGAAAGAAACTCAGTAAAAAGTGATTGTCTTTGGTTCATTGGCTTCCTTTTTATAGTGCAGCTCTTACTGGAAAGCGATAGTGTCTTGGCTTTCTGATGGTGGCATCCAAGTTGCTGTCACCTCAGTCCTGTCCTTGTCGTTGCTGTGCGACCAGGCTCCCTGTGAGATTGGTCACACAACAAAATAGTCAACTTCCACTTGGCATTTTGTCATAAGGGTACGTACACTGCGTATTGTAAACGGACCACTTATGGACTGGCTTATGGGCGCCGAGCTGGACCAAAAGAGGTCGCAATTTTCCTGGCAACGGAGGCTCCTTTGGTTCTAACTGCATATCGCTGGTTCATGGACAGTTAAAACAGCAACAAAATGAACACCATGGTCGAGTTCGGGGGGCCTGTTCTTGACTTGGGTTTCCTGTTCTCGAGCTAGAACAGCGCGAACACGACTGAAGAACACTGTTCTCGACACAGGATCACACACCACCTTCTCGTCAGGGTTTTACAGGAACCAAAGGAAAAACTCGTGAGATTTTGATTTTGATCAGCTGCAAAAAGTAGAGACTGAGATGGCTTCTAAAGCACAGACAATGGGAAGTTTTGCAATATTAACATTAATTATTTTCCACAACACAGAAATGAATGTTCCTGATTAAATAGAAATGAATTCAGCCCATCCAAACATTAACTCTCGGCCGCCGCCATGATGCTTTCCACTAACTACCAGCCGCGGCGTTCGACCGGCAGACCCACGAACAACAAATCGATTTGTTCTTGAACATTATTAAGCCGCGCGAACTCATCAGCCCGTGACTCCCTGCCCACACGGCACTTTTTAACTGATGAAGGGGGTACCTCTGCTCATGGCGTATTGACCGACCACATAAGTACGCAAAATGAATGTCAGATTCTGAATGCACAAACCCCACTCATAGGTTATAAACAGAGCCATAAACTCCAGAGGGTTTGGGATATATCCCTACCCAGTTTTTGACCAGTAGGATGAATTACTACTCAAGAATCTCCCAACACACTTTTTTGTGAGGATCGAGAAACAGGCGGCATTTTCGAACTAAAGTAGGCATTAAGAAAGAGCAAGTACTAAAGCTTAAAATACACCGTTTTGATGTAAGATTAAGGGCGTAAGTACACATAAGATTCACGACTGCATCATGGTCACGTGGTGTCCAGCTCTCCCCCCCCCCACGGCTTTTTGAATTTCCACATCTGGGGTTATGAAGAGAGAGGCCATGCCGCCACACCGCTGGCGCCTTCGGAAAGACTTCAAGGATTTGCGCGTGCTTGGACGGTTTACAGTGTGGTTTTGCTGTTTGTTTGGTTTTGTTTCTTGAATTAGTTTTCCCCCTTTGAAATTCAGTTTCTCTTTTATCTCAGGTCTTGCTTGTTTTTGAACTCCCTAAGTTTAAAATATCTCAATGATAAATCAGATTGGGCCACCCAAAACAGTATGCCTTCATCCATGACTATTTTTAAGACGAAGCCTTAGACGGAGACGAAGTGAAAACCTCAATTAACATTTTGACTTGAAACCGTTTGCCTCACTCGAGAACCGTCACGGACTGACCATCGCGTAACAGACAAAGTGGACTAACCAACTAACAAACTGCCTTATCGTGCACTAACTAGTAGACGTCAGACCAACCAACCAACCAACCAACCAACCGACAAATTAACGATCCAAACTGGCACAAGGATTCGAACTAAACACGTTTAATTTACACCCTATCTTAATTTGGGGCTGCATTGAGTCAGTCGTAAAGTACACAACTCAAAACATCTGTTATCAACAAGAACACGCTGAGATGTTTGTGGCAGCAGATCTACGTACCGGGAGAACTTTGTGCACAGTCGGATCGACGAATGCATGCTCATGAACTGGACCAGAATATTTGACGAAACCAAGCGGCTCGAAGTCTCCCGTTCTTTTAATGACTTACCGCTGTGGATGAGCAGTTAAGGACGTGTGTCTCATGTGGAATGTCCATGAAAGTCCCAAGGGCGCTTGTCAGAGATGTGTCAGCCTGGCTTCTCGCCTGAATGAAGAAACCGGAAAATGTGACCCCCTGGTCGGCACGGATGGTCACTGCGATAGGAAGAACCAGAAAAACGGGTCCTCGTTAATCATGATGATTATCAGCTCATAAACATTAGACAGGGCTAGGATGTGCAAGTTAAGCCTAGGTTTGGGTGGTTTTGTCAGTTGGGTTGTGCTGAACTCGACTTGGCCTGCATGGGTCCGCTAGGTTGTGGGATGCGCTGGGTGGTCTAATCAGGCCACGGTTGAGTTAATGGAACGGATTAGCACGAGGTTGAGCAGCCTTGACCGTATAATATGAGAGGCCCCAAACATGCACGTTTAAAGAGTCATTAAGAAGGCTCTGACTCACTCGATTGTTGGTTTTAACATTTTGTAGATGAAATAACTTACCCTGAAAGGATTTTCCCGGCGTGTAAGCCATCTCGCTGACTGCGATGGTGTAGGGGGGTGGTCCAGTAGCTGTGTTGTTGCCGTGGCGACGCCCTGGGGACATTCTAATGCATACATTTGGGTGCCGGTGCACAGGTGCCCCATACGAGTAAGCCAAGGCGCAGTGCGGCAAAAGTGCTACTAGGACAAATGTGTGGGCTTCCATTGCGGAGTCTGTAAAGGCACGAACCAAAGGACATGCATTAAAAAGTACATACTGGTCCAAAAACAGACATCGTGGTGCGCTTTGATGTAGTTTCTCTGTTAACTAGTGTTCCCACCTGTAGAGGCTTCCACCTCGCCAAATTAATGCCTCGGCAGTTACCCAGCCAAATAACAGACCCCCTCCATAACTGCGTCTTCTCCATTGCTTCCAATTTGAAGACAAAATTTGATCTCACGGGACTTCATTGGATCTCCTATAGGCCTATACCCGGTCCTAGCCTACATCTTCATCAAAGAATTCAATCTTCGTCCTTTTGTATAGATCCCAACTCCAGCCTCTGGTAACACTATGAGGACCACATCTTCGAACAAGACGACCTCCGGGAGTTCCTGCATCCCCGGACCCCGAACCATCAACTTCCCTACGGAGCAGGAACAAGCGGGCCAGGTTTCCTTCCTTGACGTCAGCCTTACTAGGAACGCCGAAGGTTCCCTGTATCATCGTACCCACTGCAAGTCCATTCATAATGACCAGTATCTCCGACGATCATTTCTCCACCAAGACGTCGGTCAACCCCAGCCATTTTTACTGAGTTTGCGAGAAGAAGTGCCGGCCATCCAATGCAGCAGACATCTGCTGTTCCTAGATACCGTAGGAATTGCAGGCCGTGCCAGCAGCAACGGAGACGGCCTGGAAAGCATTCAGATCGGCCAGGGCAGTTCGTGACATTCACTGCCAAACGTCATACAGACAGAGCCCAGACAATTGATGCAGATATTCTAGGAAATAGACTCCCACTGTGTGCCACCGTGAAAGCCCGGGGCTGAGGGAAGGAAAAATTGCCTCTCGGAAAAATAATGTTTATAGTTCTTACTACTGTACATTGGCCGCTGATATCAGAGGGAAATCTCGTTGAATTATTCCATCTGAAAATCTTTTGACAGCCATTCATGAAAAGATTAAAGATGTAAAGGAGCGGATCGAGACCCAAACCTTTTTTGCTGAGGGGGGGGGCAACATTTGACAGTTTCTTGTAAGTCACTTTCATCGTCTTTTTCGAATGAGGATAACTTTGGGGATTTCATACGCTTTTGGAAGGAAGAGAAATGAAAATGCCTGTCTTTTATTATTTTTTCACGAACGAACTAAAGCAGTTGCTCCTGGGGGCACAGCGTGCTTTGCACCCCCCCTGAAAAATCTAACTTTATTCCTCCTAAGAAGGGTCACCGTTTTCATTTTTCTATTTCTTTATAAGCAAATACGACACAAAGTGTGAACACGCACAAAAGGGCTCAATCTCGAAATCTTGTCATGCTTAACAAGATAAAATTGTTCTCCTAAAGAATGCTTGTAAAAGGAGCTCACTTCTTGGAGACAAATTTTCAAAGCTTTCGAAGAACTTGTGGACAAAAATTCAAACAAACTCCCAACTTAACTCTCTAGGGGAAACGTTTTGCCACTTCACCACCGAGCAAGTCAAGATCAATTTTTAAAAAAATCTTAAAAACAGGTTACGCGTTACGGAATGACATATCTTGTTTTGACGAAACAAGAGCTAGCTTTTGTCGCCATGACTAGAGCCCTATAAACGGCGACTGTCTATAACAATCTTGTCTTCTGGCACGGAGTCTACGAATATCCTGTCAAAATCTTGTCGATATGAACAAGCGGAACCTCTTGTACTCTGCTGACAAGAACAGTTCATGTCATTGTAACCAGAACCCACACATCGATAGCTACTCCTTTGCTCTCTTACATGCACCAAGTCCAAATAAGGCGGTGATCATTGCTAACCATTTCCTTCTGGCCAAGGAAATGGAAAGCATTTGTATATCTAACCACAATAAGCCTTACATTCACAAGCAGTCCGACGAAAGCCCAATAATGCCATGAAGTCAACATTTTCCAAAATGGAGTTTAGTTTTGAGAATACGAGATACATTTTTCCAAAGTTTATTTTTGTGAGACATTTTAGTTATTCATTTCGTTTTTACGAGACATGTTAAAAACATCTACATTTCCAGATGTACTTCCAGTGGTTGTGTTGAGGAAATTGAAGGCGAAGGTTTGCTTTGAGTGTCTTGGCAGCAATTCATGACTGAAACGAAACGGCACGATTTAAAAACACATAAAATAAAAGGAACTTAAAGAAATGTATCTCATCAAAATGTATTTTGCTAAGAACTTTAAAATGTATCTTTTAAAAAATGTATCAAAAAATAGATCTTGTCAAACCGAACTTTAGAAACAATAATTATGTCGTAAAGCTATATGGACTTGAAAAAATACACTTCAATGAATATGGAAATACTCATTAGCATAAAAGCAAAACGGCATGAAAATACCCTTTGAAATAGTGAAATCAAGTTAAAAATTCGGTTTACTTAGGCACAAAGGTACATTTTACAGGTTTGTAATCAAAATAATTGATTGCAGCTACCCTTTAAACCCTTGAATAGTGGAATTATAATGAGCAATTTACCTACGCCTATACCGTTCTGATTGTTACCGTCTTGGCAAATCAGTTTATAAGGAACCCAGTTCGACCCTTTGTGTGTACATGTACATCTAACTTAGTGAGTTACTGACTTTTTTAGTTTTGCACATCCTGACTGGGGTACCGCGTTTAAAGATATCTTCAGTTGTGAATTTTAACTTCCCTCGCACGATTACCAAGTAGTTGACGATTCTCCTCTGGAACACAATAAACGTTTGTGTACCTTGGCACACAGTTCGACCAATATTGATCACAAAGCACTTATTATCCTATCGATGAACAGAAAAAGAGGCATCACTGTGGTGTAGTTTCAAAGTGGACTCTCAAAATAGAAATGTATAAAAATCACTGGCTTGGTTTCAATAATAGATCACCTTAATCCAAAAGTAAAACAAAAATGTAAACATACACGTACAATATATTGTGTGACAAAAAAGGAAAAGAGCAAAGATACATCTCCACTGTTAATCTGCCGGGCTTTAATTAATTCTAAATCTTTACATTGTCTCACTGAGAATTAACAGCACAGGAAACTTGGTATAGGGCAAACATCTTTAAACGCAGAACTTTGACCTAACCTTCGCCATCTTCCACTTGCAAGTTTACCCAGCACTGATGACTAATACATACATGACGAAGTAAAATTACCTCCCTTTGAGACCTCATAAATATTATATGCAACGTTTTATGCAATCAGTGGTTTTGTTTTGAGTTTCTATTCTCGTCATGTTTCTTCTACACTAAAATAGTCTGGTTTTTCTCACCCACCAACTATTGACCGCAACAGGCTTGATTTTCTTCATCACAACTGAAGGGATAAACCAATTTATGACTGAATAACGTTACTGTCGTGGCGTGACGAAAAACGATAAACACACGCATTTGTTATCAGCAGTGTCACGTGACGAAACGCTTAAACCGAAAGCAAGTGGATGAATGGCAAAGGTCATGAGAAATGTAAACCATGTAGCGTTCTGTGTCATGTACCATTTTGGCATTCAGGCTCACGACATTTTGTATGCGATGTGAGGAACATCATGCGGGCCAACGGGGGAATTCATGTCGCTCCAACGTTCGGCGATTAAAAAGTACTTCGTACTCCGCCATGTTCTGACGAACTAACAGTCTCAACATAACAGAATGAAAATCGACGTTAAATCTCCATGTCTAGACTTGCTGACGGGGATGAGTTCAGTTACAAATGCATGAACCATGCATAGGAAACTTCGAGCCGAGTAAAGATGACATCCCCTCCACTCAAGAAAAGAAGACAAGTTTATGGTTTAATTAGTTAATCAGGCAAAACAACAAATAATCAGCTGATTACAAAACTAGCAGCAGTCAAAACAAAAATTAACAAATCAATATGGGGAGGTATGATCATGCACGAATAAAGTTTAGGGCCTCAAAATAAGCCTAAAAACGAATTTACTCAGTATGCAAAGCAATATGCTAGCGATATACATTTAAAATGCAAAACAGGAATAATCGTGTAATATTTACCAAGTAATCCTGGCAATGTACTGATTTTTACAATAGCATATCAAGGTTTTTAAATCGCCGGCGGTGTCAAAATCTTTTTCCTCGAAAACATTCTGAAATAGTGAAAACGTGTCCCTCTGTTTCTCTTCCACCGTGGGATACACTTCTTGGGTTATGGAAACAGAGCCTCTTTCGGTGAAGGAAAACAAGAGAACGGTTTTCTACTGCGACACTTAGTTTTACTTTAAAGGCTGGTGCTGGTTGTCGTAGAGGGCGCTATGCATGTTCTAAATCGAACCCACGTGGGTGGCGAGTAGGATTGCTGTGAAGGCGAGTACCACTGTTGTCACTGTCACACTGGGTCTGAACGAATAGGAAGCTGTAAAAAAAAACACAGAAGTGCACCGAATCTTAAATTGAGGATCGAAATTTCTCTTCAAATTAAAATAATGTAACAAGGCAAGTAAGATTTGAAGCTTTGCATGGTGAAAGCTAAGAGACATGAGAAATGGGTTTGCGGGTACAGCATGGAATCAATCTCTTTTTGGGCGAGGTGTGGTTCTTAAAAGAACAAGGCGTTGGATTTCTTCTTGGCTGACACATTTTTAATCAGTTCCTTTTATTTTGCAATTCACATTTTAAGCAGGACGAAGACAGCAAGAACACTTACAGTTTGATTTGCCCACACATATTCGTCGCTTCGTGGTTGCTGTGAAAAAAAGAAAACCAAACAAACAAATCGACAAATCAACACGTCCCAGCTCCAGTTTTGCAGTATAAATCATAATATAAGACAACATTAGCATGGTACAAATATAATACAAACATGGCACATTACAAACAGAAATTAAATTTTTACCCGACACTGCAGTAGCACTGCACTCACTGTTAGCAGAATAATTCTATTACTGCACATGTCAAACAGCTTTTCGTAATCACATATCTCCGTACAATTAGGCCTCGAATGTTCGAAAAAGAAAACTCGAAATTTCGGAATTCTACTAGTCTTCATCAAGGTCATTCGAGAGATGGGGCCTGTTCCAATGGACCACGAGGCTCGTCAGATCTTGGGAGGCAAATAGCTTACCCCAGGGAGCAGATGTGGTCTGTACTTCTACGTTCTCTCTCCAACGAGACGAAAAGAACATGGCTGGGGATTCCACATTGGTCCAGAACTCACTGGCTGGTCCCTTGACTATCGTCGCCCTGAAATTCAGAATAGTCAGAAGTTGCCGAATTTGTAAAGTCTCTGCTAGGTACTATGAAAAAACAAGTCTGAGTGGGTGGAGCTCTTTGAGCCTCGAGGCCATCCACGACAGTGCGTTATTTGGTCAACACTGTGCGCGGATCGATCTGCCGTGAAAATGTAATTGGTCATATGTACCTGAATATGATTGGTCCCTGGTCCGTTGAGGGCGGTGTCCACGTAGCTGTCACTGAAGTTTTTGGCGTGGCGCTGTTGTGGCCCCACGCACTCTAGAGGCAAAAAAATTCAAAATTCAACAAAAATCCTTACAAGCTACGGAAGCTTATTGCTACCAATGAGAAACACAAATATTTTGTCTCGTTTTAAATGACTCATTCTCTCATGTAAACTGCTTATTACTCTCGTTTAAACCACTTCGCTATAATTAAAGATAATGTTAAAGAGATAGCGATATCAGGTTTTAAGCGAGATAGCTATGTCGTTTATACGAGATGATAAATCGTATTAAACGAGATAAAATAATTTTTTCGTGCCGGCAACAATACGCTTCCGTAAAACGTAAATGCCCAGGTGTAAATACATGTAGAGGCAATAATGCCCAAGTCCATCAAAAGTAACACTGTTTAGTAGTAGGACTTTATTGGGATAGGCAGTCCGTATTGGCTGATGAACTCTCTTGTCACGAGCTTCCAAAGGCAACACAGAGTAACTCGACCCTTGCTACAGGCTGTCTATTGACTTGTTTGGGGTTACTCACGGAGGGGTTGACGCACGTTAGGAATCTGGTGCCGCTGGATATGGACGTGAACTCTCCAAGGGCCTCGGTGGTGTCTCTTCCCGTTGCCTGGCGACGAGCCTGGAGGAAGAATCCCTGAAACGAGGCTCCTACGTCGGCCCTCACTGTCACTGTTGATTCGGTCGAGAGGTAAAGAGAAAAACACGAACAGGAAGCTCTAAAAACAAGGACTGTGAGATCACTTGGCCCAAAATGCTGGTTATCATCATGAAAGTGAGAGGGCTGAGGTTTTGAACGTCTCGATACTATCACAGTGTAGAGTCGCAGAATACATTGTATTGTAAAACAATTTCTAACAGACATCGATTCGGAGGGGGAAAGGGGTACCGTTAATGGGTGTCAATGTAGTCTGTCTGTCTGTCTGTCTGTCTCTCTCTCTCTCTCTCGCTCTTTCTTTCTTTTGCGAAATTGGTCTTGGTTGTCTTCACACCACTTGAAACTTGGAGTTCAAAGTTAACTATCCCTCGTTATATTATACCAAATACTATGATGTCCTTAATTCAGAGATTGAAATTGATTGAAAAGTATCCCATGAAGTTAGTGCATTTTTATCCACATTTTACATCGGCAAGAGCTGTTACACTGACTGAAACGACAACACCGGCAAGTAAAATACGTTATGGGCTAAGAACCCAACATTTTAGCCGAAATATTGTGTAAGCACCATGAGTTCATTGGCAAACCAGGTGTCCCTGAGCTGGCTACTTTGCACCGGAAGTAGTTGCAACCGTTACCGTTACCAATGTTCGTGATGATAAAACTCACCGTGGACGGGCTGTTTTGGACCGTATCTATACCGGCTAATCTGGATGGTATAAGGCGCCGGTCCACTAGCGGTACGCGGCCGGTGACCCACGGGATCCATGTCACGGCAGACACGCTGAATAGCAACCGGTGGACCTGACGGATACGAGAAGGCAAACTTTGGTAGGAGAAATAACATCGCTATCAACAAAGCCGCGTTCTCCATTATTTACTTCCTGGTAGGCACAGAGTGAGAACGATGTTGGCCTGGGAGCAGGTCAAGAAATGTGACTTGAAATCTAAAGGAAATAAGACGTTCTTCATAGAACAAACTCAAAATGACCACACCTCAACTCTTTGCTGTGATGCAACTCCCAACTTTGTCCAATGCAACGGCTCCAACCATTCCTACGTCGTCAATACTTTGAAAACTGTCTATTGTTGGTGGAGGGCCTTATTTTAACTCCCAAAGTGAGGTTGGAAAAAAAATCTGAAGTTCACACCACCATTCCGCTGAATAATAACAAATGACACGACAAGGTCAGGAGATGTCAGTTTCAATCAACAGCACTTTTGCCTCAAGTAGTTGCGGGTTTCGTTTATTACTAAGTGGTCGAAATATGACGTTCTCCCATGGCACTCTGCAGATGGCAATGAATTTCTTTTCTCTCTTGTTCTCAAGCGTTTGTCAAAGTTTCCCGTCCACATTTTGGGAAGGTGACTTTTATTAATGTTGTTAATGATTGCTGCTACCAAGAGGTACCTCCCCCCCCCCCAAAAAAAGAAGTTGACATCAGGCTGGAGCAAAATTTCTTCTTACTCTGAATTCATTACTGTCTTTTGCTGTGTACAGCACAAGGGTGTATGACCCTAGAACAAACAGGGTGCAGCAAGCCTTTCAAATAGTCGGGATAAAACCTCAAATTCTTGTAAGTCGCCGTTTGTTTTTAGTTTCTTTTGTCACGCTATATGTAAATATTTTTCTCCACAAAGATATCTCTGATTTATACATGTAAAAGCAGAAACTTCAGTCCTGAATATGGCAACCTTGGATTGAGTATTTATTTAAGTCCAAAGCCGACCACTCTTGAACATGTGAACTGGAAATCAGCATTTGTGAAATGACAGGGAAAATGCAGAAAAAGATCCAGGTATAAATTTTCCATGCCTCGGCCGAGGAATTTATTTGTGACAATGTACATTATTCACGCTGAATTTAGTCCTTCAATGTGTTCCCTCCATGGACCCTACACAAAGAATTGCAGTAAAATGTCTGAGAATATATAGGCCCGAAAATCCCTAACACGGATAGCCAATAAGACAATGTATTGAGTGTGATGTTTAATTTGTAAAGCGGTGTAGCCGAGGTTCTTGCTGTAAGGGGCGAGTAGGGGAAGTAGATAACACAAAGGGAGGAGCAAGTCCAAGGATCTTTTTAATACTTCCAATTTCTTCAAATTGCCAGCGGGGGTGCCCTTTTGCCCCACCGCGGCGATTCCAATGATTTTGCACTAGTTTTCGAACTCCAAATGGAACTTTAAAAAATTTGACAAAAAGACAGTGGTGCCATACGTGCATAGCTAGAAACATAAATACCTCAGATAAGTTACACAAACCACCCCCTCTCAACAAAAAGTAATGCCAACAACCGTTACAATCGCCTATATCACTATTTTACACCCCCTGCTTAAATGGAACGTCCTGAACACTTGTCAAAACAAGCAGTATATATCTCTTAGATAAAGTATTCCATGCCTTGAAAGGCGTGTTTTTGAAGTCAGACTGGCTTATGCTAGTTACCACAGATATTTCAGTGAAATTATGCACTGCAACACACAGTGCATGTGTTCTGTTTTTACAAATGATAAGATAACAATGACATTGACGTGATAGGTAACAGTGACGTGGGATTGGTATGGAGTGTTCTTTTGCACATCAAATGGGATTTTACAAAATAGGAAACAAAAAATGCGTCATTCTTTTGAATGATAATAAATAGTATAAAAAATAAACAGCTTGAGTTTGTGTAGATCAAGTTGATCAATGAAGTGTGTTTCAGTGAGGAACTTACAGAACAATTATCCATCTGAGGGACCAAGGTATGAGTAACTGACCAACATAAAAACTGTCCATAATCTGGAAGTCTTTTGTGAAGCAGATATCAAAATCGATATCCAAAATCCAAAAGGGAGACAACGATACTGCCCCATTACGACAAGCAACACTTCAGTTCTGATTTGTTTTTCAATAAAGCAACCCTTAGAAAGCGAGTCCATATTCCCGACCATCCTAACAATAGAGAAAAATCACACAGTCTTGCAATTAAGATTTGGGAAACCCCATCCATTGTTTCTAAGACTATGACAGCGAAAGGCAGTGAGATGAAACTGACCAATCAGCATCAGTAATTGAGGCTCAAGCCTCCCACACTGACCAATCACATTCATTTTCCAGTCTGATGACTGGGTGTCCTTTAAAAAGAAAAGTTGAGGGGCATATTCTCTTCCCATAAGTTTGAAACGTCTCCGTTTATCTCACTAACTATAGACGCTATGCATCCATCAGTCAACTTGAATGGTCAGTTACTTGAGAAATTAATTTTTCAGGCTGACTGCTTATTCAATAGAGGAATACATACCATCCATGTCCTGTTTGTCTTTCAATCAACACAGAAAAACAAGGCAAGTTTCAACACATGATTTCTAACTTACATGTAACAGTGCACATGCACTACACAAAGAAAGGAAAATGTATCGGATATCTGTCAATTAACCCTTTCTGTAGCAAATCCTTCAACCGATCTGAAAGGGTTGTGAAGAAAAGGGGGGAGTGTCCTTCGTAAAACGGCACCCTCGATACAGAGAGCTCAAAGGTCATCCAAGAGGAATTATTTGAGGTCAAGGGTCATGGTAGCAGGCTCCTCTAGGTATGACTTCCAGATGTTGGAGAATCTGGCCATGGTGGCACCATCGATGACCCTGTGGTCAGCAGACCAGCTGACATTCATGACGTAGGCTTTGTAGACTTCATCGTCTTCATCAAAGCGTGGCAAGGCCTGTCAGAAAGAGCCAAGAAGAGGAATTCATAGATGGCAACAAGTGGAAGGGCTTCGTAGAGGTCCTTTTATTGTCATCTGCTTTCCTTCGATTCAAACAAAACTTCAACAGACATTCAACAGCACAGCAAAATGTACCTGCACACTTTTTGAATTGAGCAATGAAGGAGAAACCACTGAAAAATCTGATTAAGAAAGATAATAGAATTTCTGTGTAATAGTCCTGTGATGAGCCAGGGCTTAAGTCAAACATAAGTCATGTCTTTTCTTCCACTTAAAAGAGCTAATCAAAAAATTGTTAGATTTCTCTCCAGTACCTGAACTTTTCCTATTGCTCCTATGGCTACTGTTCCTGGCATCAAGACAGGCCTAGCGTAGGTCCCACCGATCTACAAACAATCAGATGTAAGTTAATACAACTCAATATTGAATCAAGGGGTATTGCCTTGAGGTATTCATGAGCCAATCAGAGAACTGCCAAACTGGCAGGTGCAAAGCATATCCTGATCTTGGCCACCTGTTGAAGTGTGCGACTAGTTTGAAACCCCTTGGGCAGGTTATCTGTCAGGAAGTGGAACTGTGAAGATGGGCATCAAAGGTCATTCTTAGCGGTCATCTGTGATGGGCAGACCAAACAGACAGGGTTGTTGCAGGTCCGAAGGTTGTAGCAGTGGAAAGATTTCTATGTTTCTATGGTGGCAAAGGCAGAGCTTTGAAAATGAGAAAAGTAATTTCCTGTTCCACTCCCAAGCCCATTTCCATTTAGCGCTCACCGTTCCAATATTGGAGAGAGTGAAGGTAACTCCTTCAAGATCATCGGACCCCAACTTGCCCTCGTACCCCAGGGTCATTAGCCGATTCAGTTCCTGAGCTATCTCAAAGATCGTCCTCGCTTGGACGTTCTTGACGTTGGGCACCAAAAGGCCTTGAGGTGTATCCATGGCAAAGCCGATATTGTGACTGGCCTACAACGGAAAAACAGGCTCAATTTATTATCTGAACTCTCTGTAAAAATTCTGTCGTAAGAATGTAAAAAGAAAACTCCTCCTCCACACAAACATCAAAAATCTGTGTCACAATTCAATGCCATCTCAAGCTTCATTATATATTTTCAAAGGAAAAAAATGAATTAAAAAACTTCAAACTTCAATCTGTCTTGAAACATTTCAAACCTTTATTTTCTCAGGCAAGTGCTAAGTGTACTTCAACCAACTGATTAGACCACATAATCACGTTACCTCAATTTGCTATTATTTTGTCGGGAGAAAATTAATATTGTCATTGTTAAACAGGAACAAGTATTGAGCACAACACTGTAAACCACACGACCCGTTTACTGATGTACCTTGTAGGTGAGGCTTTCACACTGTTCATCAACTGAAGCATTGAGAATAGGGAAATAATGCAGGGCCATGGAAGCAGCCTTCACAGGAAACAAAACAAAGAATGGAAACATTTAATAAATATATACACCTGCAACAGGGGACATTTATTTCTGACTGTAGAAGATGTGGCATTCTCAATGACTGATTATTTTTCTTTTCATATGCGATGATACCCAACTGAAGGGAAATTTAAACAAGAGAAGGACAGAGGAGTGAAAGATCATGGTGGTGAATAACAGAGACTGGGGTGTATTTGGACTGTGAAAGGAACAAAGCGGGGGCTGGGTTATCCCCTTACCACTTTCTGGAAAAAGCCTACACCAAAAAATAAGAGACTCCGTTTGAATTAGATTGGATAATACACCTACAAATTCTCCTCTCCAACAGAGAGTTTGCATGGCTGCCATCTTGCAGGCCAGTGCTTTTGTTCAACACAGTAGGCACAAAGGAAGTTTCCCTGCGAACAAAAGAACTGCCCTGCAAGGTGGCTACCACGCAAAGACTCTTGTAGTAGAATATTTCCAATAAAAACCAGAACACTAAAACGTTGCTGAGATAAGAGAAGAAATCTCAAACAAACTTTTTAGCAGCACTGGTTTAGTTTTTCACCTTGATGAACATTGGCATGAGGGAGAACTTGACCCCTCTCAGGCCTGCAGCCTCCTTCAGGACACCCCTGAGCTCCATTAGCGAGGAGACGTCAATCTCGTCGCAGTAACCAAAGTGAGGGATCTGATTGGCTGCTGTCATGGTCTTGACCATAGCCTTCTTGATGCCTCGGATGGGCTCAGTTCGATCCTGGCCGACAACGACTGGCTCGAAGGGTCTAGACGGGGGAACTGGTAGGGTGACGGACGGAGGGGTCGGAGGTGGTGGGGAAGGCGGAGCTTGGGGTATAAGGGGAGGGGGTTTAGGAGGTGCTGCTGTAAAAAAAGGCATGTGTAAGTTTCCGTACCAAGTTACATAAAGTTGACTTCTTACCATTGCTTCTTCTTCACTCAGCATTACATCCAATATTTCTAACACTCCTGAACATACTGTCATTTTCATATGCATAGAATATATCATATGCAATTCACAAACTGGTAATGACAGCTGGCTAACACAGCAGTCTTCTCCATTTCTGTGGTGGGGGGTTCAAATCCAACGAGACGTCAACATCTGGATTCAGCTTTAGCACATGCTCAATGTGCTTTTTCCCCAATAATTGTCAGGAGTCGTGCGTTTGGTTCACAGGCCTCCTTGCTGTTTGACTCTCAGAGTAGTCAATGTTTCTTCAGCAGAAATGCAACTAAAAACAACTCAAATCCACTGGCTAACTGTCTCCGTGAATAGCCATCACTAAAATAAGCAGTGACCACTGAATGCAACCCGAGATAAAAAAATACAATCAGGCACGATTACTGGGGAGACAAATTCCTAAGATGCGATTACCTGATGCCGCTGTGGTTGCACCACTTTTGACCATGTCTAAATACCGAAGCATGTCCTCTTTCAAGACTCTACCATCTTTGCCTGTCCCATCAACATCAGCCAGAGATATCTAGATAGAACACATCACGGTACATGACTAAATGTTCACAAAGCCTGGCCAAAATTTAATCTAATAGAAAATCATTCTTGCTCTGAGAGGTTACAAATTTCAACACGGCCCCCTATTTTGCTCTAGGGTTCTAACTTTTTGTGGAAGGTAACTTGTCAATACATGTACATGTACTTCCATTTTTTTTTCCACTGCGATTTTCAAGGAAACTGAATTCCCATGTAACAAAACAAATGGCTTTCTTGTGAGTTATGACCTTCCATGATCTTGCAATATGGATGATGAAGGGTCTAGGAAGGTTTCCATCAACCTACATTGTTCTCCATTGCCAGTCTCTTGACAGCTGGTGTGGCTAGCACTTTGACATTACGTCTTTCCTCATGTGCGGCTTCCTCTCCTGACTGGATTGTGTCACCGTCACTGTCACTGTCACTGTCACTCATGGACGATGAATCATCCACATCTGTGTGGGTAACATAAAACTGTCGTCTAAGAGAGTTCCTTGGTTATGTTGCTGTAAACCCCATGGCTTTGGACGTGATCCATTTGTACTGAGCAAAAAAAAAACCCAACTAATTTGGATACACCTACTGGAATAATTCCCAATCCATCCAATTTGCTGACGTTGTAGAAAATCCAACGGTACAGCCAAATAAACTATTTCTTGTACAGACGGGAGATAACCACTTTTCTCTGCTAAGCATTGACAAATGCCTGATAATGACAGCTTTAGTCTCTGCTTCAAGAGGTTGCTAAAAATTTTCAAAATGAAAGACCCCTTAAGTTGGGTTACCTTGGCTTGATTCGGAGGTTACCTCTATGTCCACCAGCGGGCTACCTACACGGGCAATGTCATCAACTTCATAGTGTATCTTTCTAATGACACCATCATAGCGACTTGTTATTGTTACTGACGCCTTGTCACTTTGTACCTCGCAAATACTATCAAACTGAGCCACAGTGTCACCTTCTTTGACATACCTGGCCAAAGGGATAAAAACAAAATCAATATTTGGTAATCTTTCATATAACACTCGAGGCTGAGAGAGGAGGAAATTCAAAAATCCAGAAAAGACCACCACAGGTTTTGAGGGCCCTTTGTGTTTGCTGACAGATTTTAAAAGAGACTATTTAGAAACTCCTGATAAATCTCACCCCTGAATCTCATTATCTAGACCGGCTGGCCTACACTTGTTCCTCAATTTATCTCAACTGGTAGGGAATCTAACACCACCATAGTGTTTAGCCACTGGCCTTCCAAACTATTCAGGAAAGTTATTGACTGATAGATTCAGCAATAAACATCAGTGGCAGGATACACTGTGCATCTGCCTCTTACCATGGCCACCGTTTTACTTGTAATCCAATGAAGTGGACCATGCTACCAAAAAACCCACTGTTTTATTTCCATTTGCAATTTGAAGTGGACCATGCTACCAAAAAACCCACTGTTTTATTTCCCTTTGCAATTTGAAGGTGTTACAGTCCGCCGAGTTCTCATTTTAAGCTGTGTTACATTAAGCAGTTTGATTCAATGAACCTGACTGGAATTAGGATTAATACAATTACAAATGTTGCCTTGAAGAGAATCAATGATACCCCTGGGTTGGGGCAGCAAGTGTGGTAAAGCAGTTTGCCCAAGAACACACGACAGGAACTCCTGAGTATGTAAGATAGTTCAGTCGTACCATTCACTCGTGTCAATCTGCGGACACTTTTCCGCATTTGGTTGAAAATCTGAACTTTTGTTGACCCTGCAAGAGCAAAAGCAATAACCTCCATTGTCTTTGTATCTTACCATTCTTTAATGACAACCTCTGCTATGCCTTCTCCTATATCAGACAGCTTGAACTGCACGACATCCCCGTGTAAAACTGACACAAAAATCAAGACGACAAAATTATAAATTCATGGTCTAAAAACTAAAAAAACAAGTCTATGTTTTGGCCAATTTTCTGTGGAAGGTAAAAATTGAATATTGTACTTGAGCACAGAGGAACCTGATTCAATCACGTCATGACCATGCTGGAATTAGTCTGACGTGGGAAATGAAAGCTAAAACTAAGGAACTGACAAACTGACAAACAAAGAGATGTGTATATGCACGTCGAGGGGATACTGTTCCCAAACGAAGTCATCTGAAGGAGAAGCGCAGTTTGCAAAATGCATGAATGGTGTGGAACGCAGTATGCAGTGCTTAGATGCATTCTTGTCGCACTGTTATGCACTCGGTGGCATTGACCTCATGTAAAGCCAATGTAACTGACCCTCATCACTGTTAATCAAGGACTTCAAACAGCAAGGTGACCAGGTCAACAGCACTAGGTCATGGACGGTGCAATTTGAAAAATGTTGAAAGCTACATGTACCTTCATTGAACCCATGA